AGTGAGGTTGAATTGGCCAAGGAGAAGGCGAAGGTCCGGTGCCCCGCGTCAAAAGAGGAGGGGTACCAAGAGGGGTTGCGATAATCGAGCAGCCCCATACGCAATCATTTACAGAGGTTCCCGTCCCAATTGGCTTCGCCGTGGTTCAACTTGAATCCCTTATCAACTCGACGAATTGACTTCCCAAAGCTGTCACTTAACAACCGGTTTATCATGTGCTTGGAGGACATCAGACAGCCACATGGGGTCGAGCCGACGCGTTGGATCGATAGCTTGCTGTCTCGAGTAGTCTCCTGTCTCTCCCGAGTGTTCAAACGGTAGCCAGATGCATTACTTGCATCACGTAATGCAAGGAAGACAGTAGGCCGACAACGTCCTCGGACGAATCCCGCCAACGGCCAACAGACCAGCCGCCATGATTGGCCGGCGGGCACAACCGGGCGTTTTCTTTCAGACGGGAAATCTCACACCGCACATTCGAAATCCAGGGGATGGCTTGCAGCAGGTTTCTTTTGCCGTCTAAAAAGGCAGGCATTGAAGGGGGGCGATGGCGGGGAGACACGACTGTACCTGAACGAGCCCCTTGCCGGCCTGCTCCAGAGCTCTGTCTGGCACCCAATGGCCGTGTGGGAAAATGACTCTTGCCCGCATCGCTGCCGGGCGATTTCGTTGCCTTCTTGCATCTCCGCCCCGGTGCCGGGTCGGAATTTGACGATGAAACTTTGATTCACTTTGGCACGAGGTTCGCAGCTCAAACGAGACAATTGCCCTTTTCTGACATTGGGTCCTGGTTTTCGTGGCTTTCGTACGACATCGGCTTCGGCGGATATCTGCTTCAGACCACGCGCGCCATCTCGTTTCTCTGGTAGGTATGCCCAGGACGTATCCGGTCCGTGTGGGGTCCGGCCGACCAACAGATGACGGAGAAACCAAGGTGGTTAGAGGTAGAGTATGCACGATGATGTGCCATTTTTTATGCTATCAATGCGGGCAGCCGATAAGAGGCAACTGATACGAATTGCCGTCGTACTGTGGTAGAACGGTGCCTCTGGAAGTGGACATGTCGGATCAACTATCGATTAAGATGCCCGACGTCCAGTGCCCCTTTCCGTTTCTTATGTGTGTCTGGCAGGGTCTGGCCGTCGTCGTGAACGAAGTAGGCTGGGAACAGGCGGCATCGATCGGGAAGCTGATGCAGATCTGATGTGCCTTATTTGCGGGCGAAGCCAACTGGGGAGACGTGCGTTCGGCGCGGCAAAGAAGGGCTAAAAGAGACCTCCCGCTTGCGACGTTGATCGCCTGGTCAAGGCAAGAGTTGTTTGTGTGGCCGTCTCGAGGTCGGGATGCACCCTGATTCCGAGCAATCCTTTCAATATCGCAACGCATCTCCAGACATCATCCGTGATACGGGGTGGGTATTGGCCCATCGTGTTAAGCTGCTGCTGGTTGATTGCCGCACCGCGTCGAGCTCGGCTTCTCGACGAGCAAGCCTGGACCCTGTACTGCGACTTGTTTCGTCATCTGCAACTGGTTCGTTTGACAGGTTGAGGGCTGTGCACCCAGGGCCCCCTCCTTCGTTGTTCGAGCTACACTACACTAGAGGAGGGAGATCTGCTGAAGCCTCGCAATGGTCTCTGCGCCGGCACCCCGCTATCCATCTTGTTCTTGGACTGGACCGGATTTTTCAACCAACCACCGGGAGGGTGACAGCCGTGACAGCTAGCGAACCGTCGAACCACTTGGCTCATGATTCAGCGATCCGCCAGGAAGAAACTATTCCCGCGAGGGGTTCCCCACCAAGCCGAACGAACCGTCCATCGTGCCATGGCAGCACCGCGTATCGCCCAATCCTTCTCAACCAGGCAACCAGCTTTCAGGCCTCTGTGACGTTCCAAAATAGCTAGAAGCCAGCTACGGATGGTTGCTACCGGCCAACATGCAGGAGAGCCCCCTTTGGAGCTCAGTGCCCAGCAGAGGCGGGGTCTGCAAGAAGACAATCCGGACGCAGGTCGTCTCCACGATGTGGGGGGAGAGGAGCATCGGAAACATCAGGTCGTTCCGTCGCTAAAGCCCAGGACTGTGTAGTGTAGTGCAGTGCACCAGTAGGCAAGGCGAACTGGGCCATTGGCAAAGGTGGCTTCGCCCACCTGCAGTCTGGAGCGATGATGCGGTTCATCGGCCGAGGGATATACGGTAGCCAGGTTCGAGAGGAGTGGACAAGGGCCCGTGGTTCGTCTAGGTTTTTGTTGAGCCGGCTGCTACCAGCGCCTCGCAAGCGCGAGGGGCGTCGTCGTCGTCGTCTCTTTTTGCCGTCGAGCAACTCGCATGAGGTATCCGTATAGAGCACGGCAGCGCGCAGAGGTGCAGGCGTCTGGCCTTTGGACCCGTTATCGACTGGAGCCCGTACGAGAAGATTTTCATCCTTGCGTTTGCTAATGTGCCATGGTAGATCTGCGGCAACTTGCGATCGAAACCTTGCGCAACAGACGACTCATCAATGGCTGCTCTAGTCCATTCTCGTGGGGCTCCGGCTGCGGTGGTAGGGGGCCGGTCGAAAACTCCGAAGGGTCTGGTCGGTGGTGAGAGATGTGGCCCTGACTCCCCCCCCCAGCCACTGTGGGCTTGGCACCATGGTAAGGGTCGAGAAAGCCAGGTTTTCATCGCGGACGAGGGCTAATTGAATTTTCCCGGCCGAGGCTGTCAGTGGGCGGTTTTCCACCTTGTTTTGTTCGTTCGGCATTACCGCTTGTAGAAACAGGGCGACAGCGATGCCACTTTATTCATCTCGTCGATGTCGGTTGTCCGGGGTGAACATGATGCCACGAATGGATACGCAAGCTGCAAGCAACGGCGATAGTACAGATACGGACAGGACCCTGCCGGAAGGAGGGAGACAAGAGGAGGGGGGGCCGATGTGCCGTTGACGCGAGGTGCAGATAGAGTTGCCCGTTGAAAGCCGACCCATTGCCGTGAGGAGCTGATCGTTTCCCAGAAGGCCGTGGGCGCATCGTCTTTCCATTCCCGTCTGCACTGTGTGCTGTCCTTTTTCATGCCTCGTCCACATTGCCTTGATGGCTGCACCGCGTCGCCGTGTCGGTTGCACTGCAGGCGCAGCAACCAGTCAGTGTATCCGTACAAGCCATACATTTGCTGCCACAGTAGCTAAAGGAGAACGGGAGCACGGTCGGAAGACTAATCGAATGGAGCCCTGGCCAGCAGCCGGCCAACGTCCGTGGCCTGTGTGTGTGCGTCTCCCGCGTCGCAATAACGGACGAATGCTTCGGGGCAGCCCGGTCTGTGTTGTTTTGCAGAGTTGCAGATCGGAATGCCCATGTTACACACCCACCATTGTCAATCAATCGTTCACTCACGTCTCGCCCAGTTTAGAGCAGGAATCGATGGGGAGTGCCGGACGTGTTTGGCGATAACCGCTAGGGGGTGGCGGCTGCAGCAGCGTCAAGCGAGAGGCGAGGGGCGTCGCAGGCAGTTCAAGCTTGCAGCCCAGTGCCGATGGCCAGCTCCAGGTCCAGCTCCAGGACCAGCTTCCGAGGGCTCCAGGCCTTTTGCTGGTTTGGCGCCGGCTGGCTCGTGAAGGAAGCGTACGAGGAGGACCAGAGAGAGAGGAAGAGAGGTCCACTAGACCATCATCCGGAACCTCCTGTTTTAAACTATTGCCTCTTTGGCCTGCGTGCTGCAGGCACGAGGAGAGGTCTGGAATGTGGGCTCTGGATCAGGTGTGACATTTTGACACGGATGCTGAGAGAGGCAAACCGTTGGAGGCACGATGGCTGACTTGTGCTCACCAACCCCGATGTAGCACTCATGATTCGTGGCAGCGAGCAGACAATATGGGGAGGGGCAGCGTCATTTAATCATGGCAGCGATGGCATTGGCGAGCGTGTGACTATTGCCGGTGGTGGTTGTCCACATGCGTGGGATCGTGAGGCTTGCACTGAGGAGTGAGAGTAAGAGTGAAAGGCACAGTGAGTGAAAAGTGACTTTGGTACCTACATGGACATCGTGATGGTGGGGAGGAGGATGGGGGGATGGAGGGAGGGTTCAGAAACCTCGCCAAAGGCGGGAAAGAACGTTTCCATTGACGCTTCCAAGGTGGAGAGCAACTGGAGATACGTACCGCACTACGTACTGATGGAGGCTGCGATAGCAGCGGCTCAGGCTGGGATTGTCAAATCCCGGGTGTGGAGGTACGTACCGTTGAGAGCTATCGGGTCTCGCTTTCTGCGCCGTCCAATATCGACCTCCAGCCATTCCGCCATGGAACAGGGTCTGATGGGAGGCCAGCATTCAGCAACTTCTGTCCAGTCCAGTGTTAGCGACACGTTTTACAACCGCCCATCCCACTGTTCTCTACCCGCTAAGGTAAAGGCTTGGCCCGCCTGCAAAATACAGTATGGACTGACATGGAACACAGTCTCACTCACACGGAGGCGGCTGGTTGATTGGACAGGCTTGGGTGAGAAAGTGGTCCTCGTGAGCAGCCGCCCCCCTTCCACCCTTCCACCCTTCCACCCTTCCCAGTGTCTCCTCCCCCCATCCGCCAACCCTCCTTCCCACTGGCGCAACTCGAGCAGCCCCCCCGGTCGTCTCCGCTCCACACTCGTGCAGCTGCAGAAGGTCCACCGGCCCCGTTCATTGGCTCTGGCTCCCGGCCGGGGCTGGACGTTCAACTGCATCTCTCACCGCTTCTTTCGCGGGCTCGTCGTCGTTCCTCTTCACCCACGCATGCCCGCTTCTGGGCCCCCGATCAAGTCCTCTCGCCTTCTTCACCACCCGAATCCCTCTCAACCCACCTTTGCCGTCCCCCAAAACCTTGGTCGCCTCAGCGTAGAAGGTTTCTTGCTACCCTCATCCACATCCTCGACGCCCCGACGAAAGAGCGGTGTCCTGGGGAAAAAGCCCATATCTGCGCCCCAACTCCCGTCCCTCGACTTACACCTATTCCGTTGTTGGACCTTTTCCCACGACTGATCTCACCAAACATGAACGTCAACTTCGATTCGAGTGGAGGCGACGGCCTCTTGGACCTCTCCTCTTTCGACCAGCGGGACCGGTTTTCCTACGCCTCGCAAATCCCCTCATCCCAGAATAGCCCCCAGAGCGTCACCAACATGCCCGCTCCGAGAATCTGGCCCATTCCTCTGGATATGACCTCGAACGTCGCAGCCTCGAGCCCCCCGAGGACCAGCAAGCCCACTCGCCCTCACATAGCTCATCACCTCTGAGCCAGCACTCGCAACACTCGCCGTATCAGCAACCCGTCAACTCGTTGACCGACTGGGCCCTTCAACAACACCAGCACCAGCAGCAACAGACGCCCCATGGACTGCCCGATTACTCTCAGTTTGTCTCCGACGCCTACATGCCCGTCACCTACAACCCGTATGCCCCTGGCTTCCAGACAAATCCCATCGACTTCCTTCCGGCGACGACGCAAGCACTGCAGGCGGCAAACTTCCAACTCGCTTCGGCATTCAACACGATGCCCCCATGGATGAGACTGTTCCGGCTATGAACTGGAACATGGGTATGGAAAGCTGGCACGACATCCAGGCCGCCGCCTCGGCTCTTCAGATTGAAGGGCTGTCACATAGCATCGGCAGCAACTCGCCGACCGGCACTTTCCTCGAGGTCCTGTCCCTGCCCAGCTCCAGCAATGGTGAGGGCTGGTCAATGGTTGTCGAGCAGGGTTCTGGAGCCGGATTCGACCACTTCCAGCAAGCCCAATCCAATGCGGCTATTTTCAACCCTGGCCAGACTCTGCACTTGAGAACCAATTCGGACTCGTCAGACGGCGCCAACTCTTTTGAGCTTGGCAGCTATGAGGAGATTGCCCCGTTCCCCATCTCGCCCTTTTCGCCCGAGTCCGATGGATATGTCGATGCCGGATCGCACCGCAACTGCTTCGGAGACAACCACAACCATAGCCACGCCCACAACCACGCTCATGCTCACACTCATGCTCACAACCACGATACAGTCAGCCCTGCAGCTGCCGTCCCTCCCATGCCGATCAAGAGCTCGACTACGCCGCCCCGCCCGACGCCCGCCAGCGGCTCCGGCGCCACGTCTCCCCCCATTCTCACCACCGCCCGGAGAAACTCGGGCCAGAGACGGAGCCCCGTCACCGGCAAGGCTACCAAGGCTGTCATCCGTCGCACTTCAACTGGTAAGAAGGACGGCACCGAAGTGAAGAAGGTTGGCCGCAGGAAGGGCCCTCTTCTTCCCGAGCAGCGTAAGCAGGCCAGCGAGATCAGAAAGCTTCGTGCCTGCCTGCGTTGCAAGTTCTTGAAGAAGACCTGTGACAAGGGTGAGCCGTGTGCTGGTTGCCAGCCGTCTCACGCCAGACTCTGGCAGGTTCCTTGCACTCGCATTGACATCAAGGACATCGGCTACTTCATGAAGGACTGGAAGGCCGACTACGAACGCCACCTTGGTCGGGGTGTCTCCGTCTACAATGTCAAGGGCTTCGCTCAGAACGAGACGGTCATGTGGATCACCCACGGCTACGGCTTTGCCCTTCCCGTCTACGTCCGCGAGGTTTACGTTGCCGACGAGAGCTGCTTCCAGGTTGACTGGGTTGAGTCTTGCCTGACCGACCAGGAGCCCATTGACTTTGAGCTTCGCACCGAGAGGCTCGATGTCGGCGCCAAGGGTGTTTCCGTTGAGGCTCTCTCCGACTACCTTGATAAGCACATCGATGGTGGCTTTGAGGACTTCATCGAGGACCACTTCGAGGGCACTCCCTTCATCACAGAGATCCTGAAGACGGCCCACCGCTACTACGTCAAGGAGCGTATGCCCGTCATTCGCAAGGCCCTCAAGCTGGTGCTCGCTTACAACCTCACCCTGCACATCACCATGGTTGAGAGCCAAGGCGAGGAGATTCCCCTCGACGGCCAGATTGACGACGAGGACTCCAAGTTCTACGGCAAGACTGTCGCCCCTGTCATGATCAACTTCCAGATTAAGTGCGCCATGGCCGACATGTGGCGAGAGCTGCAGAAGGAGATTCTCGAGGAGCTGTCTGCTTTGTACTCGAGCGTCTACAGCGGAGAGCGTCTCAAGAACTGGCCCACCATCTTCATGCTGGCCTCCATTCTCCTTGCTGTTTGGGAGGAGATGCAGTTCGACTGCCACTACCGCGTGCCTGACCCGGCTGCCGTTAACAAGTTCTGCAACGACATGGAGACCACTCCCGTCGGTGTCATTGTCGGCCTCTTCCACGCCATCTCCCAGAAGCTTCCTGCCTTCATGGACTGGGACACCGCCAAGCACGGCCACCTCCTGAACAACAACGTCGCTGTCTGCGAAGCCATGACTGAAGTTCGTCAGCATGTTATCAAGCACGGTAAGCAACTCCATGTCCGCTTGCGACAATTGCAAATTTACTAACGACTCAAACAGAGGCATACCTGCGCACACGCCCTGATGCCAGCTTCGACCGCAACGACTTTGACTGCCTGTCCAACAAGTTCCTGTCGAAGCTCGTTATCCGGGCCAACTAAATGACCTCCACTGTGCTATTATTGCTGCCATATATTTCTTTCTTGAAACTATGATTTTTTAAAAGCCCCCCAGGGTGGGCAATTTCCTTTCATCTCTTTTGTTATTTCGAGTCACAGCGACGGCGTTGAACGAGACACCACACACACAAGTATCTCTCCCCCACCTCTTCAGTTCACTTCTTTTCGGCTGGTCACCTCCCCACCACGACGATTCATCGCGATGTGTTACGACCTTTTATCATGATTCAAATTACGAATGTATGACTCGAAACTTCTGGGGTTGGTGGTCTGGAGTCGCGCGCAGGCGCGAAGGGCTGTGCAGCGGCAAAGAGAGACGCGACATGCGCTAGAGACGTTCATGGAGACGATCATGCCGGCACGACAGGCAAATGACAGAGCATAGCAAGCATAGACGATTATGATATGCATTGGAATTGGGCAAAGGAATGGCCCCCTTAAAAAAAGCTTTCCAAGATTTGGAGAGGCACATTGGCCGGTATCGGCATTATGCTGTTGTCGTTAGGCCAAAAATCGATATATCGAACTGTTTGTTTCATGGCCATCAACTTTATGACCTCAAACCTCTCTAGTGAATTGACACGATGTAATGAGTGAGAGGCCGCATGCACCGTTTGAACGACATGATACTGCCAATCGGGGCAATCGACATCAAGGCAAGCAAAGACTGTAGATTAGATAGGATAGCACAGCCTGTAAGAGATAAGTCTCTGCGGGGATTAGGTGAGTGAAAGTACCCTTTTGAGCAAGTGAGAGCAGGGAAGGGGCTTTGGCGCTTTTAGGTCCAACCCAATGGGAGGGGAGGCTGGAAGAGGATGCGGATAGTGGTGGTTGCGGTCTGCTGCAGGAATGGGCTGCCACGTTGACAAGGGACTCAAGCTTGCATGCTGTCGTCAGGCGTGGCCGATGTCAGTGCGAGCGAAGCACTCGGAGTGCGCGCGTGGACAGATGTCGCGATAAGGTCCAAGCAGGGGAACACCGATGTCGCCATCCCCTATCCCGCGATAGCACGAAAGCGTCGCTTCGGGGGACGATGGGGTTGGCAGGCAGAGACGGAGGTTGCTCGGCGATGGTTCGTCTTCCACCCGTGCTTTCTAAAGGTGTGTCTTTCGTTTGCACCCTCAGTTGGCCGTTCCGAGTATTGTTGAGGTCGGCCGAAAAGGTTGTTGTGGTGTCTGTTCCCGTTCTGGCGATGGTTCAGGTAAAACCAGGGTCGAAGAGGCTGGGTGTCCTTGGGGGATGACGTCGGATTGTCATCTAACCCGGTTTCGCCGGTCCTCTGTCTTTTCTCCGCATTTTGCCGTTTTGCCCGTGTCGAGGGAAGACTGACTGCCGGCCACGGGGGGAGGCTGGTGTTGCACAGATGTAAGAGGCCGTCGTGAGGCCAAATGCCAACTTAAAAAATAAACAGCCGTCAATGACAACGTGTTCTTCTGAAGTCGATAGAAGGTTTCCATGGGTAAGCCAAGCGAGTCTTCGGACGAGGCAAAGATTGACTAAGAGGCCCCAAAGGTGGCGAGTTCGGGGGTGAGAGAGCGACCGGTGTGACACAACCTTCTGCTCAGTCAGTTGGGTGTTTCCAGAGGACTGGCCGGCATCAGGGTGGCGGGTGGGGCGCTTGTTTGTCAGTGACAATTCGCGGTCGGGGCGGATGTCTTTGGCCTCGGGCGCAAGGTTGGCGTCCGGCTTGTCTGCAAGGCAATGAGACACGGTGATTCCAGCGAGGTGTCAGACGAAGCCAGCCTTGCCAACCATGGACATTCTTCCGACTGTCGAATACGTACCAAAGCTGGACTGAGAGCAACCGCGGGGCAAAGAAAAAGCATTCCTGGCGATGCTCTCGGCGAGCGCTTCAGCCCCAATGTCTGTCGTCGGCGATGACGATTGCTAATGTTTACGGCTTGGGAGAGAAGACGGGAAGAGGCGGAGCAGCTACAGGGGTTGATTAGTGATAGAGAGGGGGTCCTCGAACCATCAGTTCCTCACCGATAGCGCGCCCCCCCCAAGGCTGTCTGGGGAAGCAGAAACTATCGTGATGTTCCTTTTTCTTGGGGAAAATTCCATTTCGCATTGCAACAAGGGAAAAACAGATCTTTGATCTTTGGAAAGCCACATTTGTGTCAAGTGGTTCCCTGGGACTAAGAGTGCTGCAGCGGCGGTGGCATGAACGAGACCATCTGATCAAAGAAGCGGCGGCGGCGAGTGGCCAACCGTCCAGTGCAACTGAGACATCAGGCACAGCAGTCAGAGTTCCAGCCTTTCCAGGTTCGCGGGCAGAGGCAGTCCGATAGCGAAGACAAGAGTACCTGTACTTTTCCAGCACGGCCGTTTGGGTTATTTGTTGGTGTGTGTTGAAGTATCTCTACCTCTCATCGAACACCCCACTTGGTTCTGGAGGGTTCCGGCTTGCTCCTGCCTACTTTAGCGCCCTCTCGCACTTGCGCAGTTGCTGATGAATCATTCGCCATTCCCCAGACAAGGCACTCACTGCATAAACCGCTCCACCTTTCGCCCCTGCGCCTCCAATCAAGGGCCTCCTTCCTTTCCCTTCCGCGGTCAGTCACCACTCAACCGGCTCCTTCCCTCCCACCTCCTCCAGCAGACCGACCGGCCAACCTCCAACCTTGGTATTTAAACCACTTCACCTCTTCCTCTCAACCTCTTCCACTTCTTCCCACTACATCCATTACAACACGCTCTCGCTTTGCGAATCCATCAGCGAATATCTCGATCACGAGCATCTAACTTGCAATACACAACCACTCCGAACACACACATTCACACGAAGTCGCCATCATGCAGATCTTCGTCAAGACCCGTAAGTTGCCCCGAGTTGGGACGGTTCCTCCACCCATCAGTTACTGACCTTTCTTCTGACAGTCACCGGCAAGACCATCACCCTTGAGGTCGAGTCTTCGGACACCATCGACAACGTGAAGTCGAAGATCCAGGACAAGGAGGGTATTCCTCCTGACCAGCAGCGTCTTATCTTCGCTGGCAAGCAGCTTGAGGACGGCCGCACTCTCTCCGACTACAACATCCAAAAGGAGTCTACCCTCCACTTGGTCCTCCGCCTTCGTGGTGGTATGCAGATCTTCGTCAAGACTCTCACTGGCAAGACCATCACTCTCGAGGTTGAGTCCTCTGACACCATCGACAACGTCAAGTCGAAGATCCAGGACAAGGAGGGCATCCCCCCCGACCAGCAGCGCTTGATCTTTGCCGGCAAGCAGCTTGAGGACGGCCGTACCCTGTCCGACTACAATATTCAGAAGGAGTCCACCCTGCACTTGGTGCTGCGTCTTCGCGGTGGTATGCAAATCTTCGTTAAGACTCTCACCGGTAAGACGATTACCCTCGAGGTCGAATCGTCAGACACCATCGACAATGTCAAGTCCAAGATTCAGGACAAGGAGGGTATTCCTCCTGACCAGCAGCGTCTTATCTTCGCTGGCAAGCAGCTTGAGGACGGCCGTACTCTCTCCGACTACAACATCCAGAAGGAGTCCACCCTGCACTTGGTCCTCCGCCTTCGTGGTGGTATGCAGATTTTCGTCAAGACCCTGACCGGAAAGACGATTACGCTGGAGGTCGAGTCTTCGGACACCATCGACAACGTCAAGTCGAAGATCCAGGACAAGGAGGGTATTCCTCCTGACCAGCAGCGTCTCATTTTCGCTGGCAAGCAGTTGGAGGATGGTCGCACCCTTTCTGACTACAACATTCAGAAGGAGTCAACGCTTCACCTCGTCCTCCGCCTGCGTGGTGGCCAGTAAGCGATGGCTTCGGTACATACAGAAGCTACCTGATTATGGGCAACGGCGTTCATGGGTTATGATTAAGGGATATGGCATGGATGATATCTTCACAAATACCTAGAAATTATCTAGGCACTTCGCGCTCAAGAAAGCGCACCAATACCAGACTCTATTAAGTCTTAATCTTTTTGTTTTACATGTTTACTTCGCAAAGGTGATATGTGTTGATGTTGGGCCACTGCCTTATCAGTGACGTACTCGGTGGATCCGTCTATGGGATGGTGGGGCAGTCCGCAGTGAATCACTTCCACAGCTGCCGGAACCCTGCATCCAAATTTATCTTCCCCAGAACACATGCACCTAGCCCGTCTCCGTGTTGCGCCACGAGATGAGAAGCTCCTGGAACCTCTGGAAACACTTGGAAATACACCTTCTTTTGCCTCCATAACGACTTCCCATTTCTTTTGCCTCTCTTTTCCCTTCCAGACCACTCACAGCCTCGTACAAAACTAGGACGGCGGCAGCATCGTCCAGGAGCGAGCGGCCGTCAAGGCTGAGAAAGGCTATGCGGTCCTTCTTTTACCACTTGAAGTTTGAGCTCTATCCCACCTCCAGCCCCGCGACCGACGGCACGACGAGAACGAAAGGGAAGGCTCAGGCAGCATCATTATCATCTCTCAATGATCTCTGGCTTCCCCCAAAAGGCGCCGACATCTTCGCCGAACTTCCTGCACATTCGAAGAAGACTTCCAAAAAACTGAGCCCTTCTTACCGACCGCAGCCTTCGCCTCTGCAGTCATTCGAGCCGCCTTACCCCGCCGACACCTACCGAGCGAGTATACTGCGAACATCGACCGAGAGTCCGAGCCCCAACCTCATCGACTGCGGTCCATCAAGGGTACCGGTGAAGGAGGATAGTGGCAGCAATATTGAAAGGATATCTGAGAGGCAGTGGAGGGCGCGCACGCAGAGCTTCCCCCCTCCGCCTTCTTCAGTTGCAATCCGGCCAGAGACGGCCGTGAGGGACTGGCGTTTCGGGCAGGTGAGCATCGAGAGTATCGACGTCGACTTGGAAGGCGACGCACACAGGTACCAGATGGCGACCGATGCGACAAGCTCGACCGCAGACTTGGGCGTTGGTCCGACATTTGGCGGTACGGGAACGTCCACGAAGGCGAAGTATGTACCGCTCGAAACGAAGAATACAGAGGTCGGCTGGGGAGTGGTGCATTTCTACCGCGAAGCAGAGGATACGCCTGGCCTGGGACTGCCCCCTTCAGAGGACGAGGGCATCGAGGCGGAAGAGTGTACGACTCTGTGTATACCCGCAGTTCCCAGTTATCTTACTCCGGGCGACTTTCTTGGATATGTCGGCGAGAAATGGAGGGATGACATCAGTCACTACAGAATGGTCATGACGGCCAGGATGAACCGTTACCTCGTGCTACTGAAGTTCCGGAACAGTAAGAGGGCACGCGAGTGGCAGAAGGAGTTTGACGGAAAGGTGTTCAACAGCATGGAGGTGAGCAGTCAGAGCAATTGTTGACTGGCGGTGTTACTGACAAACTTTTTACAGGCGCAAGTTTGCCATGTCGTCTTCGTCAAATCGATTACGTTCGAGACGCCCACAAGAGAGAACCGCACGTTTCCCGACCTCAATCACGATCCTTTTACATCTTCCTCGTCAGTCGCTGCTTCGAGCAGCTTGAAACCCTTTCCTCCACCAACACCAAATCTCGTCGAACTGCCGACCTGTCCAGTGTGCCTCGAGCGCATGGACGATACAACTGGTCTGATGACTATCCCCTGCCAGCACGTCTTCCACTGTACTTGCTTGCAAAACTGGAAAGGCTCAGGATGTCCAGTCTGCCGACATACGAATCCAGAGACGGCATATGACCCGTCGAACCCGTATACGCAGCCTTTCGGGTCGTCAGTATCGAACCTTTGCAGTGTGTGCGACTCTTCAGATGACTTGTGGATTTGCCTCATCTGCGGCAACGTGGGCTGCGGTCGGTATAAGGGTGGTCACGCCAAGGACCACTGGAAGGAGACAGCACATAGCTTCGCTTTGGAGCTGGAGACGCAGCATGTGTGGGACTACGCTGGCGATACCTGGGTCCACCGTCTGATTCGCGACAAGGGAGATGGCAAAGTCGTCGAGCTTCCAGGGAGCAACGGCCATCATCATGGTCCTGAGGGTGGCTACGAGGATACTGTCCCGCGAGCGAAGCTGGATAACATCGGTCTGGAGTACACCCACCTCCTGACTAGTCAACTTGAGTCACAGCGGGTGTATTTCGAGGAAATGCTCAGCAAGGTAGCAGACAAGGCCTCCAAAGCGGCCGCGACAGCCGAGACCGCATCATCGCAGGCAACCAGGGCATTAGAAGAGAATGCGACCCTTAAGGCGGAACTCACACGCCTCCGGACTCAAGTCATCCCCCAACTCGAGCGCGATGCGGAACGGGACCGCAACAAGGCTACTAAGGCCCAGGAGCTCGCCCGCAACATGGGCAAGGCTCTGCAGGAGGAGAAGCAAGTCACACAGGGGCTAATGAAGCGCGTGGAGCACAACAACGCCGAGGTCGAGGCGCTCCGGAAAAAGGATGAGGAGTACAGGGCACAGATTGCCGAGCTGGAGGAAATGAACCGTGACTTGTCCATGTTTATCTCGGGGCAGGAAAAGCTCAAGGAGCTGGAGAGCGAGGGGAAAGTCGAGGCCGGGGAGGTTGCGGAGGGGAGTGTCAGTGTTCCTGAGAGGAAGGGGAAGCGGAAGGCGAAGAAGTGAACTTTGCGACGCAGAACTTGGCGTTCAGGGGGTACGGCTGGTTGTGCTATTGGAATTGCATAGGCGAGCGACTCAATTTAAACAACCGCTTTTATGATCGTTTGATTTTCATCACCCATCTACCTTGGAGACGGGATACTGCTTGAGCGTGGATATGTGCATCTATCTTAATGCCACTACATGCGCTTGCAGCATATTTGGAGTTTGGGAATGGTTCGAAGTCACCACCTGTTCCTTTCCCAACTTGATACAAGGTCCACAAGCACCTTTGCAGACTCAGGCGTCCGAATCTTCCAGTCCACGGTATCTCATGAGTACCATGTGACCAACGAGCATAATATGAACGCAGCCCCGGGACCGTTAGGGAGCTCATCAGGACAATACATGTTTCTTCAAACACCGACCTGGGCCAAACCCATCTTGGTGTCCAGGTGGTTGGCTTCCTGCCAGAGTACTGCCCCTTGTGGCGCTGCGTATGGTGTCCCTTTTCTCCCCTGGCTTCGGGCTTCGGGCTTCGCAAGTTTCGTACTCTGCACTCGAGACGAAAGAGAAACAAATGTTTCCAGTAACAGTTTTCTGAAGTATAATGTTTGACTTTTGAGAAGCGAAGCCTGGTGGTATCGACGTTGTGAGTTAGATTCGGTTTGGTATGTACAGCCCCTATTAGCTCTCCCTCATCTACTACCCTCGTAAAATAATTAACGAAGAACAACTAAAGAAGAACATCGCAGCGCTGGGCACACAAGTTATTCATCAATCATCAGTCATTTGAGCGTCCTCGACCTCTCGCCTCTCTTTAGTTGGGTTAACCGACACTTTGTATCACCAACAACACCAGGTTCGCAACCACCATGACGGTAATCATCAGCCAGATCAGCACGGCCAACACCGTCACCCACCACGAGTTCGCCATCTTGACGCCCACGGCGCTGAACCTCCTCGCCGGCACCACACCGGTATCGGACCCGTAGCTCGCCGCACCGGGGACGACCGTCATATACTTGTTGAACGAGGTGAAGTAGATGAGCGGCGCCGTGATGACGGGGAGAACTGTGCCAAGCACAACCTGCGTCCCCGTCAGCGCGTTGCTAAGCCCGGACTGCCCCGCGACGGCGACCACGACGATCGTGGGCGTAACGCTGATCAACCGCGTTATAAGGCGGCGGAGCCACGGTCGCATGCGCCAGTTTAGCGCGCCCTCGCTGACGAGCTGGCCAGCGATGGTGCAGACCAACCCCGCGGACACGCCGGACAGCAACAAAGCGAAGGCAAAGATGACACCCGCGGCGGAGGAGATGCTGTTCGACAAAAGGTCGTGCATGCCAAAGATATCCGAGGCAAGGGACGTATGGCCCTGGTACAGCGAGGCGCCGGCGACAATGAGAATAGCCGAGTTGACGAAGAGGGCGAAGATGAAGAGGGACAAGACCACCTCGGCGATGGAGAACTTCATGCAGTGCCGTATGGCTGCCATGGAGGGGAAGTAAAAGATCTTTTGGTAGCTGTCATCGGTTGTCATCGTGTCTGAGCGCGGGATCTCCTGAAGGTTGCCCTCCTTCATGTCGAACTCCTTGAGGCGGGACTGCACGACGCCGGAGCCAAGGTGGAGGCTGTGCGGCATGACTGTTGCGCCCAGGATGCCGCAGGACTGATACAGACTATGAGACATTAGCGGGATGATGCTCTCCAGGCGGGACTGGGCTGCTGGTTACCCCTGGGTCTGGATGATGGATCCGGATGGGAGATAGCCCCGAAAAACCTCGCCGATGGTCGTATTCTCGATCAAAGAAAGCTGGATGCAGAAACAGACGACAACTCCCAGCACGAGGAAGCAGACGCCAATCTCGAACATCCTTAGCCCTCGCATCGAGCCGTCGGGCCGGTAAAAGACCACTATAAAAACGACGTCGACGACCGTCAGGACGACGCAGGCAATCAGCGGCAACTTCGGTATCAGCAGATGCAGGGCCGTCGCGGTACCAATAACAACCGCCATGTCTGTCGCAATGATGGCGATTTCGGCGAGGGCGTAGATGATGAGATTGAGCCATTTTGGAAGGAATACGCGGGATGCGGTGGCCAGGTCGAGGCCCGTAATCGTTCCCAGTTTGATTGCGAGGCTTTGGAGGAAGATTGCAACTACGTTGCTCAGAAGGACGATGAATAAGAGATCGAAATGGTACGATGCGCCGGCAGCGATGTCTGTGGCGTAGTTTCCGGGATCAACTGCGCAGGATGGTCAGTCTCGCATGCCCCCTTAACGCCTGTTCTTCGCGACTTACTGTACGCAACGGCGATCATGAATCCAGGCCCCATGAACTTTGCAAACGTAACAAGGTTGTTCCATCTTCGATTTATCCACTTGGGCTGGTCTTTGTGATACGTATGGTTAGGGAGAGGGAGCGTCGGTCCCGATAGCAAAGACAGCGGCCCCGGGTCGTCTATCCTGACCTGCTTCTTGGGCGTCGCCACGGAATACTCGGTGCTCTCCGATGTGCCCGGGGACGAGACGATCGTATCGAGGACGATGTAATCGGGCGGCACTTCTATGCTCAACCGCCTACCGTTCGGGTGAGACCGCCCATGGAGCGTCTGGTTGATGGTGTAGTCCGCTGTGAAGGGGTTGGCACTGAGCCTGCGGACTTGGACGTCCTCCCCTTTCTGGGGCTCGTCCAACCAGGTCGGTTTCATGGTAACCCGGGTAGCAATGAAGGGCGCTGCGCAGATTCGCGAGGCTGCATTCCAGGGTATGATTAGAGTCGGTAAACAGAAATTGGAAAAAGAGAATTTCAACAGAGGGAGATCCAAGAAACTTACCATGAGGGCGCCGATGAGCGACAGTGTTTTGTTCTTTGCCAGTGTATCAAAGGAAGATCGAAGCGGGCAAGAGACAAAAAGGTGCGGGAAGATAACAGGAACCTCGATGATTTTGTTATATCGCAGAAGACAAACGCCGAATGCAGCCTCCCAACGACGCCGGATCCCACGTAACGGCAGGGTTCGCCGAATGCGGAACTGCAAAGGAATACCGCTTCACCGTGCGAGACACCATCTCGTCATGGGCAAGCCTCGGAGACTCGCCCGAGCCAGTGGAGTTCTGAGAGGGAAAGGTACGGGAGGGAATTCACCAAAGGCCCTCGAAACATGCCAAACCGTCCAAGGGTCTTTCCTGGCTGGTGTCTGGTCGAGCCACTGACCAAAGAAAGACTCTCTACAAGAAGTTGACCCGCCACTAGTCCTGGGTTGCGCCTTTTAGGAATGCTTCTGGACCAAATCTTGAGACCTTCTGCCCGTCTTCGGAATAGCCGCGTGTAGAAGGCAGATGCCAAGAACAATCAGCATGGTGGGGGAAGAAAAGGTCAACAATTACGGCATGGCTTGCCAATTCAGATGTAGGAATACGAAGTAGGTTTCGAAGCATGATTGTGTGAGCATGTGGCGTAAGAAAGGCGCCAACCATGCCATGTAAAATTCTCATTCTTTGGTTGGTCTGACTAGAAGTGAAGGTTCCTCGGTTTTTGGCCACCAAGGCATTCCGGGCAGCCGTACTTTGTTGAAGGCTGATCTCTGATTCTTGGCGGGCCGGTTTGGGTTTGACTCAGCCGGCCGGCCATCCTCTCTGTAATGTGTGCATGTGTGACGGGTCAACCCATCGGGTTGACCGGTTCTCGCCGGGGACCCATCACATCTCTTTTCCCCGGCGGGACTTGCATGGCTCCGTACACCCCTGTCGCCCGGTCTTGCGCTCGGCCCCGATCCGGACGGAATGTGGAGAATTATGTTGCTGTTGAAGCTGGGCCTCTTTTCACATTCACCTAACCTTCTTGGTGTCGTTGCCGGCGGCACGCTCGCGGTCTCTCTTGGCGTAGATACCAGCAGTGAATGGGTTCTCATAGCTCAGGGCGACCTGGTAGACGATGTAGACCCAGACGGTCAGCAGGATACCGGCGGGCTTGCCGTAAATGAGAGCCGCGCCGAGGAAGCTCATTGTGGAACCATTGTACATCGGGGCATCGGTGATGTTGAAGGGGAAGCCAGTCACAATGCTGTCCATGAGGATGCCGAAGTAGTCACCGAGGAACGTGCCGGTGATGCCCAGCTGCCACGTCGAAGAGAGAACAAGAATGTTGCCACAGGCCACAAGGGCATATCCGACATAGGTCACCGCATCAGACGAGAGCAGAGGGTGCGCAGGTTGGAAGCGAAGGGCTCGTTCGTAAAGGAGGTCACGGAAGATGCCGAGGGAGAAGATGGTAACCGCCAGGCCGTAGCAGGCAGTCTGCGAGCGTCCGCCAAAGAGCTTGGTGAGGACTTTGTTCTTGTATTCTAGGAGTCGAGTTAGACAGCAGCACTACCGGCCACGACAGCAGCAGTCTCACGAACCTTGTCTCGCGACGATACTACGCAGCTGTCAGCACACCAATTGGCGGGGAAGTATTTGAGGAGAGCAACTTACTTCCAGAATAGCGGGTTGAATGCAATTGAGGCAGCAGAAACTGTGTGCAGCAGGTCAGCAAGAGCGTCGACGAAACGAGAAGCTCGGCAAGGCCCAAGCTCCACGAAGACGACATGACGTACTGAACAAGCTCTTCTGGTCGAAGTCGACCAGGGCCTTGCTTCCGATCTCGACAGGTGCCATGGTGTGTTCGAGGTGGTGTCAGTTCGGAGGGTTCTCTGTTGTAAGATTTCTCAAATTTTTCTTTCTCCGAGGCACAGCTGAGCTCTTTTCGAAGAAGCGTTGAGGACAGACAGACGTAGGAAGAAGAGTTGAGAGCGCCCACTTGCTTGTGACAGAAGCTTGCTCCACCCAGGTATTTATGTTAGCGGGGACACCTGGCCATAGCGCCTCGTCATAACGCAGTAATGCATGGGTGCACCTTCTTTTCTTCATGGGGTTTCGGTTCGGCGGCCTTCGGGGGGGCTGGGGTAAAGTAACCCTCCGTGCCGCCGCTATGCGGAAGGCCCAGAGGTAAGTCCCTTCCTTACGTGTGGTATAGTCATACAACCGCCGAGTTTTTTTTTTAATCACCAAGAAAAGCTTCTTTGTCCAGCAGTGCCCGCATACACACAGCGGTAACACACGAGCAAACGTAGCTTGAAGACAGCACGATGACTTGTCAGCAGTCATCGGAATATCCGTCATTTCATTCTAAATGGGTAAAATAGCAAGCGCCGCCTGGATAAAAACGCACTATGGGGGTATCAACCGCATCCTCAAAACACCTGGAACACTGAACCGTTCTCTCGGAGCTAGGAAAGCCAACAACAACGCGCGGGCACCAGATCACCTGCGATTTCTAGTCTTCTTGGCCACGGTGCCCGTGTCTTCTTCCTCGTCGTCCTGGCCCTTCTTAAGGTCCTCGGTCAGACCCCACTCCTCCTTGTCGTACCAGTCCTCGCCGTCCGACATGTCCCGGTTCGCTCCGCTGTGCGCCTCCGCCTTGGACCAATGAAGCACCGTCTTGCGCAGTCGGTTAGCCTTGAGGAGGCCTTCGTGGAGTTTCATAGCACCACGGCAGACCTCCTCCTGCTTCTGCACGTAAAGTGCGAGCAAACGGCGGATATCCTCGGCCTCGGCCTCCGGCAGACCCACATCTCGGTCTGGGCGAGCGTTGGGCGGCGGCCGGAAGAACGGGTGCACAAATGTCTCGTCCACCTCTTCCGATGCTATTGACGGCGCATGCGTTCCGTTGCGGTCGACTACGTCTGTTCCGGACTGCGACGGAGCTGCCGCATTGCCTTCGTGCATTTCGACATCGACCGCCTTTTGCTTCTGCTTCTTGTCGGCGATGCTCTCGTCGGTTCCCGTTTTCTGGGTTGCATCGGCCTTCGATACATCGCCGTTGGTTGGCCGAGATGCCTCGCCTTCGGTATGTGTGCCCTCCTTGGTTGACTTTCCAGGCATCTGCTTCCCAACCTCCCCTTTGTCTGAGCCTGCATCAGTCATGGTGATGTCCCCATCACTGCTCTGCTTATCGCCCGAAGACTCTCCGTTCGTGCCGTTCGGCGCTTGCTCTGGTTTCGCGCCGCCGTTCACTGTTCCAGATGTAGCATCCTCGATTTGCGCGGCGATGGGGGCTTTCGTTTTGCGCGCGTAGCCGCGTTCGACGTAGTCGGTCGAGTAGAGATCGGCGTCGTCGGGCCCGATCATTGTGCCGCATGGCACCCACGTGTAATCGCCGCACAGCCTTGTGAAGAGGTGCCTGACTCTCCACAAGGATGCATTCTCTTTGCGTCTGACTTCACAGCTTTGCTGGGCGATCTCGTCTAACGTCTTGGCAGTGAATGGTTTGGAGAGAGTGGGATGGCTTGGGAGGTCGGTCGAGGCAGTCAATGGAGCTAGGATCTCTGTGGAAGAACGGGGTCAGCCATGTCGCTACAGTGTCGGCCAGAGAGGACTAACGCTCAATTCGAATGTTAGCATAGGGGTCGAGCTCGGTGGCCGCGGAGACGGCCTCTTGGATGCGCCCTTCGTCGTCGTCACTGTCGATTTCGTATCCCTCTTCGTCTACGATGGGCGGGTTGCGGCTGATTATTGTGCGCTGCTGTCCGGCGTAGTCGATCACCTGCAATCGTCAGTCAGTCCCGATAGGAGGCCATTGGCGAGCGAGCCAGTTGGGGCGCGTGACGCACTTCATTGTAGACTTCAGGGCCGGAGGGTGGTGCGAGTTGACCCTGGTGAGAGAAGAGAGCACGCTTTTTAAGCTTGTGGCCGCGATTCCCGTAGTGGTCAATCTCGTCGTCCGAGTCGGATTCTGCCAGCTACTTGTCAGAATGCTACAGGCAAGGGCGACGGCGAGGTCGAGGAGGGATTCGGGTGCCTACCGTAACTTTTCCGCTTGAGAGCCTTTTTCATAGCGGCCACCGTTTCGGCAAAAAGGATCTGTTGTGTTGCCATTGCGCCGTGCTGCCTTGCTCCTGGCGTTGTGCCGGAGCGATCACGGAGGTCGGGCGGCTGGTCGGCAGCAAGGAAGAGGACGAGGGCGACGACGAGGGGAGGATGGGGTCGGCGGGCGTTTTCGAGCAAAGAAACCAAAGGTTTCAGAGAATTACGGTCGGAATAGGATTCGCAGCGAGATGGGAACGAAAGGGAGTCATTTACGAGGTCAGAGAAGCAGGTGGTGTGGTGTGGGAAGAGGTGTAGAATGGGTAGCCCTCAATTTCTGCGCGCAGTTTCTGTGACGAGGCGGGAGGAGAAGCACCACGCGGGCGGCAAGGCTGTCTTTCCTGGCTCCAAGGTGCACATTCCAGTTCTCTCTCCGATCCTTCAGGGCACTTGGGCCGTGGCTCACTGGGGAGTGCGCTCGCGCTTCCGCTCTTTTGTGGTGGGCCATGACCGCATCTGGGCCTACAGCCAATCAGAAACCGCCGTGTCGGCACCCACTTTACCCGACGCCGAGATGCCCGCCCTGGTGCCAGCTGGACGTGGTGGTGTACGGATAGTCGGTTGTTCATCCCCCAGCGCGGTCCAGGGGTACCTACCCACCCACTGTGAAGTCACTGCAGTGCGATGTAAGCGTAGTGGGTTGGGATCGCTGGAAGGGAGCTTGCGATGCCTGTGACATGTACTCTGTACCACTCGCGGAGGAGACCCTTGCTTGCGCGCTTCCCACTTGATTGAAGCTCCCACTTCGCGACAATTCACAATCTTTCTTCGCTGCGTCTTTTTCGCCGCCAACATCTGATGTTCTAGTCCGGCGACCATGCTACCTTGAGCACCACATCCGTACGTGTGCCACCAGCCACCGGAGCTATATGTCACTGACCTAGACACCAGAGCTTTGCGATACGGCCGACTCCTACGAACCGAATCGATATCTCCATGGTCGCCTGCCTCTTGTACCTTGCCTAGAACCTCTTGAAAATGGACGGATACCCAGTTGGAAGCCTGGATCACAACATCCCGCACATCGTTGTCGCGGGCCTGACGTCGGATCCCACACGAGACCTGCCTTTGAACGCAGAGCTTCGAGACCAGGCCCTCCTCCTTCGGTCAGAACTACCGAGCGTAGAAAGCCAGGATGCCGAGGCTTTGATAGAGTATATCGTGCGCCAGGATGGAAGAAACCACCCTTGGAACGGGAGGGACAGCGGGAAACCGTACAAGCTGCGGGTCACCGTGGCTGGTCGAGTACGGCTTGTACCATCCACATGCGTCCTGTCAAGACTAACTCCTGGATAGTCTCTTGTCCTTCCTCCCCGTCGCGCCAGGCTTCCAGAGGGCATCGAGGCTCCTGAGACACCCGCCGTCTTGCACTCACCCTTTTCACCCCTCAGTCCGGTATCACCTCTGTATCCCGACGGCTTGATGAATACGGATTGGCTCCAGAAGCATGAGGACTTGGTTCCCAGCGTCTATGTGTCGTTTTACACCTTGACAGCCGATCCCACACTTGCGACGCTTCACGACAACCAGCTCAAGATCGACATCAACAACACCAAGGCTGCCCTCAGCAGGTCGGGCTATAGAACGCGCTATGTCGTGGTTCTCCTAAGCGATGGTACGGTGTCCTCTTCTATGCAAGAGTTTATGCAGGAGCGCCTCGACAACATTAGAAGGGGCGTTGCTATGGACACAAAGTCGTTCTTCTACTTGTCACCCCATGACCTGTCGGAAGACTTGGAGCACGCAGCGGACTCCATGCTGGCGGCCGTGTTTCTTCAAGCTATAGAGTACTACCGCGATCTCGGGCGTCACGCTAGGAAGAAGCGCAGCCGAGGTGTCGCTCCGCAGCCCACAGTGCCGCCCACAAACACGTCACAAACACTCACGGTGCAGGACTGGAACGTGCGATACGACTACAAGGCGGGTATCTTCGCCGAATTCCGACAAGAAATGGATGCGGCGCTACGCTCATATGACCAAGCCTATGAAGGACTCCTCAGCCAAGATGTCATGGACATCATTCCGAGCTGGAGTCCAAGATGGAACGAAGCGCGGATGCTGGCCGATGTCATCGCGATACGCAGCATACGATGCTTGCTCTGGGGCGGGCAGACAACCGCTGCGGTGCGAAGATGGCAAATCCACCGTGACAGAATAGCCGATTTCATCGACAGACGTGGCCGAGGCACCAACAACTACGGCTGGGCCGCATGGGAATCAAGGTGGGCCGTGGTCATGGCCAACTTGATCGAAAGGGTGGATGTCCGCAGCCTAGCGCCATCGACGCGAGCTCTATTCCTCCAGCCAGAGAAGGCTGCCATGAGCGAGCGACTGCAGCCCTGGGAGCTGCTGCATCACACGGGATACTGGTACCGCATTGCTGCTGAACATCTGGCTGCTCGGCGGGCCCTTGCTCGGTCCATCCCAGAGGCAGACCGGCGCTCGCCAGATACCACCCCGGCATCGGCTGTTGCCAGCAGGGCCTTTCAATACGACACTTACATGTGCCCAGACCCCCATGAAGAGTTTCCTATTCAGGGGATGGGCGTAAATCACTCCCAACTTATCATAGACTGCTTAATGGCAGCTAGATCACAGTTCCAGGCGCGGCGACAGCTTCGGTTGTCGGCCGAATTGTCGCTGGAATGTGCTAAGGAAATGGTCAATCTGAAGGCGTGGGACGGCATAGTCGCGTTGTTGCGGCCGCTATGGGAGGACATGTCGTTTAGAACAGAGGGCTGGCTGAACATCACCGAAGATCTGAGCTGGGTGCTACGCGCTGCAGCCGCCCATGCTGGTCAGGGAGAGCTTGTAGTTGCCATTGACTGGGAGCTGCTGAACAGGAGTAAGACAAGCGCTTTCGCTTTCCACTGGCCGGGAACTAACGCTGTTCACAGAGTTCACGCGGCGGCCCAAGTGGCATTATGACATCTCCAGATCCCTAGAGGGTCTAAAACTCGATTCGAAGCCAACTGTGACGATAAACGACCACGTCATCTCTTCCTTCATCTCCGCCTCCTTCATCTTCAAGACCGAAGACGGTAAAGCGGGCGAGACTTGCCAGGCACAACTTGCGATTAAATCAGACGCCTTCCCAGACGCGACAACAGTAACTCTCAAGGGCTTGAAGATTGATTTTGAAGGCAGCCTCAAGACCATCACTCTAGACCACGAAGCAGACTCTATAACTGGCGCAGAAAAGGGCAATGTGATGCTATCAAACGTGCCTCTGTCCGAGACAGCTCGATCAGACGCAGGAGAAGGCGAGGAAGGTCCATCAGGGCTCAGCGGATCTGCAAACTTGTCGGTGAGGCCGGGTCGCACAAATGTCTACGAAATGGCGATACCCCTTCGAGAACCCGGAGAGGCCCACGCTTCCTCGGCCACTCTGATTGTGGAAACGGACGCGTTCACGCTCAACTACACCATCGCCTTCCGAGATCTGGGAGCGGCGGACTTCTGGTTTGGTCCCTCCTTGTCGAGGAGACGAATTGTGCGGCAGAGAGCCCACTTTATCCAAGTACACCCGAGGCCACCCAAGCTGGAGATCAAGCTGGCACAGCCCCTGGACCAGTTCTACGCGAATGAGCCCATGGATTTGGTCTTGGACGTGGTCAACGCTGAAGATGCAGAGGCGATCGCCAAGCTGGAAGTCCATGTCTTTGGCGAACATATCCCGCCCTTCCGAGTCCACATTGAGAACGAAGAGGAGCACAGCGCGGAAGCTGGCAAAGAGGAAGCCAAGCTTACAGGTCTCTCACTCGGCACGCTGGCGACGTCGCAAACGACCCGCGTCAAGATCAGTCTGGATCCAGTACAGTTGACGACCTCGTACGACGTGACGCTGAGAGTCTTCTACCATCTCGCCACGGACCCGGCGACCTTGATCATGCAGATTATGCCCGTCCAGCTTACCGTCGTCAACCCCTTTGAAGCCAACTACGATCTCATCCCCCGCCTCCATCCCGACCCCTGGCCAAGCTTGTTTGACCACGAGGGCGTGCAGGATCCCTCTACAGACGAAGCCGCATTGCAGCCCTGCGGACTGGCGCAGAAGTGGTGCCTGGTGTGCCACTTTGCCTCGTTCGCGACGGAGGACCTGGAAATTGTCGGCATGGACGCCGAGGTGGTTGCGTGCCATAACCGCGCACGATGCACCACGGCAAGCCGACCGGAGATTCCAGAAGGAGGCCTTCGCATCCCGCCGAAGCAGATGCAGGAGGCGCAGTTCAACTTGGTGGCGCAGAAGTTCAGCCTCGACGACAAGGGGCCGGCGTCTCTTGACTTGGCTTTTGTGCTCAGGTGGAGGCGGACAAAGTCTTCGACGGCGGCCGTCAACACGACCAGAATGCTCGTCCCGCGATACATCGTACTGGGCACCGAGCCCCGCGTCCTCGCGTCGTATTCCCTCGCTAACCCGCTGACGGGCCTGATCCACCTAGACATCACCATTGAGAACCCGTCAAGCCACTTCTTGACGTTTGGCCTGAGCATGGAGCCGAGCGACGAGTTCGCGTTCTCCGGCTCCAAGCAGACGACGCTCCACGTGCTGCCGGTCTCCAGGAGGACCGTCACATACCGGTTGCTGCCCCTCGTGAGAGGCGACTACATCCGGCCCACGCTCGTGGTGAGGGATAAGTACTTCCAGAAGGTGCTGAGGATCATCCCGACGGAGGGCATGAAGATCGACAAGGAAGGCCTGCTGGTGTGGATCCCGCCGGAGGAGAGCGAGAAGGAGCAAGAGGGGCGAGACGATAGCTAGATGAGGATGCCGGCTTTCTTGTATACATATAGGTAGTCTACATCTAGGGTCTCTAGCATCCAGCTCTGGACGTCTTGAAAAGTGTTTAGCATCATCGCACGCTTTCAGTTCTTTCTATGTGTGTGAACCCCCCCGTCGCCCCTTGGCCATCTCTCACATCTTTGCCTTGGGCGGCCTTGAAGAACCTCCGAGCCTCTCCATCCACTCGTCCGTCAGCGTGGTCTTCTCCCGCACGCTCAGCCTCGTCCACCGCTCGTAGTCCTCCTGCTCCGCCCGCCACTCCCCCAGCCCCTTCTCGATCCACTCGGCCGTCAACCGCGCGCTCACGCCCGGCACCTCCATGGGGAACAAATGCCCTCCCTCGGGCAGCGTGACCTCCCTCACCTTGCCCTTGGCCGCCCCGCCGCTCCCGCCGACGCCCGTCCCCGTCAGCCGCATCTTCTCCTCCCTCAGCTCGGGGGTCGAGAGGTCGCTCGCCCCGCCAAACACGTACAGCACGCCCGGGCGCAGGTTCGGCAAGCGGACGAGGGTGTTGGCCCCTTCGGAGCGGTAAAAGGGGAACGTGTAATACCGCTCGTTAAGCGTAGGGTCCAGATCCGGGACCAGCTCCTGGCGCACAACGTCCCGGCCGCTGGCGTCGTAGGCGTGCCAGCTGGGCCGGAAGTAGGTGAAGACCTCCTGGTGCTTCGTCGTCGCTAGCGTCACGCTGCCCTTTGGGGTGGCGTCCGACGCGGGGTAGAGCTGCGTGGGCACGTCGCGCAGGCCGTGGTTGACCCAGGCGTCGAAGACGCGGCTGTCCCAGGCGCGGTAGAAGGGGGACTTGAGGAACGCCTTGCGGGCTTCCTCGCGGGAGGGCCAGACGTCGCGGCGGCGCGCCGAGGCCGCGGCGGGGGAGGAGGCGATGGTACCCTTGGCGTTGGCGGACCACTTGGAGATGACGGGGTCGAGGAGGACCACGGCGGAGAAGAGGCGCGGGTGGATGAGGCCGACGTTGGCGATGGCGTTGCCGCCGAAGGAGTGGCCCACGCCGATGAGGGGCCGGGGCGGGCGGAGGGTGTTGATGAGGTGGAGGAGGTCGCGCGGGTGATCGAGCCAGCCCGGGTCGTTGCCGAGGAGGGGCTCGTTGAGGGCCGAGGAGGCGCCCTGCCAGGCCGCGTCGGCGATGATGATGGAGCGGATGCGGAAGGTTGAGGACGGCTTGAGGGACTCGGCGTGGAGGTCCTGCCACAGGGGCTCGTAGAGTTCCTGGGGTTTGTTAGTGGTTGTTGGATGAGTGTCTAGTCAAAACACGATCCTTTGATGAAGTACAGGGCCCTCCGGTGATTAATAGGATATGAAACATGAGATGAGAAGACGGGAGATGTATGAACTCACCTTGGGGAACCCGTTGGCGTGGGCGCCGATGATGGTGACGTCGCCGGGCTTCGGGTTCGGGTTGTCCTTGGGGATGTACTCCTTCACGGCCAACTTGAGGACGTCTTCCTGGGAGCGCGAGAGGGCGCGAGGGAACTCGCGAATGTGAGAGCCATCGAGAACGTGCTCCTTGATGTGGAAGATGGAGGATATCGACATGGTCGCGAATACTCTCTCCCTGAGCTGGGCCGGAGAGTTTCACTCAGGTTAGATGAAGCAAAGGCACTTGAGGTTGTGGGCCGAGTCAATATGCGGCTATGATTTAGGAAGATCTCGCAGCAACGATTGAACCGAATGAGCGTGGATTGAGACGGAAATGGACCGGATATCTGAGAATGCCCTCTCACGACTCATCGGCACCGGAACAGACGAGGTTAGAAGACCGAGGGGGGACCACACTTCCATCGGCGGGACGTTGGACTCTGGGGTCTGGGGTGTGTGTGTGTGGAGCTGGACATGCCGAGGTTCCAGCGGTACAGCGGTTACCGGTAACGGGTAAAGAGCCCCCCCCTGGGTCCCTTACTCCTCGGCCCTGGCACATTGTTCTCAGAAGGTCCACGGCAAAAAAGAGCATACACATATAGTTGCGAGAAAACACGCCAACAAGAAGACAAACGCACGTTGCCGAGACATCGCGACTCGGTTGCGTCGGACGGCAGCTTGTACTCCGGCACGTCTGGGAACCTTTCGAAAGAAAGGCAGAGGCAAACCAGAGGCTCGGGGGGTACAAGACGCTGTCAGCCACCGTTTGAGATTCTGCGGTCTGTTGCGCATTTCCGGGAGACGAATCGAGTTTGCTTTTCTGTGTGCGAGTATTGTCTTTCTGCCTCTCCTTGCATTGTCACCGTGTTACCCGCCTGTCATCCAGTCTTTCTTGAGATTGAAGGGGAGGGACAGAGCAGGGAGGAGCTGCACACTCTCCAGGTACTCTGGACCGCGATGAACCGATCCTACCCCGCAATGCCCAACGATCATCTCCTCCCCACTTCTTCATCACGTAGTCCAGTGTTGCCCGCACCAAAGACTCCCCACCCACACTTCAACCAACACATTCCATTCCCCCGGACCGGAGCCGGTCCCAAAAAGACCCCTGCATGCCGAGAGTCCTCATCTTCACCGGCGCCCCGGAGGCCGACTGGTCCTCCCCGGACCTCCTCCTTCCTTCCACTTCCGCTCCGGCTCCGACACCAACCTCAGACTCCACATCAACACCCGCCGCCGCCCCGGCCTGGCGCTCCCTCGCCCTCCACCGCCAGCCCCTAGTCACGGGCTTCTCCCAACCACACGGTCTGCCCTCCGACTTTCTCCCTCCCGCACACTTCTTCTCCCTCTCCCTCAACGCAGACTCCCAGCAAGACACAACCGCCGGCGCGTCCCAGGAGCTCCTATCGCAGTTCTACGACCAATCTCTCGCCCTGCATCACGACCTCGCCTCTTCCCAGCTCCCTCCCCCGCCAACACCATCACGTCCCGGCGCCCCCGGCGGCCGCCGCGTGCCCTCATCAACGGCAGGGCAACACACGGAGTCGTTCAACACGACAGCCACAGACTCCTTCGTCTCGGAAACAACAGACTCCTTCCAGGACACCACCGCCAACCTGACGACATCCAGCGCCCGCCCCCCGCTCGTGACGTCCCACCACCTGAGCGACCTGGAAGACATCCCCCCGGGCCCGGACCTTCTCCGCCTCGCGCCGCAGACGGTGACGGTGAACCTCATTGCGGGGGTCATATCCGTTTCGGAGCCGCGCGGCGTCAAGACGCGCTGGGGGAACGAGCTGTCGCTCGTCGAGGTGCTCGTCGGCGACGAGACGCGCGCCGGGTTCGGCGTGACGTTCTGGGTGCCGTCGGACGGCGGCGGGGGCCGGCGGGACCCGAGCATGCCGACGCAGCTGCGGAGGCAGGACGTGGTCCTCCTGCAGAACGTCGCGCTGCACGTCTTCAGGGGCAAGGTGTACGGGCAGAGCCTGCGCAAGGGGCTGACGAGGACGACGGTGCTGTATCGGAGGAAGCTGGGCGAGGACGACGAGGGCGGGTATTATCGCCGGAGAGACCTGGAGACCGGCGGCAGGGAGGGGACGCATCCGCAGCTGGTCAAGACGAAGAGAGTGTGGGAGTGGGTGCTGAAGTTTGTGGGTGGCGAGGAGAGGACCACCACCAAGGGGAAGAAGAGGGGTTGGGATGCGCCGCCTGATGATACCCAGTGAGCGACGCCACATGTTGGACACTTTTTACGGTTTCAATGTTGTGATGTTTGTCATTTATCATTACATATTATATTCTAAGCAGAGTGAGATTCTATACCGGGTATCCTCTATGCGTTGATTCGCGTCAAACTCGTATCGTACAGCGGCATTTCGCCTTTTATACAGCAACAGCAACGGCACCGCCCTTGCCCTCCTTCTTGACGCTCTTCCACTGGAGACCCAGACAGGTGACGAAGGCAGCGCACGCGCAAGCGAGCGTGACGTAGAACGTGTGCCTCAACCCGACCATGTAGGCCTCCAGCACGATCGGAATCAAGTCTGCGCGGCCCATCTGGGTGAGGATGCTGCGGACCTGGTCGGCTCCGGAGTTGATGAAGATGGTGGGGTCGATGTCAGGAGCATTCTGGGTGACGCCCTCAATGAGCCCCGTCTGGAAGAGTGTCTGAGCGACAGCAATCATGATGGCGCCGCCAAAGGACTGGAAGAACTGCACGCAGGCCGTGGCGACGGGGACATCCTCCTGGGGCAGTACGGTTTGGACGACGAGCACGCCGATCTGGAAACCCGCACCGATGCCGAGGCCGGCGAGGACCTGGTAGCCGAACCACTCGCGCATGGGCGTGTCGACGTCAAAGGTCGTGATCATGCCAGCACCGACGGAAAACAGAACCATGGAGGGGAGGATGATGGCGTTATAGTAGCCGATGGCGGAGATCAACGCGCCGCTGACAATGGAGGCGACGACGGTGGCCAAGAGAAGGGGCAGGATCTTGATGCCGGCCTGGACGGCGCTGACACCTTGGATGGCCTGGAAGTAAAGCGCTGGTGGTTGTCAGTGTGCTGTATCGAAGACGACTCGCTGGAGAGAGAGTACTTACACAAGTAGTAGATGAGGGGAAGAAGGCGGCGCCAAAGAAGCAGCCAAAGAGCATGGCGCAAACCACGTTGCGGTTCTTGAAGAGCTTGGGAGGTAGCGTGCCCTTGTCTCCTTGCCAAAACTGAACGCCAATGAAGATGAGGATCATGAGCGCAAAGCCGACAAACAGCCCAATGACCGTGGCGCTGTTCCAGGCGTATTCGGTTCCGCCCCATTGCAAGGCGAGGATCAGGCAGACGATGGCAGGGATGAAGATGGCCGTGCCAATGAGGTCGAGCTGCATGATGCGTTGGACAAGGGTCTCACCCAGGGCGTTGTTCTTTTTGGTAATGGTCAAGAGGAAGAAGATGAAGACCATGGCAATGCCGCCGATGGGCAGGTTGACGTAGAAACACCATCGCCAGGTCGCCTTCTCCGTAAAAACACCACCGAGCAACGGCCCTGCCACGGAGGCGACGCCCCACATGCCTCCGATAAGACCAAAGGCCAAAGGCCGTTTCTCGAGAGGCATCGTGTAGCTCAGAATCACAATGGAACCGGAGAACAGACCGGCGGTACCGATGCCGGCGATGGCGCGGCCGACAATGAAGGCGGTCGAGTTGGGCGCCAAGGCGCAGATGAGGGAACCAACCTCGAAGACGGCGATGGCGGCGAGGTAGGCGTACTTGATGCTGAAGAGCTTGTAGATGGTGCCGTACATGGGCTGCAGGGCGGTGGTCGTGAGGAGGTACGATGCGCCGTACCAGCCAATGTCCTTGACGCTGCCATATTCAGATGTGATGGCGCCGAGGGCCGGGGCGATGATGGTCTGGTCCAAGGCGACGAGGAAGACGGCGAGACATAGCGAGATGATGATGAGGACGAGCTTCAGGCCCGACGGGTACACAACGTCGTCATCCTCGGACACGTGGTCCTGCTTGCTGAAGGTGTCGGCGGCGTTGTTGTCATCGTGGGGATGCGTCTTCTCGGTGGTGATGGAGGGGTCGGCCGACGTGGTGGTCTCGCCGGGCTTCTCTTCGGGATGTTTCGAGTCCATGGCAGCGGATTCACGATTGTTGTATGGGAGAGCAATGTTTGTCGTGTTTTCCTTTTGCCGCAAGGGAGAGGGCCTCACACATACACTTTTGTTGTTGCAAGGAGTAGGAGGGCAGGTTTCCTTGAAAGAAAAGGACAAAGGACTAAGGAAGGGTCCGGGATGGAGAGAAGAAAGGCCAGGACGAGAGCGCAACAAGGGAGGCGGCAGGCGGGATACTTATCCTCCGATGGGCTCGCTCGATATCTGAGATCGTGAAAATTAGCAGCTGCAGCTTTCCATCGGGCAACAGCAGGGCGGGCCACGACCACCTCCACCCCCTAGGGACCACCATCCAGGGTCGCTTTTTCACATAAGGACAGGCTCTTACACATTTGCAAGCCACAGGGACGATCGAGCCAAAGCCCGAGCTCCTCTAAACTACGTACCGGTAGTAGACCGTACTAAGAAAATAGAGTAGCCGAGTAGCGTAATGTGAGCTTGTGTGCGTTTGAGTGGGTGGGATAAGGGCAGGGGGGGAGGGCCTAGGCATGATGTGGATGCAGTCATCGAAAGGAGAGTTGAAATGTCCGAGGAAGGATCTCTCACTGGAAATGACATGATCACCACAGTTACGGGAGCTTAGGTTCATTTTTTTCTTCCTGCGTGCCATGTCATTCCATAACATGCTATGCCATGCCCATGCCAGACGGTGCGCCGGACCAGGGGTTGGCCAGGGCGGCTCCACCGCTTGCTGGGTACTTGTCCGCGAGCCTGCGATTTACGACGACTGCAGTGCGTTTGCCATGTGGTAGTGGGCCGGGATAAGGCAGGACTGGGGAGTGCAAGCCCAGCGGATGGGCGCATAAAAGATGACGGCTTGAACATGCGTGCATCATCGGGGGGCCTCTCTCGGAGGTCGGCTCGAAAGGTTGTCCGAAATGGCACGGGGCGGGTCCGATGATTGGTCGTCCTCGGCCTTTCCTACCATCGGTACTCGCTCTTTGGCGTTACGGTGTAATCCATCCTTTTTGGGATGTACGAGGTCAAAGACACAACCCCCCCCCCCAGGCGAATACTGCCCTGTAATTTGTTTTCAGCTGGGTCCCTAGTGGACACTAGCCACGGCCGCAAACGCCTGAGCCGTGCCTGGTGAGTCACGCATTGGGGATCTTTCACCCGGGAGACGCCCTACGAGGCCAAGTCGTGAGTCGGCGCAATATCGACTGCGACTCCAGAGTCCATCCGACGACCGCATCTCGCTGATTCATGGAACGTGTTTGCGGGCACTGTCGGACCGCGACGTGGGTACTGGGTCGCATCGTGAGACGTTGACTCGACTAGGGCGAGATCCCTTCCCGAACGTCTAGTTACCCTGGTGCCACACGAACGAATCAAGTGAAAAGGGACGAGATCCGACGTGTTAAGGAGGGGGGGGGGGGGGGGCGCACAGGTTGATAGGGCGTCCAGACAGTTGACTGTCTTTCCCACCCTCTGTCTCCCACATACTGCGCGGCCTGACATGAGGGTATTCGGAACCCTCGACACAATGCAATTGCACATCGGCATATGGTCCTTTCGGAAGACGTCGGCACCGCTCAGAGTTTCAGGAGAATGGCGCACCTTCCATGTCAAATGACGAAGCAGCAAACTCGGTTGTATCCCGGGCAAGGGTTGGGTTTGACAGGCGTCTAGAATGAGGGTAGACGGCCTCCCTTGGTGTACGGTAGGTATGCGTGACTGGGTCCGAGCACACTCGACGTAACATGCTTGACAGAGCAATGCTGATGAGAGCGTGTTCCCCGTCCAAACCATGGCACCCATCAGTCAGTTGGTCAAAGGGCGGGTGGTAAAGTAAAGAGACAAACCCCCAATGTGAGATCATCCGTCAAAGCAACAGCGGGTTCCCTCGTTCATTGGATGCCCAAGGGCCAGCCAGTCTCTGAAGAGTTGCGCAAGGGCTAGATTGCGACTGTCACGCCGGCCCCGGAAGAAAAGGTTGATTCTTCTGCCCACTTGAAACACGGTCCAGCTGGAACACGATGGGCGACGAGCTAACAACCGTACGATACCTACTCAGAAGGCAAGCAGCCTCGACGCACAGCGCAGCTGGTGAGAATAACGGCTCTCGAAAGATGAAGCACCCTGCTATTTTAAGCCTTCCCCGCGGCGTTTCGGGATCGGTGTGGAGAACATCCAGAGCCAAACTAGGTACCTAGGTACCCAAGGTAGGCGCAGTGCAGTGCAGTGAATGAATGGGAGGGAGTGCGAGTTGGAAGTGCCGCTATGGATCGACGAAACAACTGGGCCAGAAGCACCGCACCGGCGCGTCGGTGATGGATGTACCGCCCACCGTAATCTGTGTGCGTCGATACCCTCCGTCTCTTTGCAAGGTGCAGCCTGCCAAAGAGCCTCAGCGTCGCTCGTCAAGGTTCGCTGTAAATGGGTGTACTGTATACGGCTGGATACGGCGCCAATCGAATCCCGGCCGCATCTAACCCCCTCCAACGTCGTCTGCCCGCCCTCCCGCCGCGTCGACTCAACCTCCGCTCTCAAAACTACAACACGGACTACCCTGAGAGGTTGGCTGTGTTGATGCCATCTTCCGTCTCGCCGACATCCCCGCACAAAAGACGCTCCGGACGGCTTTGCAACAATCTAACAATGCCATTTGTTGAAATACACCCCATAGCCAGTATCTCAATGACCTCGCCCAAGCCTTAATCACGAGCCCCCAAAACGTCACTGAGCCCACGCCCCGACCCGAACGATCCACTACCCACCGTTGCCGGATATAACTCTACTGTTGATCAGTCGACCGCCTACTTACTTGGCTTGCTCTTTCGCGAACAACGGTGCACTTTACTCTGCTGCTACACCATGGATCGAGCCATGGACTTGAGGGACATGGACTTTGAGTCTGCCATCGTCGACGACGATAAGGACGTCGACTTTGTCGGACACGCCGTCGCGACTCCACACCTGCTCGGCCGCTCGCCCTTGTCCAAGACGCGCTCCATGTCTGACGGAGGAGGGACCCCGTCGAAGCTCACTCCTTCGCCGCACATCGCCGACGGTCGCCAGGCATCCAAAGACGACAATCACATCAGGGACACAACCACGACGCCCGTCACTCCCCACCGGTCCGAGTTCCCCCTCCGCGGCCTCACGCTGCAGATGCCCACGAACCGTGACCCGGCCTCCCCTGCATCGACCTCGTCCGCCGCCTTTACGAAACCCGCACCTCTGTCGCCGAAGCTCGACCACTCCCAGATTTACGCAAGCCCGACCAACATACTACCGCGTCGCTCCCGCGGCCTCGACTTCTCGCGGGCTGCCACCAGCCTGCATCACTCGACCCTCGCCGAGTCGTCGCCCGACTCATCGCCCACCATCGGAGGAAGAGGCATGAACATCCCGGGCCGCAGGAGCAATGATTACGGGCAGGCCGAGCAGACGACCAACTCTCTGTGGTCCATGATGGGGAACCACGAGCGCATGACCGTGTCCAGCTCGCTGGGCAGCGCGAACCATCTGGGGTCAGATTCTTCCTCGTCTTCCGACGACGACGACCTCATGGACGAGGATACGGATGAACCCTACCTCGGGACGCCGCAAGCCAACAAAACCGCCACGCCGCTCGGTATCCAGCCAATGATGGCACCGTGGGGAGGCTCTCCTGCAATGAACAGCCTCATGAGCTTCCAGCACAGGCAACGGCAAAGGAAACAGCCAAAGAAGAAGCACAAGCTGCCGCTGGGACTGGGATTCAGCCCCTCCACAAACGCCGGCGTCTCAAAATCGCCGCCCAGCACTATGCCGAAAGACATGTCGGGCCACAACCGCCGGGAGAGCATCAGCTGGCAGGCGAACCAACTTCACATATCCGGGAGTGAGGAAGAGCGGGGCGATAACATTGACGGCGTTCTCACGACCCCGAGTCGCGACGGACAGCGTCCCACCGTCATGCGACGCGTCGTCACACGTCGTGGCAACTTGTTGCCCAAGACGAAGAATTTCGCTCGTATCAGGGCGGCCTTGTTCGAAGAAGGAGCACCTGTGGAGACGGAAACTCAACGAGAGGCCGAGGTCGTCCGTCAAGTGCGTGAGAGCGACGTCGATCTTGGGGGACCTCGTCAGCAGACGGCACCGGCCACCACGCACTCCTCGCCGAATCTCGGCGCCCAAGACCAGTCTCTGGACGATATACCAGAAAGCATGATCACAGAATCGGCCCTCAACCTCTCGGGTAGTTTTAAGCAACAGGCCTTGAAGAATTCGAAGGGCACCAAGTTCTGGGACACGTTTTCCGAATCGAGCAGCATCGGTGCCCGCACAACACCACCACCCCCGAACGGTCTGCCCCGCGGCTCGTCTTCGGGGATGAGCGAAGACATATGCATGGACTCGCCGTCCCTCGGGCCCACGGCGGGTTTTGCCATGGCCGCCAGCAGCGGTGAATCTCAAAAGGGCGACACCCCTCTGCTCGCGCAAGGCCCGCAATCGGCGCCCAGCGCCGCAGACATCACACGCCGCATCAACAGCAAGCGCCGGCGGGACGACGACCACGACCCGGTCAGCCTCAAGCGCCGAGCCGTCAGCCCCGGCATGAGCGTGCACAACTCGCCCATCATGCAGAGCCCCATGCAGCGCGAGATGGCGCCCTGGGGATCGCGCCCCGGCAGCAACAGCGGCGACCGCGGCGGAAGCGGCGCGCCGAGCGAGTCGGGCAGCCTAGGAGGCACGCCCGGCAGCGGCGCCAACGCCAACGCCAACGGCCGGGTGAACGGCAACAAGGGGCGCGTCGGGTTCCAGGGCATGGTCGACACCAACGACGGCCTGATGCGGATGAGCATCGAGTGATTGATTGGTTCTTTGAGACGCTCGCGGAGCAGTGTCGGCGCAATCTGCATTTTCAGGCGTTTGGTCGGGAACACCTTTCAGTGAAAAGTACGGACGGAACCAGGGCGAATCGGCAGGTCATGAAAAAGGGGATAAATCAAGTATATCCATAGAGGCCGTACTCGGTGGCACACACACACACACACACAACGCAACATACATAACAACACTGCAGATGAAATAGAGTCGTAATTAACAAGGCATTGTACAGAGTGATTACGAACATGATGGTAAACTGTTGGCCGTGGTATCTTCCGCCCCCAACGCCTGTGTACGCCTAGAATGCCTCCCCAAAGCTCTCCCTCTCTCTCTCTTTCATCCCCCATAAAAATCGACACAATTTCTAAATAAAAAAGAAAGAAAAGAAAAGAATTATGCAGCCCGGCCTCCCCGTGACAAAAGTCCAACACTCGACACACATCGTACACGTCTGATCGGAACCACCATGCGCTCCACGGGAACACACCTATTCGACGCCGACGCCCTCCTCCGGGACGCGCAGGCTGCCGAGCTTGTCGTCGAGCCAGCGCGCCAGGTCCTCGGCGTGGCGGCGCAGGACGACGACGCCGGCCGTGTTGACGCTGCCGACGCTCGCGAGGCTCGCCGTCGTCTGCGCGCCGACGCTGAGGACGCTGTCGGCCTCGGAGGGGGAGGCGGGCATCTGGGACGGGGTCGCGCCGCCGGAGCCGCCGTTGGGGTGGTGGTGGTGGTGGTGGTGGTGGTGCGGCTCGGGGGCGTGGGAGTCCAGTGTCTCGGCGAGGGGCCCGATGCAGACGAAGAGCAGGCCGCACTTGAGGCGGCGGATGACGACGACGCCGGCGGCGAGCTGGACCGTGATGGTCAGCGGCTTGCCGGCGCCTTCTGCCGCGGAGGCCAGGGGCGGCGGCGGGGACGACGACGACGAGTTTGGCAGCGCGTCGGGGATGTCGGGGGCCGTGGAGGCGTGCAGGGCGAAGAGGGAGGAGGCGACGGTGGACTGCGTGCGCAGGAGGGATACGGGGTCCGGCGAGGCGTGGGCGAGGAGGCGGCCGGAGGGGGTCGCGAGGAGGGCCGTGTGCAGGTGGGCGTTGAGGTTGGAGGCGAGGAAGGCCGTCAGGCGTTTCGTCAGGAGGAGGGGGGGCGTCGGTTGGGAGAGCGACATGGTGGGCGTTTGTTCGTCGTTGTTCGTCGTGAGGATCGGAACGGTCGTGATGTTGTTGTGGTGGGAGGTTCTAGAAGGGTTTGGGGGCCGTTGGGGGGCCGATGGGAATGGGTGATTGTTGTGTCGTGCTGCTACGGCTTTGGTGGTTCTTGTCCCCGTACAATCTTCAAACAAATATCACGGTCGTCGCGGCTGGTCGACGTATTCGCAACAAGAGCTCAAGCTCGAGGCCGCGCTGGGAGACGAGGAGGGTGTGGCGGGCAAAGGTACACAGAGGTCAAAGGTTGTGCGATCCACAATCCGCGGAATCGGAGAGCTGTAGCAGCCTCACGCTCCGGGCGCTGCGCCCAAGAGGAACTTTGGGGTGGGGCAATCCTGGGCCCCCGTCCAACGTTTTGAGGGTACGTACCGCGGCCGAAGCACCGAATTGTTGGTGGGGGGGGGGGGGGCCGCTCGCCACGGACGACCTCTTGTCATTACTAGGCTGGCTTTAGTGCCCGACATCTGCAACTAACACGCCCCCGTCGCGTGATGGATTGGATGAACTACCCGTATCATGGAACGAGCGCGAACTAGCTTTTGTTGCCGTGGACGTGACGGCTATTTGGGAATTGATGAATGACGCTACGGGATGTCGGAACCAGTGTGCAAATACAACCATATCGTGAGAAACAAACCGACAGAGCAACGCCAACCACCCCGCCTGTATAGACTGAATCAACAGCTCACTCATCCATCGCCTCACCCTTGTCAACAGCTGCAGCATTGTTCAACACCAAAAACCGATACCCGAGGTCATCCTCGACGTCCACATACTCCCGCCCGTCCTCCGTCTCGTTCCGCCACCGCCGGTACAGCACCTCGACCTCGTCCGCCAGCGCCTGGGTCCCGACGGCCGGCGCTTCGAGGTCGTAGTTGAGAAGCATCCGCACGGCGAGGGTGAGGTACGACGAGTAGCCCACGCGACACAGCGTCTCGTCGATGTGGACGTCCGCCTCAGCGTTGCAGGGCGTGGGACAGCGGCACCCGCGGAAGGTGTCGTGCTGGCACTCGCGGCTGAGGTGTTTCCCGTCGTAGACGCAGTCGACTTTGGCGCACCGCCGGATGTGGATGCACTTGCACGTCTTGCACCCGTCCAGGCTGGGGAGGGGGTTGCCGACCATCATGCGGAAGAGGACGGCGCCAAGAGCCCAGTGCTCGTCGCTGAGCGTATACAGGCGTTTGCTCTGCGACCATGGTCAGTTGCTGTAAGTGTGTATGGGGAATTTGAAAACTCACGTTCCTCCCCGTATCCAGGTACTCCTTCCACTGCTTCGTCATGTCCGTCAGGGCCATGTGTCCCTCCTTGGGTGCAATCGGGAACCCGATGCTGTGCGGAAGCGGCTTCTCGCCCTTGGGCGCCCCATCCCGCCGCGCCGGCACGCCGGACACGAACGCGCTGCCGAACTTGCCCAGCTTGCAGACGCCGTACGTCTCCCTGCCGCGAGGGTGCTGGAAAAAGACGGTCTGGGCGCTGATCCCCCGGTGCAGGATGGGCATCCACTCGGCATCCGTCTTCATCCAGCGCCGCTCGCCAGTGACCCAGTTCACCTCCTGGCGGTACCCGTCGTGGAGCCAGACGAGGGCGCGCATGATGGACACGAGGACGTGCCAGCACAGCGACTCGGGCAGGAAGCAGCCGGGCTCGCGCTCGGTGTCGGGCTTCGCCAGGAGGTTCTCGAGCGTGCCGGCGTCGCAGATGTCCCAGACGAGGTAGTCCTCGGTGGCGTCCACGCGCGGGTGGACGGGCTGCTGGCGGAGGTAACCGGCGAGGGAGATGATGTTCTCGTGGTTGAGGATGTGGGAGACGTTGCGGCCGAGGTTGCAGTCGTAGAGGAGGTCCATGAGGCCCTTGACCTGGCGCTGCCTCTTGGTGGTGAAGCTCATCGAGTACTTGCCGGCCTCGTAGTACTCGTCAAAGTCGTCCACTTTGCGCGCAACGAACTCTTCGCCGTCGGCATAGCTGGGGTTCTGGGCGACCCGCCGCGCCAGCCAGATGTTGTGATGGACTCTCTTTACCAGTTGGAAAGCTGGCTGGGGGTGGTCCGGGTCCTCCATCACTAGTGATTGCAACAGCGCAGTGGTAGATTTATGTCAAGATGGTATATACGTCGATGCAGCTGAAGGTTAGACACCGCGACGAGGAACCTGGGCAACGGGGTGCTATCATCTTTGTAGGCCTTGTTTGTAGAGCACTGTGGTCTGCTGAGGGCTAAATCATCTTCATGAATGCATTCCCTTCGTGTTCGAGACAAAGGGTGATCTCATTGCCATTGTCCTCTTTGATTCAACGGCAGCCGTCTTGGCAAGCCAAAAACGGTTGCCGCGTGCGCCTCTTCTGCCTTTGGTACCTACGGCCGTTGAATTCCAGAAGGGCAGCTAGGAACCACAATAGGCATCGCAAAACATGTCCGGGTTTTCGGCGTGTCGGCGCGGTTATTTTTGTTGATTTCGCGAGACGCCTAGAAACCAGCATGGCGACGTTTCCTCGGCCGAGATTACCGGCGGCAAACGCAAACTCCCATCACCCGCAATTTGTTCCACCGAACCAGTCTTTCGGAGGCTTGGCCAAACAAGAAACACTTCATGCACCCGGGCTCAAGCCCAACCGCTTGGCAGACTAGAAGCCACGGAAGTCCTGGAAACACGGCCTTTGCTGAGCCCACCATTAGACAGGCAGCCCTTTGTCGGTCTGTCGCATCAAGATTGGGATGGCGACAAAGATAGCCGAATGGCCGGGGTAATCCACGTGCACGTCGCAAGCACTCCGCTGAGTAAATTGGCTATGGAGAAGCGAAATGCTGCGACTTCCCGAAGTGGGAGGCATCCAAGATTGCCCTCGGTCATTTATTGCTGGCACCAAATCTTGCTAGGCCGTGTTGGCCAAGACCTGCCGTCTGATCCGAAGTATCTTTGGCCCTTCCCTTGGGAGGCGTTGCCAGAAGCTGGTTGGTCCACTGGATGCTCGGGCTAAGCCTGGGAGGTGTGGCAGGGTACCTAGCATGGAGGGCTCGTTGTCAATCGTCGTTGCATACCAAGCATCACCCTGCGTTCGGCTGGACCGTCGAATGACCTAGAGGGACAACCAATCAATGCGAGAATGGTGCACTGGCCAGGTCGCAGGTTGAGAAGAAGAAGCAGCGACGAAGCCCTTCTTCTAACACCCAGGGAGTCGTCTCCGGGTTGCTTGACATCATGCGTACCGTGGTACGGACAAGGGCTGTACGTTTCATTGAGACTATATCCGGATGAAGCTGAGCGGCGTTGAGACGGAATACCCGTGTCGGAGGGAGAGCATCCATTCTGGCTGTGACGACAGTGGACAGCCGTCGATTTGTCCAGAGTAAGTCGGGTTTGACTCGACTGGAGTGGTTTTCCTCTCTCGTCCGGCACCAGATTGAGGGGTCTCGGTCGGCTGGTGGTGTTTGGCCGTCAGCCACAGCGAGTTTTGACCGAGGAGGCTTCTTAGCGCGGCCTCACATCTCCCGCCGGCGCGGCTCTAGCCTCCAGAAGCTGACGTTGCACTTTGTGGGAGTGGTTAGCAACTAACCCGCGATCCTTCAGGAGGGTCCAAACCACGCGGGCAAGAAACTTGGAGAGATGCAGGACTTGGTTCAATGGTTGGATGGGTAAGACGGGCGCTTCCGAGCCGCGGGTGCAAACATGGCCGCGGGAGTCGAGACGACGAGGCCGCGAACCCGCCGGCCATGTTCAACCTCGAACCAGTGCCTGTATCGAACAGAGCGACTGGCGGACTTGGGAGTAGTTTGGGGGCCACTCGGGCGACCTTTGGGCCCAGCAGAGACACTCAGTTCAGTGAGCGGATGGACGAGGGACGAAGAGAGACCAAGGGGTAGGACGGAGAGGATACATTGTGGGGGGGGCCCTCACTCGCGTCAAGGGCAGCTATAAATGAGTCGGGCCAATCAGAGATCCAGATCAGACGGGAAATGGGACCTCAAACGCTCTGTTGGTGCGCTAACCCCGATCGGGACAGATGGTGGCATGGTACCTGCGTTAAAGGCCGCGCTTCAAGTCGCTATTGCTCCACATGCCTTGCGGACGCTCGAAACCGCCAAAACCATGCTGCCCGCGCGCCCGCGACAACCCCGTCCTGCCCGTCTAGTTCGTCTGTGTCTGCGACTGGCCGGGGGATGAAAATTAATTGGATGACTGTACCGAAAGCAACCCCTTCCCCCCCCATCTTAGCCCCGTCTCCCATGGCTTGTCAGTACATAGTGTACCTACTGGCCTTGACCCTTCCTACCCAAGTCGGCCCCCCCGCTTGCAGATCTCTCTTCAAGACCTCCACTGCCACTCCCCAAGTCGAGGGTCACGCTCACGTCCTCGTCTTGCGCTCTCCCTCTCGCTCTCACACACCAAACATTCCACCCCCGAGGTTCGCGAAGCAGTCTCGTGGCCTCGAGAGCAAGACTTCCATCTCTTCGCCCGCCGTCCCCCGATTGTGTGAGAAATCCACGTCGTCCGCTCCTTCAGGACCTCCTCGACTATCGTTCAACGACTCGAACCCTCGCGCTCTCCGCTGGACCAGAGTTGTATCATCTCTTCGCCCTTTTCGACATCCTGAGACTCAGCCTTGTAGTCCGCAGTGGCCGATCAAACGCGGATAATCGGCTACCAGAACTTCGTCTCCCTTAACCCACAAGCCCGCCCACAAGCCCGCCCACGAGACCGCTTGTTTTCCCTTTTTTCCCCCCTCCCGACCGTCAATCGCAATTCGACCAAGGCCGTACGAATGGTCAGCCGTTGAACAAACCGAATTGGGCTTTGCCAGCGCTGTCGTCACCTCACAACGCTTCTTTTTTTGCCCATTTTTGATCCACCCTCAAACACCCGGTCGCTCGGCCATGCCAGCTTAACACTTGCGCGGTCCGACCTCTCTTGTGTTGCACAATTCAGCCCATCCTGCCCTTGACCCACATTCCGTTCTCCCTCTCGTTCATTCTCTTCTTTCCCCTACATCCCGTCGTCCCGTCTCTTCGGTATCGACTGGTTCTCTTCCTGGGTCATCAAGAAGAGAAACACAGTCGATTACTTCGCGGGCGAATAACGACGTGTGTTGACGGCAGGTCCGAGTTGCTCTATCACACTCATTCACGACTCCGGTCCCAGTAGGCCGCTGCTATCAACAGCTTCATCATCATCTTCTTCTTCTCAACTCGAATCAGCTCGACTGTGTCGGCATTCTTCGATACCTTTTGACAATCAATTGTCGTCCTCACCGACCCCCAATTTTCAAGATGGGGTGCCTCAGCCACCGTAAGAAGGTCACTGAGCAACGTGCCGAGCAGAAATGGGACTACATTGTAGGTGGAAATGGCAGACGTAGTCACGCTCTGGCGCTAACAATCTGCAGAACCTCAACGACTTCAAGTCGCGGGGTTGCCTTACCCCGTTCGCCTACTTCTACCTCTGGCTCATGTTGATCATCTCGTTGGCTGTCTACGGCGTCGACATGTTTACCGCCGTTAACCTGCTGGCCTTTGACCGCTGGTCTTCCGAGATCGATCCCGCCATCGACTTCAAAGTCTCGAAATGGATCTTCTCCATCTCCATCATTGCATCCTTCGTCAACATTGCATTTGAACAATTCAGGGCTATGAGAGTCATGAAGCGGGGAAACGTGGCAGAATGCTATCTTGACAACATTGCTGTCCGTCTCGAAAGTGTCCGGATGGGAAAGGGCCAGGGGTGGAAGCGTTTCTTGGTCTTCGCCGAGCTCACCAAGAGCAAGAAGGGAGCCGAGTATATTGCTTTGTTCACCTACTTCAGCTTGCAATGTAAGACCCACCCATGCTGCTGCACGAAATCTACTGACACATCCCAGCTTGGATCCGTGTTCTCGTCTGTTCCGGTCCCCGTCAAGTTGTCAATGCCTTGACGCTCAAGTCGGTCTACGATGCCAAGCTTGCTGTTCATGAAACATCCGTCGAGGGCTCCCTGCTGGGCTTCTTTGACAAGATCAAGACACTCGCCATGGAGGACTACCAGCAGGCTCTCATTCTGTCTGGTATGCTCTTCACCCTCCTCATTTGGGTCTTCTCCGCCCTGTACCTCATCATGGGTGTCCTGTTCTACGTCTTCTTCCTGTTCCACTGGATCCCCAAGGCCGATGGCGGCCTCTCCGGCTACTGTGAACGCAAGGTCACCAAGGCTCTCATGAAGATTGTGACTGCCAAGGTCAACAAGGCTCTAAAGAGACAGGAAGAAGCCAAGCGAAAGCTGGAACTCAAGGCGGCAAAGAAGAACGGCGAGAAAATGCCTCTCGAGCGACAGGCCACTCTGCCTACGCTCCCCAATGTTGGCGACCCGGACAAGCTTGCCGAGATGCCAATGTTTGGCCGCAGCGACACCTTCACGACGCTCCCCGCCTACGAATCTCGACCTGGTACTCCCGGCAGCATCGAGCTCAACTCCATGGACCAGAAGCGTCCTGTGCCTTCAAGGATGGGTACCACGACTTCAACTGCCAGTTATTCTTCCCATGCGCCCCTGGTCGGCGGGGCCGCGGACTTTGGCTACCAACGATCTGCCTCGCCCGTTCCGTCGCTCCCCCCGATGGACCTGAACAACTACCCGCCCGTTCGACCTGGTACCTCCAACTCTCAACGCAGCTTCCGACCCCAACTGTCGCATATGCAGACCAACTCACAAAGCTCCTTGCGAGGCGGCTACTCGGAGAGCCCCGCCACCTACTCCCCAGACACCATGCCCCCTTTCCCTCCTCCTGTCAGATCTCCCACTGCCCGGACGATGGACGGCTATGGTCTGCAAAGGCAGAACACGTACCAGAGTGACCGCTCCGCCCCGGCACCTAGGAGCACCTATGACGACTACTCGAGCCATTCCAACGGACGAGCCAGTCCAGCGCCTTCGACATACTCGACTCGTTCGGGCGCCCCATGCCGCGTGGTCCTGGCCCGCTCAACAACACACCCTTCCAAGCCTACCAGCCGTACACCCCGACGCGAAGCGCGACTGGCCCACTTCCCCCTCGAGGCCCACCGAATGCTCCTGTGCGGAACATGACGGCGCCTGTGCCTCGCCCGCAGGAAGACTACTCGGCCCGTCCGGGGACGTCGCAGAGCCAAAGACCCAGCCCACGCGGCCAGGGCTACGGCTACAACGACGACGTTGAAGCCCAGAGAGACCAGCGGTACTAGGCGTACCGGACTGGGGCTTAGGGTTCATAGATGAGCATTCGGCTCGGGGCAGCCGCTTTTTTCTTTTTCGTAATGTCTCTATGGTTCAAGGGGCATCTTGCCAGCGTTGGAAAACGCGCACCCTCACGACAGGCTTCCCATCATTTCTTCTTCGCCCACGCCTTGGGCCTCGCACGTCCAGATATGGATCAAAGTGCTTGGGCCAAGGAGCGGGCTGTCCCATCTTTTTACGACTATCCTTTCGATACCCCCTCCGACTTTTTTTCTTCTTCTCATTCGTCATGTATTAACAAGGGAACCGGGCCTACTGGCTACGGAAGTGCTCTAAGAGCCGCTAGGGGAAATCCAGAACCATTGTACTACTAGATACCAAAGAATTACAGACTTGTCTGTTTTGACAAACAATCCGATGTTGACTGAGTATTTGTGACGATTTTGACACTGTAACGTAATGTAACCAGTCAACCAGTCCCCGCGGTTTGCGGGCCCCCCTTGCTGGAGATTTAGAGTTTGGCCCCGCATGTCCAAAGTTGGCGACCCTTGTCAGCCTGACAGTGCCAACCGCCAGTGTTGCCAGTGTCAGCACCAGCGTTGAGGCCGCTGCTCCTCATCACGACATCGCGCGCGCCCTTCGACGCTGATTTGTCACCTGCATGTCAATGTCATAAGCCGCAGTTTGCAAATCCCGACAAAATGCTGACACGCATCCGCGAACGTTCCACTGGCAATTTCTGCTCATGGACATGGCATTAATCACCTGGGCACTCGAGGATTAGATCAAGTTTGAAAGCAGCGCCCAACCCCCTCCCCTCATGAACTACACGACCCTCCTAACAGCCATATTCGCATCACACATCCTTCCACCAGACGTTCTGTTCATCCCAACACCCAAAATGCCGGCACGAACAATGGAATTCCATCCGGGCGAGCTCGCCCTCCACGATCTCCTCAAAATTCCCCGTCGACCCAACCCCACTTCCGCCGGCCTCCCGCCGTCCTACGGCGCCCGCCTTGCCGCATCCCCGCTCCTGGCCCTCGGCACACTCGACGGCCACGACCGACCATGGACGACGCTCTGGGGCGGCGAGGCGGGCGGTGTGGCGCGGCCGATCGCCGAGGACGTGCTGGGCGTCCGGAGTCTAGTTGATGTCATTGATGACCCTGTGCTCTCTGCGCTCTGGGGCGTAGGCGAGGAAGGGAAGGGCGTCGAGGATGGGAAGGTGGTGCAGCCTGGGTTGGAAGGTGACGGAGGGAAGCTCGTAGCGGGACTCGGGATTGATCTGATCACTAGGGACCGGGTCAAATTCGCGGGGAGGATGGTTGCCGGGGCCGTGAATGGCGGGGAGGCTCAGGTCGCGGTCAAGGTGGAAGAGAGTTTGGGAAACTGCCCAAAATACCTGAACAAGAAGGACGTCTCCGCCCGGGGCTCGATCGAGAGGGGGAGGGTGGAGAAGGGGTTGCCTCTGGGCGAGGGGGCGCTCGAGGTCGTGAGACGGGCGGATATGATGTTTCTCACCAGCGGGCACGAGGGGACCATGGATACGAACCATCGCGGAGGGTCGAGGGGTTCGTGAGGGTTGCCAGGAATGACGTAGGTGGGGTGGAGATTATCTATCCAGAGTGTGAGTTTCTTCCTTTTCCTTCTCGAGCGATGACAATGTGTTTTCGTTTCGGTTTCGTGACCTGAGGATGGAGGGCTGATGCGTTGTTACAGTTTCCGGCAATCGGTTGTACCAGACGCTGGGCAACCTTAAGGTGAACCCCTTGGTCGGCGTCGCGATCCCAGACTTTGAGACGTCTGACGTCCTCTACGTAAGTGTCACTCCCCCTCCCCCCCTTTTTCCCAGAATGGCACCCAGACCAGCGACAAAAGGCTAACTACGGTTTAAGCTTACGGGATCGGCGTCGATTCTCGTCGGAAAAGACGCCGCCGCCCATCTACCGCACACGAAGCTCGCGGTAAAGATCACGGTGACGGCAGCGGTGTTCGTCGAATCAGGGCTGCCATTCGTCGGCACGCCCCTGGAGGCGTCGCCTTACAACCCCCCCGTGCGGCGGTTGCTCAGCGAGCAGGAGCTGAACGCGCCGTCATCAGTACCCCGGACTGGCAGGACCGCCACCTTGCTCCGCCGCGAGGTTGTCACGCCGACGATCGCGCGCTTCGTTTTTGGGCTGGAGCCCGGGGCGAAGTGGGAGGCCGGACAGTACGTCACGCTCGATTTCTCCGAGGAGCTGGACGTGGGCTGGAGTCACATGCGCGACGACGCGCCACAGAGTCTAAACGACGATTATGTGAGGACGTTTACGGTCTCGTGCCCGCCGGGAGACGGAAAAGAGGTCGAGATCACGGCAAGGCGCAAGGGCCTGTTACGGATATGCTGTGGAGGTGGAACCTAAGGGTCCCTTTGAAGGTTCCCGTGTTGGGTTTTGGTGGTGAGGAGGCGTTCAGACTGGGACGACGAAGGGAGGACGGCGTGGAGGAGGTGTTTGTGGCGGCTGGAGTCGGGATCACGCCGCTGCTCGCGCAGGTTGGCAATATTTTGGGAACGGGGGGCAGGCTGAAGGTGTTTTGGAGCGTAAGGGGGCAGGACATGAAGTTGGTGAAGGAGGTTTGTGAGAAGGTTGATGGATTGGGTGGTGTGTTGCGGGTGTTTGTCACAGGTCAGGTTGGGGAGGCGGAGGAAGAGGCTATCAGCGGCGTCGAGGGTCTCGGAGCTGCGGTCGAGAGACGGAGAATAGGGGAGGGGGATGTGAAGGATGGGACAGGAAGGAGAAGGTTCTTCCTGTGTACAGGACCTGAGATGTTGAAGATCCTGAATGGTTGGTTGGAGGGCGAGGAGGTTGCTTGGGAGGATTTTGCGTTTTAAAGGGACCAATCCAGTGTCAACTAAGGCATATAGCCGAACGTTTCCCAATAGTCGGGAATAGGGGCGTTTTGCTCTGGTGCCTGATTGCGCCTTACAACGCTCGTGGCTAGAGAGCAAACGGTAAAGTCGACGGGCACATCCGAGTAGGTTCCGGCTCCCCTGAGCTCAAAAGTTTGTCGGCAATCAAAGCCTGAACATCCCCATCCTGGACTCCCAAATTAACGTTGTTCTATATGCTTCTTTTTTTGGATGGCATCTAAGTAAGCCGGAAGACCATGCTAGTCTCGCAGTCAATAGAAGCTTTCTCGGCATCTCTGCTCCCGGGCGAAGAGTCTTTGTGAAGATGGGAAAGGCAGACGCGATTGAGGTTTGTTTAATCAGCTAGACTTCGCCAGTTGCGAACAACATTGTCTCAACGGACATCGTAAATGGGGATGTAAAGACGGTAAGCTTCCGCAGATGCAGTGTATAACACTCATAGAGGTTTCCGATACACGCCCCCTTAGAGCCAGAGATGTGTTACAGAGCCAATGGCTTGCTGAAGGCGTCGATCTGAGACACGACATCGGGGGCCGGAGTCCATATCAAGGGTTTAGGAACGTGGCTGCAGACAAGTCATCGAATTAGGCAACGCCGAGATTCGGAGATTTTTTCCTCCTGTCCACCTATTCGAATCGAAGCGGAAGGAATGTGCCCAATAGGACCTACCACCGTGTGTGAACTCGATTGAGATCGAAGGCGTGATTCTGGACGGTCACTGTAACCGAGGAAAGACCACAGAGACAACTAACTGAGTGGATTGGATTGATAGCAGGTACTTTCACGTACACGCAACCACCACGGGGAGGCGAGTACATCTCATCAGAGAGCACCACCTGCCACCAGCTGCACAGCCATCGCGATCTCCCCCAGCGCAAGCCACGATGCCACACAATTTCTCGATGAGCACTCAACCCCGGCGTTCCAGAGCTTACACCCGGCTCAGATCGAGGCCATCGTCGACAGCCTCGCACGACCATGCGCCAAAGCTGCCTCATGCTCTCGTCCCAGATCCTGTTGGAATTGAAAGCGTGAGCCCGAGTAGTGGTTGCGCGCGGCGGTTGTCAAGTGGGAGTCCCGAAAGTCAAGAGTCAGCCGCAAATGGGGGGTGCTTTCGAATCAAGTCAGGTGGCCTGTCTTCGATTGAGATGTTGTTGTCCGACGTTAATCTATCGGGACTTGGTTGAACGGGGTCGAATGGACCTTGTGCGCCAGCGAACATGGGGAAAGGGACCACAAGCAGGTCTCATCGATTCACTGAAGATGCGGCTTGGCCTCTGCTCACCAGTCGTGGTGGATCCCGGGGGTGAGCATGCGAGCTCGGATCGAAGACGTGGATGGGAATAGGCATTCCCATATGGGATCCGGCATGCCATACGGGGGAATGTCGATCGGGGTTTGAACTGAGGCCATCGCGGGTCGACCTGTCCCCGCCAAAACCCAACGCGCGGGTGGATGAACTCGGCAGAGCAGAAAACACGCAACTGTCGCCGTAGCAAAAGCTCCGCGGGTTGCCTAACGTCGTCGGGTCATCGTCTACGATGTACGACTCTTCTCCGCTGCGAGCTCGCTTCTACGGACACCAAACATACGAAGCTCACCGTTCCCTCAGTCACCCCCTGCTTTTTCGGCCGATTCCTTCTCTTGGATCGATCAAGGGGGCCTAAGCCGGACAAGGCATTCGGAAGACCGGGTCTGGACTCTTTCCAATGTGACGCAAGTACGGTTTGCTCACGACGGCCACTGGCCAGCCTCCTTCGGCAAGTTCCTAGACTACTGGGGTAAAAAGAAAGAAAAATGTGAGAGATCTCGATGGCGCAGCTTGGCTGGGCACAGACGGCGCGGTTGTCAGCATGTACCGATGCATACAAATTCCCGATACCAACGCAAGCACATGGGTAAAATACACTTGCACCAGCCTGCCATCCATCCACCCACCGGCGACCTCGCGTCCAGAGGGACGAGTGTCACAACGCCTATCGAGTCGCTCACGAAGCTCTTCCTTGAAGAAATGACAATAGTATGGAATCTCTCACACGGAGCTCCCTATACTGGAGCTGAAAGCCTGCCACCCCGAAGTCAATGCTAACTCGAACGGGTCATGGGGATTAGGAATACTGTGTATCTGGACAGGAAGAATCATCCAACGACAAGAAGCCGATTCCTGTCCCCCATGCTGGTGGAGACGACCACCACGACCACGGGCAAAATCAGCCAACTTTTGTGCACGAGAAAAATGCGCGTCTAACTAAATCAAAAAGGTTGCAGGGCGCTATGAAGTCTGAGCAGGGGCCCAAGGACTGGCGGGGATCGAGATTGTAGGAAAGCCGTTGTGGCGATCGCTGTGATCGCTGGGCCAAACGCAAATCTGAGCATCGGATTTTGGCCCGACCCGACTCAGAACCCCCAGCTCAGACACCTTTCCGTCCATGTCCTCGCCCAGCGCTTCGAGCACCGTCTCGCCACTCTGCAATAGGTTACGGCTGGGCGTAGGTAACGTAACGTAACCAGGCCAGCAGCAGTAGCAAGCACTGGCCAGAAGATACCGGTAGAGCCCACGAACCCGGCCGAGGGGGCTACGTTGACAGTCATCCAACACTGAGCCCTTCTCTCACCATCCCCGATGGCCAGTACATCACACCAAACGGTGTTTCTGACACCATTCGAGATTGTTAAGCCTCTGGTAGCCCCACCCGAGCCACAAGGCACCTGCTCAAACATGAATTACCTACATAGTAGCTACGGGGAAGGTGACGCTCGATTGCCATCATGGTTCACCCCGCAGAGCGTTCGTTCTCTTGTTGCTCCTACTGCGGTTTGGCAGTCAACCACTCCCTTGCAGCCCTTACAAGCATGGAAGTGGGAGCTCCGCAAACCGAGAACATGGGCCTGACCTGTTGCGGACCCCATCAGCCCTTACAGACTCTGGTTCAATGGTTCATTGATGTAATGTCCCCTCCAGTCAGGCCAGCACTCCCCTCTCGGATTGGATGAAATGGGTGGTCGGCGACCACTATAGCGGACCTAACCCCCCTGCGTGAGAGAAAGAGGATAAACAGACAGAGTCCTCTACTGAGCTTCCGAGCTTACCTCATCTGGCACACCGGCAGACCCCTTCGGCTCCAACCTCTATCCCCACGCCCCCATCCCCCGATCACCACGTCCCACGCATCACCTCGCGATCAGTCCAAGGACACCAGGGATCGTTTCGCTTGCGAGGGGGACAACGGCATCCTCAATCCCCACCACCCGTCACCACCAGGTTTCCCTAAGTAGCTGTGCTTTGCCCAGCAGCCTCGACTCCATAGCATGCCGCTCATTTCTGAACCAGCAGCCAGCCGCTCTTCAACGACTTAGCTTGACCATCCTACATCTGTCGCAACGACCTGTCACTTTTTCCGACTTTGACGTTGTCCTACCTTATACCTTGTCACCTCGTCCTACTAAACAACATACCTTTCAAACCTGCCGTTGATTTACTGCCAGCGCGTACATCGCATAATGCAGAGTGCCTAGTCATCTCGCTTTCCACATCACCTCTTTCGGATCCTGCTCCTGTTGTTGGAACCAGTCAAGCCCCCCAGTCTACCATCCCGCACCCACATCCGCCGCACCCTTGCCTTCGCCCGTTGTGTCGTCGCTTTATAATCACAGCCGGACTCGCTGCCAACCTTGATCATGTCGACACAGGAGCTTCAATACCCGGCGGCTTACATCTAACCTGAGAAGACGGATCGTATTCTATCATTCCGGACTCAGTACCAAATGTCCTCGACCATGAATCCATGGGAGTCATGTGCACTTCAGGTGAGTCTTGGGCACGTAAACCTCACGCCTGCGGAACTGGTAACTGACTTACCGTCCAGTATCAATTTTCCGGCGAAAATGATCAAGCCTCTCGCGGAAACGCTGCGTCTTGGCGACAACCTCAAGCTGCCGCTGATCCCGTCATGTACCCTGGACTCTACTGTCCCTCCGGCTTCGACATGATGAGCATTCTTGTAGGTTGGCAAGAAGTCCGTCGGCAGTCCTCGCAACTAACAACTCCAGCTCCGCGTCGCCGGCAGGCCCAACCCAAAGGTCCAACTCGGCGCCATCGACTGCTCAGTCGCTCTGTTGCTTTGCGACCTCAAGCAGCCAGACACTCCGATCGTGTACGCCTCGGAACATTTCAGCATCCTCACCGGCTACTCGAACAAGGAAATCATCGGCAAGAACTGCCGCTTCCTCCAGGCGCCCGGTGGCAAGGTCAGCAAGAAGTCCACCCGCAAGCACGTCGACAAGAACACCGTCAAGACCATGCATACGGCCGTCGAGACGAACGACGAAGTTCAGGTTGAGATCCTCAACTTCAAGAAGGATGGAACCCCTTTTGTTAACCTTCTCACCATGATCCCCGTCCGCTGGGACTCTGAAGACTTCCGCTACTCCGTCGGCTTCCAGGTGGAGCGGGAGGATTGATCTCTTCGCATATATACCAGTCAGCGAACGGGACCAGCCATCATTTCTCTCGGTTGGACTGCACTCTTCTGCGGCAACGGAATTTTTCCTTTCCTTTCAAGGCAACAAACATGTCACGACTTTCTACGAGCGAGGCATCTGCTATTAGGCATTTACGATACCCATATTACACGCATGCGAGTTAGAGCTCAGGCATATCGCAACGAAAACGACTCTGGAACTGTTTTTCTTTCTTTCCTTTTCTGGAATTTCAAGGCGTCGATCAAGTGGAATTTCAAGTACGGCATCATCAACGACAAAAGGCGAATGTACTGCATGGGAATCCGGAGTCACTTTTAGGTGCATATGAAGATTCCATTTATCCCACCTCATTGGAGGCTTTCCGGGGGTTAGCAAGCATTGTTTATGGAACGGGTAAACAGCTCGAAGCATTGGGACGGCGTTATCAGTCAGGCACTGGCCTTTGACTGGGGTTTCTGGGATTTTCTATCATGTACTACACATGGTATTTTGATCATGACGAAATAGGCTAGCACAGATGAAGGCCCAGGCCGTCGGCGAATGAACCACTAGCATTTCTTCTCGGGACAAAACCTTGATCCAATCTGCTTCGGGACGCCCAACCCAAGTGGTGTTGCGGCCTGCATCCGTCAACGTGATTCTGCCATCTTGCAGCGCCGCCATGCATTCCGAAACACTTTGATGGTCGGGCGTGCTCAAAAAGACCGCACGCTGAACCCCTCTTTCCGAACGCATGCCCCAGATCGTAGGCGTCATTCGCAGGCTGGTGAGACACATCTATCGAAGACCAATGGCGCTTAAAACAAAAGAAGGGTAGCCACAACAGCACGCCCAGATCGTCACCGTAGGTAGTTAGGCAGGCTCCCCCCGCTTGCCCGCGTCCTCCTCGCTTACTCGCCCTTCATCCTCTCTGCCCTTTTCCGGCTGGGCCAAGCTCGACAAAGGGACGGCGCGATTGGCTTCATGGTCCGAATTCCACTACCCCCCGACTGAGACAGCATATCCGATCTGTGTGGCTTTGCCTTACCTAAGCCAACGCAAAGTTGACCTTTCTCGGAGTCCCCCAACCGTTTGCTGGTCGCTGCCGGACTCTCTCTTTCCACGGCAGGGCCATCGTGACAGGACGTTGTTTATTTCCCACCTGTTATTCTAGTTTGTTCTATTCGAGAAAAAAAAAAAGACTTGACCCGATCGCAAACGTGACCCGGAGAAGAAGAAAAGAGGCGCAGGCGAGGAAAGTATACTACATAGACGCAAGGTGTGCATCAACAAGAAGCAGAAAACGTGGACGGCAGAGATTCTCGCGCGCAAGATGCCTCTCCGCGGACCCGTGCCGGTGAAGTTGTTCAAGAAGGAGGACAGCGAGAAGATCAGCGTTGGGCCGATGACCATCTACATCTTTGAGGACGGCAGCAACACGGACAACCGGATCGGGTGCATGACGCTGGAGCTGCCGCCGGCGACGTCGGGGCCGCCGCTGCACTGGCACCGGTTCCACGACGAGTGCTTCTTCATAACCAAAGGTGGGGGGTATTTTTATTTTTATTTTTTTTGTTGCTCTTGGGTTACCCCAGGCTGGATCACGTCGCCCGATATTCAGTGAACGAACTCGGAAGAGGGCATGTGCTTCTTGCTGACGTGGATGACGAGTCAGGAACGGTCCGCTTCAAGACACCGGAGGGTGACGTCGACGCCGAAGAGGGCCAGGTGATGGTCGTCCCGCCGCGGGCCATCCACTCCTTCGCCAACGCGTCCGAGACTGAGCCCGCCGAGTTCTTCATGACCTCGACCCCAGGTACGTTTTGCCCAGCTGTCGCCGCACATGGTGGCGCGCGCGCGCGCCCCCCGTGCTAACTCAAGAACTAGGGTACTACATGGACTGTGAGTGGGAGCAAACCGAGGAGGCCGTAGGGGGGAAATGTTTTTCGAGGCTAACCTGACAGACTTCCGCACAATTGGTAAGACTGTTGCCGAGGGCAAGAAGATGTCTCCGGACGAGACGCAGCGCCTAATGGCGCTATTCGGGACGTTCCCGCCGGACGTCGAGTCGGAGCCGTAGGCTGGACTGGACTGGCCTGACTGGTGCCACCCTTGGTACATTACGTGGCATCGCCTACCCCTTCCGTGGGGAGAGTTTTGGGGTAGCAACAGCATAAAAAGGGGGACCTTTGGGCGTAACCTTGATCGAGAACTCGATAGTCTATTTCTTCAATCGAAGGGATCTTCGTCTGCTACCCGTGTCCTCTGCCGGCGTCTCCATCGCCTCCTCCTTGACAACGCTCTTCTTGGTTCTGGCTGGGGCTTTGGGTTTCTCTGCGGCCTTGGAGCCCCGCGGTTTCTTGCTCGGCGGGGCCTCCTCGGCCGCGGGGGCTCGGAAGGCTCGGGAGACGACTCCCGCTTGACGCCTGAGTTGGCCTTGGCCTTTGCCTTTGCGGGACCCTTGGCGCCCCGGGCTTTCTTGACCGGCTTCTCGTCCTCGCTCTCCTGCGCCTTCGCTTGCCTCTTGTTGGTCTTCTTGGGAGCGGCTGCCTTGGGCTTCGCTTCCCCGTCCGCGACAGGCTCCTCCTTGGCTGATGCCACGACCTGGCCCGTCTTCTTCTGCCTCCCGGGCGCGTAGCAGCTCGTCCGCCCGCCGACCGTGATGAACGCAAGCTTCTCCCCGTTGGGCAGCTCCGACGCCGCGTCCTTGCTCCCCTTGCCCCAGCGGTAGTTGAACAACCAGTCTACCGGGAACTCGTCCGAGTCGCCGAGCTTGTCGACGGCCGTCTGGCACACGTACCGCACCGCCTCGTACAGCCTCTTGACCTCGGCCTCGTCGAAGCTGTCGCAGTACTGCTCCGGGTGCAGCCTCGACTGGTAAAGCACCTCGTCGGCGACCCAGTTGCCGACGCCACTGATGTGGGACTGGTCCAGCAGCAGGGCCTTGACGGGGACGTGGCGCGTGCGCATCTTGTCGCGGAGGTAGGCCTCGGTGAAGATGTCGACGTCCACGACGGGGTCCGGCCCGTTCTCCTTCAGCGGCGAGTGCTTTCGGATGTCGGCGCCGTGGCAGTCGACGAGTCGCACGCGCCCGAAGCGCCGCGGATCGGTAAAGGCGGCTGCGACGGGAGGGTTGTCGTCGGTCTCGAGCTGGAATTTCCAGTACTTTGGAGGCCAGACGTCTGCCTCGCCGTCCTTCATCTTTTTGTAGTAGTTTGTGTAGGCTGTCTTGTCGCCCTTGATGTGGATCCATCCTGTGAAGCGTCAGACCCGTGGCAGGTGGGTGGATGGGGAGCGCTCATACCCGTCATGCCCAAGTGCATCACCGCGTGAGGCGGTTTGTCAAAAGTGATCCTGTGGGATCATGAGCTGCTGATACTCCTATAAGGCAGCAACGGCGACATACCAAAAGTACTTTCCTTGACTCCCTACTGATACGACCTTGCGTCCTTTCACGGCCTTCTCGAATGCCGGACCACTGGTCCCGACCTTCCCAAAGACATTGGCATCATCCGGGGCAGAGACCTTGGCGATCTTCTTCCCCAGGAGATGTTGGCGCAGGAAGTGCACGCACCGGGCGACTACAAAAGCATGAGCTGAATGTCGGATTGGGGCAGATACTAGTCATACCTTCAGCAATTTCAGGCATTATGTTCACGTCTTGAAATGGCTCAAATCACACGTTTCTTGAACTTCTCTACTCGGAGATGTGACGAAATGGAGACCAGCGGATCCATGACGCAGGCAATCAGGACGCGTCTAGCTCTCGCAGCTCTCCCCCGGCCATCCGCGCATCGAGCCGCGAGTGCACGTGACCAGGTCCCTGAGCTGGGCTCGTTTAGTGGGTCGTGGCCGACCGCGCGCGCCGAATTTTTCCCAGCCGTCCTCACCCCACTCGAGGCTCAAATTCCCAGCACCTTTAAAAATCTTTCCTCGCAACTCCCTCAACCTCACGATCCCTTCTTCACCAACCAACACTGCGAACAACGCAGCAGCATGGCTACGTAGCCTCGCTTGATCCGGTAAGTCGCGATACGCGCCTATTCTCCTTCTTCTGCTACACCCCATCCTTGGTGATGACACGCAAACACCGCAAACTAGAGTCTTTGACCTAAATGGAATGAAACCTCTGTTTTACACGTCAGTCTGATAGGACACGACAAACTTCGTTTTCCGTTGCTGGACCTCGCGCTTCTCTTGAGCAAGTTGCTAACCCACGCAATCAGGCTTTTGCAGATTCTTCTGACGCCGCGCTTCAATGGCTACGTTCCCGCCCTGAGATGGCTTGACAAAAGGTACGGCACGCGCAACCTCTCCCTACGCTGCTCTCCCCCATCTTCACATCCCGAGAACCTGATGATCAATTTTTCGTACAATGTACGGTTGGAATTACCGGCTGAAACTTACTGTTGAAAAAAACTGGCTGTTTCTGACTGTTCTCGCAACCCATTATTTCCATGTGCTGTGTATTCTCATCTGAACCATAACTAACATGGAAATTCCCAGTCATCTCATATACCCAATCGACAAGGTACATACCCACTCCATCTATTCCCTTCATTATTACATGATGAAACGGCACTGGGCTCCGAGAGTACCCATAAGGGGCTCAGCCATGAGCAGACAAGCCGTTTTGTGGCAGGCCTAGAAAACCTCGCCCACTGATTTCGAACCGAACACTCAACTTGTCGGGATACATCTTGCTGCGCAGGAGGCTGACTCGCCCGCAACAGTGTCGAGATGGAACTTGCTACAAACATCGCTTCTGCTGCAAGCGCGGCTTTTGAGGCAACTGCCTTCCTCGGTCCAGTCTTGGTAGGTCTCAACACTTTTTCTTGCTCTCCCCCATGCCTACCTGATGAGTACATTAGATGACGAGTCTGATTTGGATCTTCCAATGCGGATAACCCTTTTTTATACCATTCATGCAACGACTGAACTTGGCAATCATACACATTTTTCTGAAAGACGATGAAGCATGAACATCGCTAACCATTTCTAGATAACAGTTATATGTTAACATGATGGGCAACTGTGGAGGATCCCATGGCTCAAGTGGTAAGCTCATTACTTTCTTCTATTTACAACCACCCCAGCCTACCCACGGCTCCGTTCTTTTATGATGAACGATAAACCAAAGACAAGCATATGTCAGAGCCTAACGGCGAAGCTGAGACACGTTGACTACCAGTCATTCTGATCAAACGACCTCACAAATGCATTTTTTCTTGGGAACTTTCGAGAGATATGCAGGTGGCTAACATAACCACTAGACCCATGCGGAAAACATACCCTCGTTCTTCGGCAATCGTGTTGCGCCAATTGGTAAGCTACTTCTCTTCCTCGTCTTCACCTAAACACAACCTCCCTGCCCCCGCGTCTACATGATGATCATAAAATTTTCACGACGGTCTCCATAGCCATATGCTTTGATGATAATGCCTTTGACAAGGCTCCCGTACTGATATGACGCTTCATACACTGTTTCTTTCAAGTCGTGTGTTTTACAAACAGTGGCTAACTGAAGTTGTCAGGCTCTCTTATGATACCAAATGATCTTGGCGCAAGGAACGGTAAGTCACTGCCACAATAGTATAAATACTTGAATACAACAGCACGCAAAGGGATTCATCCTACTTCCAATTCTTAAATGTTTTCTTGCATGTGAGCTTCGTGTTGAAAAAGTGCAATATATGATCTGGGACAGGTTATACATACCTTCATACGAGAAAAGTCGAACATGCCGGCCTTCCTATCAGCCATGAACAATACGAACGGCATGGACCCAATTACCCACATGTCTCTTGCTATGTTTAATGTGCAGATGGATCATGTGTATTGTACACCATGCACTTGCAGCCTTAAGCCAAACGTGAAACTCCACTAATCAGTGCGTTTCGATACGGAGTATCGCATATTTGATGACAATGTCTTGACCTGTACGCGGTTTCTCCTAGCACAGACTAACCACGGGCCAGTCTGGTTCATCGTCAGGATACTTGAGAAACTTGTGAAGAGTTGGCAACACATCCGTTTCCACGGCTCAATGACCTTTCGCCCAATAGGATTCATCTCAGTTAATGGCAGATCATCAAGCAAACTTACTGTTGGCCGCAGTAATGGTATCTTGCAATCCCTTCTCATGCATCTTATCCAGTTAATGCCTACCTGGTACAGAACGCCACCATTCTCCTCTGATATCCTTATTTGCTGGCAATAGAGTTAGGGCCGTCACGAATCAGTCTTCTGACAGGAGCTAGGACGTTGAAGTCATGAGACTCTCAGTACATGGCCCTCACCATAGATGCCCTGATAATACATGAAATCACAGCACAGGAGGGAGTAGGATGAAGAGAGAAAAGCACGGCTTGGTTATTTGGTTCCCTGCGAAGCGCCTAGACATTTTCAACCCAAAGTTTCAGCCATTATGTACCAGTCGGAGGGCGCCCTCAGAAAACCGGAATGTGAGAATCCTTCCAGAGGAACACCCAATCACGACCGTGGACCCTAGTACAGCAGACGACGAAGGGCGAAATTCAGCTGGCAACCAGAGCAGGTTCTGGTCGTTCCAAGTAATCCAGGAACGATCCCGACTGATACCAACGCCGATAGTACTCAAAGTACAAGCTTGAGTACCTGGCAGCGGGGAGGGTATCCCACTAGCTCTGTCAGTGAAGGCTGTGGTACCAATGTCGGTTATTAGGCAGGTGTTATTGGGTTCGGATAACAAGAACCGCCAATTCCATATGCCAGTATAGACTACTCGAATGCAATTGCCTGTATCGACACCCCAGATCCGGACCGTCTCATCGTATGATGCTGAAACCACAAGAGCTGAGTCGTGTGAGAAGATGACTGATTTGACGCCCTTACTATGGCCCTTAAGTTCCTGTATACAGTCGCCTGTACCAATAGACCAGACCCGGACTGTCTGGTCGCCTGACGCTGACACTATAAGGGCTGAGTTATGTGAGAAGGCCGCTGAGGCTATATAATCGCTGTGGCCTTTAAGCTCTTGCATACACTCGCCTGTGTCAGCGTTCCAGACCCGGACTGTCTGGTCTAATGATGCTGATACCAGAAGAGCTGAGTCGGGTGAAAAAGCAACTGAGTAGACTGTACCGTTATGGCCCTTAAGCTCCTGTATACACTCGCCTGTATTGGTGCACCATGTCCGGATTGTCTCATCGTATGACGCTGACGCTATAAGGGCTGAATTGCAGGAGAAGGCAACTGAATTGACCATATTTTTATGGCCTCTAAGCTCCTGTATGCAATCGCCTGTATTGGCGCACCATATCCGGATTGTTGTATCGCTTGACGCTGACGCTATAAGGGCCAAGTCATATGAGATAGCAGCTGATTCGACCTCATCGTCATGGCCCTTGAGCTTCCCAACAAACTGCTTTGTACTAACGCTCCAGATCCGGACTGTTTTGTCAAATGATGCTGACGCTACAAGTGCCAAGTCATAGGACAAAGCAACTGATCTAACCATATCACCATGGCCTTCAAACTTTTGGATACAGTTGCCTGTATCAGCAGTCCAGATACGGACTGTTTTGTCGTCTGATGCTGATGCTATAAGAGCTGAGTTGTGGGAGAAGACAGTTGACCAGACCACACCTTCATGGCCCTTAAGCTGCTGAACACACTCTCCTGTATCAGCGCGCCAGACACAGACTGTCTTGTCGTCTGATGCTGATGCTATAAGGGCTGAGTTGTGGGAGAAGGCGACTGAATTGACTACATCACCATGGCCCTTAAGCTCTTGTATACACTCGCCTGTATCGGTATACCAGACTCGGACTGTGTTATCGTGTGATCCTGACGCTATAAGAGCTGAGTCGTGGGAGAAAACGGCTGACCAGACCGAATTATTATGGCCGGTAAGCTCTTGAATACACTCGCCTGTATCAGTGTACCAGATCCGGATTGTCTTATCATCTGATGCTGACGCTACAAGTGTTGAGTTGTGAGAGAAGACAACTGATCTGACTGGGTTGTTGTGGCCCTCAAGCTTCTGTATACATTCGCCCGTATCGGTGTACCAGATTCGCACTGTGTTATCGTGCGACCCTGACGCTATAAGGGTTGAGTTGTGCGAGAAACTCGCTGACCAGACTGTATCGCTGTGGCCCTCAAGCACCTGGGCACATTCGCCGGTATCTGCATGCCAGATCCGGACCGAACAATCAGATGATGCCGACACTATAAGGGTTGAGTCATGTGAGAATGCGACAGACCAGACCGCATAATTATGTCCCTCAAGCTTTTGCAGGCATTGATCCCACTCTAGATCTGGCTTTGGCTGGAGGGAAATCCAGTTAGGAGTGGTCTCTGCAAAAGTACGACGTACTATGCTCCTTTGAGGTGTAAAGACATGTGCAGAAGAATACAGTTGAAGAGGTGCGGCGTTAATCATGTGCATATTTGACTGAACAAATCTGATTGCATCGTCTACGAATTCTTGCAGTGCACCGCCATCTGTACGCTATTTCCTCGTTAGATATCATGTCCTCAGCGGGGCTACGTGTACTCACCGCGACAACGGACTGTATTGCTCGAAGCATGGGAAGACCCTCATAAGCCTTACCGGCCCAGCCTAGTACTTCAAGCCAATGCAAGAAGTGGCGACAGAAAAAATCGTAAACAAGCCCGAGAAGATCTGCCCCAGCGTCCGCTTGCTCTACATGATGTGTCCAGTAAAGACATGCATACTGGGCTTCTGGTGGCAGGCAATCGTCGATGTCCATGGAGTCCACGATGGATTGAGTGCCCGGAGCTTGTAGGTTTAGAATATCCTCTCGGAGATGATCCCCCATGATACGGAGGCAGTTTGTCACTAATTGGCGGTGAACATCCTTCTCATCCACCCAGAATGGGTTGCTCTCTCGATAATTGGGGTCAACTAAAAAATCGCGGAAGGAAAGATGGAGCAGTCGCACAGGGGAAGCAGAATCCTTGGGAACATCGAGGACGGAGTGAAGCATGTCGAGCCTGTCTTCAACGCTGTTGCTAGAAATGTTCAAGAGCTGCGCTATAGCACCGGCCGGGAGGGGGCTCGAGAGTATGATGATGGTGCCAACAATATGGCGGAACTCCTGGAGAACTTCCTCTCTTTCTAACTTGGACAGATCAACAAGCTGCTGATCTAATGCTGGTCGATAAGTTAGGTCGAACTTAGAGACCAAGTCTGCTTTTGATTCGGTTCGGTTCCAGTAGTTCAAGACTCGCTGTAGTTGTTGGTCGGGGTTACCGCGCCTACGCTGATCAAGGAAACGGCACGTGGTTGCAGCGAAAATGAAGAGTGGAATCGCCATTCTCACCAGGATTTGGATGTTGGATTGACCAGGCCAGACTGGGGGTAGTTGTCGTTCCTCAGGAACAGAGCGGTTATAATCATCCTTAATACGCGCCAGTTCGTGCTCCAGAAAAGCCGATATATCTTGTTCGATAACCGGGGCAGGTATCTCATGCAGAACTAGGTCGCTATACGTGCCTTCTACTGCACTAAATCCTAGTCGAACTGGCAGTTCCGGTCTGCTAGTGAGGAGGACTTTGAGGTGTGGAGACTTGAGGATATTTCCGGAGGAAAATAAGTTGATGATAACTTTGATATCGTTGTCGTGCTCGCATTCGTCTAGAGCATCAACAACAATGGCAACAGAGGCGCCTTTATAGGCTTCTTGAACTTCTAAAAGAGGCTCAAGGATTAGCCTATTAAACTGCTCCCGTAACACCTTGGTGTGTATTGCTGGATCGGCGTCGATCGCATCCTTAACATGAGGCGCCAAGTCCGGCAGATGATTTACCAGCTGTGAGGCTATCGTCGTAAAGAACTTGGATGCATGGCCCCTGTCACCTTCGCCTCTTTTGAAGAAGAAACTAGCGCCTAGTTGATTTTTTTGAGCCAGAGACTGGGCGACGGTCCGAGAAATCGTTGACTTCCCGGTCCCTGCCATCCCATTCAACCAAAAGACGGCCTCTGCGCTGGGGTCGTTGATCCATTCGTTCACCTCCTTCAGGAGTTCCACCCTTGTACTTGGTAGACAGGTCGGGTTATGCTCCTCAGCGTGGGAGTCGAATGAGGCCTCGGGGACGGTTGGGAGTTTATCCAATACGAATTTCTGTTCAAGACTGAGTAGTATTGCTCTGCGTCATAAATTGATAAGCACATGACGACGATGGCATAGAACATGATTTGATTAACGTACGTGTTGTCAATTTGTAGCCCCATTGATATCATCTGTGTGTATCGCATTATGTCTCGCACCAGCTTTTCGACATCATTGCTCTGGAAAGGCCACTTCAAGGCTCGGACGCCGAACCGACGCATTGCCTTCCGGGTGCTAGAAGGATGCAGTTCGGCATCGAGAGCCTTAAGCCGCAAGGCAGCTCCCTCGACCGCACCGGTTAACTTCTGGGAAGCTTTTAGTGCGGCGCCGTGAGGACCTTCAAGGAGTTCCGAGGCGCTCTCGGCGACGGCTTTGAGGCTGAGAGTTTCCTCCTTGACCCGCGCGATCTCTTCCCTCGCGTTCTTGACGTCTTTGGAGTACTGAAGGCATATCGACGCAATCTTCGCGGATAGTTCGACGACCGTGGCAATATTGACCGCAAGGCCAAATGCCTCTGCCATCCTGGCGACTTGGGGGTATATCGTCGATGTATGGTGAATCAGTTAAAGCTGACATCGATAACGGCGGGGTCGCGCTGTTGGTCAGGCAGTGACGAGACCGCTGCTTCGCTGCATAGGCGACCACGTGAGGCTTACCTGCAGCAGGCCAGTCTCGGTAAAGTCGCAAAGATGGAGACTTTCTGGCCTCCATTTCTGTTGGCTTCTACAATATAGCAGCGCATTTGGTTTTGGAAAAATGGTAGCTGTTGATTTCATTGCGACGTGTCCTGGCGACATACCATGGTATACCTAGAGAAAAAGAACTAAGCTTGGCTTGAGAAGACCAGAGAAGACATTCCAAGGGGCGCAAAATCGTTGCTATTACAGCTATCAATAAGGGGTATCATTAAAGTAATCAGCCAACACGTCCAGCACATCTCTGCAGTGCCCCTGTTTTATGTTTTCTTCCATGTCCAAATCCCAAAGAACGCCGATCCAGTGCACCTAGACCCACCCATATGCTCCTTATTCTATCAAGCGCAAAATGCTTTCGAACTTTCCATCTTTTACAAACTCCCGATACCGACGCAAACCGCGCCGGCCATCAGGGCGACCAAAGCCGCGAAGGAGTCCCTTGGCTTACTGACGGCGCCGCCGCTCTTGGGCGTCGCCGTCGCGGTGAACAGCCCCGTCAGCACCGTGGATGACGAGGAAGCAGCCGACTGCGTCGACGTCGGGGCCTCCGTGGCCAGGGGCCAGTCGCTCGAGGCGCTGTACAGCACGCCGTTGATGATGGTCCCCTCGCCGCGCGCAATCATGCTGACCTGGTCGTCGCTGCAGGACCCCTGCATGTACCGCAGCCAGCACGTCGGGTCCGGCGAGTTCGGCAGCTTATCCGTGTGCGTCGCATGGGCGTCGCCCGTGGTGTTGAAGCTTGTCAAGTTCACCTTGTCGCCGGTCGAGACGGAGGTGCCCATGATGACGCGCGCAAAGACCTGGAACGCGGTTTCCGGCTGGTAGGCGGGCACCGAGTGGCCGGCCTGGTAAATGCGGCTGAAGGACAGGTTGCCGAACTGCCTGACGACGCCGCCGATGTACGAGTCGTTCACAATAATGGGCGCGTAGCCGGCGGCGCTGAAGCCGCGGCCGTAGACGGCGCCGGCTTGCCAGGCGAGGTTGGTGGACGCGGCCTCGCCGCCGAGCCAGTTGCAAATGTAGTCGCGGTCGCCATAGATGAGGGCGACGCGGATGCCGCGCTGGAGGAGGCCGGCCAATTTCGGCATCAGGGGCCCTCTCATGTAGTCGCCGGTCGTCTGGAAGGCCGAGAGAACCGCCTGGCTCGTCATGGTGAAGTTGACGGTGGAACCGATGGACTGCTGGAAGCCCGCCGTGTTGACGTACTCGAGGTACGTGTTTGGCGGGAACGAGTCCGGGTTCTTGCGCGCAATGTCATACCAACTGCGGCCGGAATCCGCATACGGTGTCACCACATCCTCGTTGCAAGTGGCATACGCCTGGGAGCACAGATTGTTGACCGTGGCCACCCTGCCAGTGTTGTTGGCGTCGTATACGGATTCGGCGGTACGACACTGTCGAATGAGATCCAAGCAGCCGCCCGAGGCGTACAAGCTGCCGTTGGCCAGATTCGCACGGACATCGTTTATAGCTTTGAAGCCGTACGTGTTGTTGGTGGCCATGGCAGGGTAGAACTCTGCCTGGACCTGGTCGTCGATGCAGCCGTTGACGATGCCCAGAGACGTAAGATGGATCTCGAGCGTGTTGTTGGCAGACAAGGTCCCGTTTTGGCGCTTCTCGTTCTGCAACTCCCAAACATCTGAGAAAACGGGGGCGTACTTCCCACCGTAGCTCTCGGCGAAGAGATTGATGCCGAGGGAGCTGTTGTTGGGAGGGTTGTACTGGGGGAATGCGCCCAAGAAACCCTGGAGCATGTGCCATATTGCGAATGCAGCTGTCTCGGTGGTGTTTGCCGTGTTGTTGGTGTTCAGCGAGCTGAAGGTTCCGTTGAGGAACGTCGCGGGCGGCTGGCCATTGGGGACTGGCTGGGGTGGGCTCGACTGGTTGGCATTGAAGAGGTCCATGGAGCCATTGGTCGCGATGTCGTACGAGAAGCCGACTTGGTTAGGCTGTATAGGGTCAGCGTGACGTTGCCAGGCGGCTTCGAGCCCACAAAGGCCGTACCTGGTCGATGAACAACATATTGGAAGCGCGGTCCCAGCCCCATTCCCGAGCAACAGTTTCATACTGATCCAAACCCTTCTCGACAACCTCGCAAGGCCCAACTTCGGTGAACATGCCAAACAGCGAGCTGACGCCCGGGCCGCCGTTGAGCCAGATAGTCATGGCCTCGGTCGGTTCGCGGGCGCTGATGAACCAGAAAAACATGTTGGCCGGAAACGGCCCGGGTACGCTGACCCATCCTGTGTACTGCTGCTGGGAGTCGTATGCCGTTTTGCAGGCGCCCTCGGGGATCTTGTAACGAATGGTGACATTCCCGTCTACGGGCGACGTGATGGTGGTGAGATTGACCGAAGTCGAGGGGAACTGGGCCGCCGCGAAGCCCGAGAGTAGGCCGGCGACGGCGAGGACTGAGTGGAAGAGGCGCATGGTAAGATGTCCCGCATCGTGGCCTCGGCGCATCCTCTCTCGTATGGGGAGGACGGCGGGATTGTGCTGTTGTCCTCGTCGAGGCCTGGTTCCGGTACCGCGTCTTTTTGTGTGATAATCGGGCCTCGGACCTTGGTGTTGAAGAATATGAAGGAATGACGCACGGCACGAGGATGTGGAATGGAGGAACGAGGCTGCCGGGATTGGGAGAGGAATGTCGAGGTTTTGAAGGTTCCCAGTTCCCGTTAGGTAGCGGCTTGGCAAACGTGCCCCTGCATCTTAGTGCCTTTGTTTGGTGCCTACGGGCGCCCACAGGACCACACGGGGCCCCGATCGCCTACTGTACATAGTGGACAGGCCTGTCGAGACACGCGCGGCCCGCGGGGAGTTTTGCTGACGGGATCTCCCAGATGCCGGGATCCGGCAGGCCATAGACGCTGGCAGCTGAATCAGGTCTCACACTAAACAAACCTAGAACCCCCCGACAATCTCGAGCTGCAGTCAGCATTGCAACCGGCTCCTGCAACTCGGAACTTGTCTCGTGAGATGCCGGTTTACCCGCAGCGATTCCCGAAATGCTGTTGTTGGTCTGTTCGTCCCATTTCGATGTGGAACTGATAAAGACGCTGACGCTGAGTACCGGACGACGAACTCTGCTAAGATGAGCCGAACCTAACAAAATCAGGACCACAATATTCATCAGGCGAGGCATGGCTCTACGTAACTCATGTCAAAGACCTGAACTGAATGTGTTTGCCATTCTCGACGATATAGTGCATTCGAACCCCGGGAACGTTGGACAGCCGGCGCTCTCAACCCGCATGAGTGGCTGCTACAAAGGCGACCGCACAACGGCCATTACATTCCGTTGACCGCACAACCGCGTCAGTATTACAGCCCTCACTATAATTTGGGAGCTACAGCAGACTCAATGTTCGTGGGGGCTTTGAGACGACCGAGTTAACCGCACAATGCCTTACCCAGCATCTCTCTCTTACCCCAGTGTTCACGCTGTTTTCTCTCGGCTCTCAGTTTTCGCAGAAAAGCGCGCGTTCTTGGTGACCCAATCCCTCCAACACCCAACGCAATCCTTTTGGAGTCTGCCTGCTCCAGGCCTTGCCTCCTACGCAGCCGAATATAAAAAACAAAATAAGAAATCATCAATATTTCGCTCTTGATGCCTTGGCATACGGTCGCTTCTACAACCAAGCTGTGATACCCAAGTCAAATACAATGCTTTTGTAAAATGCTGATGTAGCTCGGTAGCTACGAGTAGTACAGGGGCATCTGGCTCTGCTTAACACCAAACGGGTAAGGTCAGCTGTCGGCCATCGCCAATGACTTCCCAAAGCTGTCAGGAACCGGTGCGGCTGAAGGCCACCAGTCAGGGGCAGTTCTTGTGACTGGAGCAACGGCTTTTACTTTTCTTCGATGGTATTTTCAACAATCCAGCCTGTTCAGGGAGTTTCTTGGGGTTCAACAAGCTCCGTCTCATCGTGCAAGACGCTGTTCTGATCTCTTCGCTTGGCCCAAATCCAAATACCGCCTGCCGCCGTCGCCGCCCTCACCCCGGACCGCAATACCCACCCGGATACAATGGCCGACTCCGGCACCGGCACTTACACAACGGCCTCCGATGTCATAACCTACATCGGCGTCCCCCTTGCCGTCCTCGGTGTCCTTCCCATCCTCTACAACACCGTTGCGACCCTTGCCGCCCGCTCGCGTATCCGGCGCATGCTCCGCCATGCGCGCCTAACGGCCCTGACACGCTCCGACATTGTAAACCGTGTCATCGAGGTCGATTTGCCGCGGTACGCCGTCACCCCGTGGGATCGCTTCGACCACCGCGAGGAGTACTGGTCTCTTGCCCGCCACCCTTCGTCCATACCTGGAGGATCGTGGACAACGTTCAACTGGCGCACAAATACCATCGGCCTCAAGACGCAGAGGGTTGAATATGCCGACCAACTGCGGCAACCTCAAGTCGATATCAACTTTGAGGAGTTGATTTCGTATCTTTTGGATCTTGGCGCCATTCCAGACGCTCATGGATGGAGATTGCTTAGAAGCACTGGGTTATGGACCCCCGTGGGCTGTACTCTGATGCAGAGTCCAAATGGCCAACACAAGGCCCTGACCATTGCGCCCCTGAATGACTCAGACGGCCATCTCTCATTATCTGTAACCTGGCATTCTCACTGGACCACGAGAAGCCATCAGTCCTTACCTCCCTACTGGGTCCGCCTCCCTCCGCCTCCTGAGATCCCTATGACCGAACCCGAACCTGAATCACTCGAGGACGCCAAAGAGACGCCCTCCCCAACGTCTTCTCTCTCCAGCATAACCCGCGCCGTCAACACCACCGCCAAAGCCCCCATCGCCTGCAAAATATCCTCCGACGGCCTCATCAGCGCCCACCCCGAGACCGAGGACCGCCCCGCCACGCCCCTCCACATCGACCACGTGCGCATCCGGCCGGGCCAGTCCGTGGGGATATGGTTTGCGAGCGCCGCCACGGCCTACGGCACCTCGAGCACCACGATCCTCTGGAACTACCGCATCCCCGACGACGTCCTCGCCTTTGCGCGGGGGTCCTCCGTGCCCTGCGGCGTGCTCGAGCTTGTGGGGTTCGTAGACGGCTCCCAGACGCCCGAGTGGGCGAGCCGTCACGATGACATGAGGGACAACCTCGACCTCATGAGCCGGAGGATGCGCGAGCAGCGGAACGCCATGGCCGCCGAGTCGAGGCTGGGCCCGATGGAAAGGGAGCAGGCTGTTGTGGACCGTATGCGCAAAGAATCGGAGCAACGCCTAGATGACCGTAAGTTTCGCCCCTTTGCCTCTTTCCACCCCCAACTTTGAGATCCCCACGGTGTTGAGCTGACGCACTGCAGTCCGAGATAAAATGCGGCTAGACGTCCAGCGCCGCGACCTCCGCACCCACGAGGCCATCCAATCGCCCAAATGGGACGCCGCCCTCGTGGCCTCGCACACCCTCCCCTGGCTCCGGCAGCAGGGCCACGTCGCCGAAAGCACCAGCCTCCGCGCCGCGGCCGCGGGCCTGCTCCACCGCATGCTCCGCGACGGCGCCTTTGCGGACGAGATGGGCTCCATGCTGGACAAGTGGAAGGCGTGGGCCGACAACGGGGGGATGCGCAAGTCGGACCTCGAGGCGCTACGGGAGGGGCAGACGGGCTTCGCGCAGGCGAGCCTGCTGGTCGCGGTGATTCGGGACGCGGGGGCCGCGACGGAGGGGGGGCTGAGTGTGGATTTGCAGGAGTGTTTGCGCATCTGGCGGCAGGTGAGGTTAGGTTAGGGGGAATAGCATAGTCCGCGATACCCATTTTGTTGTTTGGTGATGTAGGATACGGAGTACTCGACATATTTTGGTGTATGGTGATTCGAGATGATTGCGAGGATCGATTAGGAAATGAAAGGCCTTCTAATTCCACTAGTAGCTATGCTGTCCCAATTCCTGTGAAACCAAACTGTGTCTACCGACCCTGCCGTCCCGTCCATGACCAATACCTTATGTCCCAAGCCTTGTTAACCAACAAATGCTATTCCCAACTCCATCGCTCTGAACGCAAACCTCCACAATTCCGTCAATAGTGACGTCAACCTCTGTTATAGCTCATCCTGCTCCGAATCAAACACAATATCTTCGTCGTCCCCCCGACCCTCTAGCAATAAACTCTCAGGCAACATTTGGCTCTTAGACAGCAACTGGGATGAATCCAGTTGGAATGTGCCAGACGGCAAGCGGATCGGACTATCATCCTCGTCGTCCACGAAGATGGGCAGACTTGAGTTCGCGTGTGTGGGCCGTGGCACAGATTTGAATGGCGACTGCGAGGGGCTCGACGCCTGGCTGACCGTCGTTGCCTGCGAAGGCCTTACCGCACGGCGGGGTGTGGGGTTGGGCGGCCGGCTGAAGGGTGTCGGCGGTAAGGTGGGCTTGGTGAGGTGGAGCTCTGTGCCGAATTTCCGTCGACTTTTGGTTGGTGTCTGGCTGGACGGTACCAGCAAGTCGGCGTCCGATGAGTGGTGTTGAGTCGAGTGCTCGATATCACTTCGAATCTGCTCGGCCAGTTCCTGAGATATCGTGCAATTCTGTGTAGGTCCCACGACAACCGGCAACGATCCTTCTCTACCGGTTTCAGGCTCAGGCCCGACTTCGTCCTCCTCGTCTTCGTCATCTCCGAATACGGAGCATCGCAGGTTGGCCATCAAATGCCCCACGACGGCCGGCGGCACGTATGTGTACTTCTGTGGCGGCCCATGGAGGTAATCCCGATCCATCATGTACTGAAGAGACATTGGGTCGTTCAACTCGTAGAGCTTATACAGATGATAGGCAAACTTAGATCCCTTCTTCTGGTTAAACTCCGCGTTGCCAATGCCGTCTTCATCGATCTCGCCCGGTGTCTTTGCGTCACTGAAGCATGCCATGTACTTCAGCTCTGCGACGGGCTGGGTAATGTAGAGCCACATTCGCGAGACCGTGTGCGGGATCTTATAGTTGCGGAACTCGTGGTTCTTCCTGCCAGCCACAATCTCCTCGATATGCTCTGGGTGTATGGAGATGAAGATGTCGGTGCGGTCGCCTTGAGGGCCCATACCATTGACGACATCTTGAGGAAGTCGCTGACTCTCCAAACCTTGTGTGTGGGGCGTCTTTGGTGTCTTTGGTGTCTCAACAGGGGCCTTCCCCTTGGTCTTGGGTATTCTCTGACTTTGCGTGGGTGTCTGAGAGATAGATTCGTCATTAGTTTCCCCACTTGCTTCGTTAATGACACTAGAGCCGCTGTCGCGGGTAGGTTCAGGAGAAGATGTGATGACCTCGACAGTCTCCCTGCGATCTGATGCATTCGACTCCAAGCGTCCTAGCTTGGGGAAAGCGAACGGCTTCGACAGAACCACCGTGGCTTCCTCTTCATCCTCCTCGCTGACAGAGGGGGTGACATTCTCCTTATCAGAGTCGCCCTCCTCTGCAGGGGATGCCTCCTTGGAAGTCTGCCTCTCTTCCGACGAAGCAAGCAGCTGATCCATCTGGAACTGAGTTTCTTCGCCGACTGCTTCGTATCCTTCAGCCTCTTCATCCAGAATTTCAAGCTCATCGGATTCATCCTCAGAGTCTGCAATTTCCCGCAGAGGTGATCTCGGAGGTCTACGGGGTGATGGGCTGACATCACGTCCTTCTACCTCTTCGCCTTCCGTTTCCTCCTCTTCCTCCTCCATTAAAGCTAGGCTGGCCGTAGGATGTGGCGTGATAAAACGAACGTTCTTAGAGGGCTGCAGTGGCATTTTGGAAGGAGAGGTGAGCTGGGTTGAGCTCTGGCTGCCCGCCGTCGCGTAAGAGTCCTGAACCGTAAGAGTTCGCGGGCGTTTGACAGATCCGGTAAGCTTCGGCAACGGGGACATTGTATTCGTTGACTTGTCTTTCAAGGGAGACCTCTTCGGCGCCGGGCTATATCTAGCCAGCATGGGAGTGAGCGGGCTGCCTTGTGACGATGGAATCTCGAGAATGATGCGCTTGTTGGTTGGGGTTTGCGGGACAACGGACGGTGTCCTGCTTGGAGCCTTCTTGCCAGGCAATTGATTCTCTTTGTCGCTGGCCGAAGGGAGCACTGGTGGGTCCTTCTCTGTCTCGTCGTCCGAGGGCTGGAATTGCCATACGTCTTCTTCTTCTTCTTCTTCTTCAGCTGGAGATTTCTCTGAAGATCTCCGCGACATCTGCGTCAAGGTCTGCGTGTGGAAAGAAGAGCTCGGTGTCGGTTCATCTCCCATGGTCTTTCTCCTCCTCTTCTTAGGCACAGGGTTTTCTTCATCATCGGATAGGTCGAATCGCACAGGCGATGAGCGCGTAGTGTCGTACATCTGGGTCAAGGTCTTTTGCTGGTGATTGGGGATACGAGCGGTGGGCTTGCGGGCGCTGTAGGTTCGCACTTCCGTTCGTCGGGGCGGGAACTTTGCTTGCTTGGCCGGCTTGACGGACTTGTAGACTCGGTCGGGAGGAGGGGCAGCGGTAACCCGTCCGCCGGAGCGGGTCTGTGGTGGCATGATGGACGACGGTGTAGTTGTCACCGGTGGAAGCTTGTGTGATCACTTCCAGATCGTATGGATCACCGATAATGAAGAATGGGTGGGACGTTGAACCTGCGCGCAGGATGAGGGTCAACTCAGGTGGTCGAGCGCATGCTGACTAGGCCATGTGCGGTTCGAAGGGCGCGTCGCGTAGGAAGTGGGATCGATTTACGCGTGGAGCTGGCGTATCGGACGTGGTGACATCTGACATCACATGCATAAAACGGGGCAGCGGGGAAATGTATCGGAGCAGGCGTACTCGCTTAAGTAAATCGAAGACGCGTGCACAATTTTGTTCCGTGTGTACATAACAATGTCTACAGTTGAGGTAAGTACCTGCCCGGAGATTGTGCAATTCAATGACAAGGGCGACAACCGCTCGCAGAGTTATTCTCATCAATGAATAAGTGTTGGATTTCAAGTATCATCTCACAGAGTTTTTATACAACACAACTCAAGAAATTGAAGGATGACAGTATTATTGGACTGTTAGTGAGTATCGACCTCTGGCCTGACTTAGAAATTCCAACTTGTAGAAGGCAACTTCAACACCCGCAATGTGTGAATACAAGAAACTCCTGCATATATCATGCTTCGTATGTGTGTCTCCCGTGACAAATTTCATTTTTAGGTGGAGACTTTCACTGAGCTTTGTATGGTTCACGATCCTGCGGTCATGACATGAGCCCACCGCCTGATGTGTATGTTGTTTGACCGAAGCAGAGCTAGCTCAAGTGCTTGCATAACGGTATAGATCTAGGTCAACCTTTGTTCAGCTGCAATTATGTGCAGGGAGTGTTTGTGTGGTTATGTGAGGTCTTCCCGGGTGGGGGGAAATCCCCCGTCACAATTTCTTCCTGGTGATATATTGAAAAATGCACTTCAGGTTAGACTTGTGCTTCGTTGATGAACTGCCCGAAGCCACCGATATAGAACAGTGGGTGGAGCTGGATTCGAGGCGATAGTAGTTCTCAATGTAGTCGTCGATGAAGTCCTCGAGGTTAGCATCGCAAACGGCGAGGTCTAGGACGTGGCTCTGATAGTATTGGGTCTTGGCCTCATATCTCAACCGCTTCAGATTGTCTGCAGATAGAAGCCGGGAAGTTGAAGTAGTGAATGCAGCCATCTCTTTATCGTATGAAACTAAAGCTTTTTGATCAAGATACTTGGTGAATGAGGCCTTTTTCAGAAGAGTTAAGTGAGTAGAGCTGCTGAGACTAAGATGGAAAACGAGGGTGGAATGGAGCAGGAATCGGCAATCGTTTCGCGGCTTCAAGAGACGTTCTTTAGTGTCAAGAATAACAGTCACAGTCCGTATCAAACTCCGAGGTTAGCGGACCGTGTGTAGATTCGAGGCTGTTGTACAATGGCGGGCGGCCCATCTCCGAAAACATAGCTCGACCATAACTCTCACGATATTGCGGATTTTTGCTCTTGAGAAATTGGCAAAGTCACAACCAACCACACTTTTTGAGCCTTCGGTACGACCACTCAAGGCCTAGGCGGACAGTTCAACGCAGGATGGTTGTACAACAAAGAAGATTCTAGAGTCAGTTATATACACATCAGAACCTTCTGACTATTTCTTGGGCTCCTCCTTCTTCTCCTCAGGCTTCGGTGTCGGCAGCTTGAAGCTGTCGGGACGTCGGTCTGTGCCAGGCCCAACCTGCTCCCAGGCGCTGGTGCCGCCCTCAAAGTTGCGGAAAGCCTGAGTGAGCTCGAGAGGCTCGGTGACGATGCGCTTCTTCTCCTCATCGTATCTGATCTCGGTGTAGCCGGTAAGGGGGAAGTCCTTTCGCAAGGGGTGGCCCTCGAAACCGTAGTCGGTCATGATTCTGCGCAGGTCGGGGTGGTCGGTGAAGAAGACACCGAAAAGATCATAGACCTCACGCTCGTACCAGTTGGCTCCGTCAAAGAGGGGAGTGACACTGGGGACGGGCGACGCCTCGTCGGCATAGGTCTTGACGCGAATGCGCGAGTTGTGGCGGACACTGAGGAGGTTGTAAATGACCTCGAATCGCTGGTCTCGGGTCGGGTAATCGACCGCAGTGATGTCGCTAATCTGAGTGAACTCGGCCGAGGTGTTGTCTGCCAACTGTTAGATGCGAATTGGACTACGTCATGGACAATTGACACGTACACTTGAGGAACGACATGATGGGGATGATACCCGAGGGAGAGACGTAGATGGTGAGCTCGTCCTTCCAGACCGAGATCTGCTGGACGTACTTGGGCAAGCAGCCCATGACCCAAGATCCGTACTTGTGCAGGTTTTCGGCCTTGGAGCCGTACTTGTCAGCCGGGTTGATGAGAGGGGCCTTGAGGGTGCCGATGTGCTCGCGAGGAGACTTCCTCATGTTTTCGGCATCCTTGGGAAGACCGGTCGGGAAGCCGGCCAATTGAGGGATGGAGGTCGAGAAGCATCGAATCTCGCTGGGGCGGCAGTTACGCAAGCCCGCCAGAGCTCTACTACGATAGAGCTTGGTCGCCATTGTTGCCGTTGTTGCAGTGCTGGGGGCTTGATGCCTCTGTGGAAGTGGTGATTGATGATGCTGTGCTTCTGTGATATGCTTGGGGATGGAAAGAAGCTAGCCGGTTTAGGCTCACCCGGGGGTGTTGAGTCTGCCTTCTCTCTTGCATGCAATCTGGGCGATTTGGAGACTCGGTTCTGGTCACTTGTGATTCCATGTATAAAAATGTCATCAAAGGCTATCCTAAAAGGTTAAAACCAAATCTCACTTCCATCACCATGAACGCATATTTTAGCTTTCAGTTCCTTTCAAATATTTATTCCTGCTGCACCCGTTTCCAAGTCTCTTCTGTGCCTTCCAGATAGATTCCTAGGCAACGGGGAGGGTATCTCTAGACGCTGCTGACTTGCACCATTCTCTGCATTGTGATTGGTCGAAGAGTCGGAATATTGCGGATAACACGTGACGATGTCTGTGGGTCCATGCCTTCTTACCTAAGGTGCCAATCCGACAGACGACCCATCCGAGAAAGGCTTTGGCTTCATTTGCGTATTGAACAACTTCCCTCTCCTTACCACCTCCACTCAGAAATCGACGAACCAACCTCCCACAGAACATCCTTACCCGCCCCAGATTGTCACCATGGCACCCCAAGATACCTTTATCGACGAGGAGGAAGATACCTGGTATGCTACTCTCCCCGTCTCATTTCGCGCGCATCGCAAGACCTGCACAGGCTTTTGAGTATTAGGCATCATGAACTGACTTAATTTCCACAGCCCGCTATGTATCGAAGAGTTCGACCTGTCCGATCGGAATTTTCGACCTTGCCCATGTGGCTACCAGGTACGGCGACCCCTCGATTCGACCGCCCCAGCCCCCGCCGACGGCCATCGATTTCTGACCGTTTTATAGGTGTGCCAGTTCTGCTTCAACAACATCAAGAACAACATGAACGGCCTGTGTCCCGCATGCAGGAGACCGTACGATGAAAAGACGATACAGTGGAAGGTCGTCACCACGGAAGAGTGCGTATCCCCTCGAGGCTGCCCCGGCGACGCCACGCTGACAAAGTTTTAGGGTTGCCGAGTTTCGAGCAAATATCCAAAAGAACCAGAAGAAGCGCGCTCAAGACCAGAAGCAAAAAGAGGTTCAAAAGCGCGAAGTCGAGAAAGAAAGTCGCAAGAACCTCGTTGGCGTCCGCGTCGTTCAGAAGAACCTGGTTTATGTGACCGGTCTGACACCTACAGTGCGAGAGGACGAACTACTCAAGACGCTGCGCAAGCCTGAGTTTTTCGGTCAATACGGCAATATTCAAAAGATCTCGATCAGCAACCGAAAGACATCAGACGGCCAAAACTCTCTCGGAATTTATGTGACTTTCGAGAAGAAGGAGGATGCCCAGCGGTGCATCCAGGCGGTCAACGGTTCTCAGAATGGGGATCGTGTACTGAGAGCCCAGCTTGGTACGACAAAGTATTGTTCGGCATGGCTGCGGCACGAACAGTGCGCCAACAGGCAGTGCATGTTCCTGCACGAGTTAGGTGATGAGGAAGACAGCTACACTCGGCAGGACCTGTCTTCGATGAATAGCATCAGCTCGCAGCGGCCGCTGCCAGCGGGCTCCTCATCAAACAGCGGTGGCGGACCGTCACGGACTGCATCGCGACAACAAAATATCACGCCCTCCGTACCCCCGGCTTCGCAACCCATGGCGCGATCATCGAGCAAGGAAGGATCTGAGAATGGTGGCGACGGCCCAGCTCTGCCAGCATCGGCCAACTGGGCAAGGAATCCTCAGCGCAGTCGCAGAGGAAGCCACGCCACCAGTGGCGCCGCTTCCAGCCCTGCAATTTCGACAGCTCTCCCCGCAACCGCCGAGGCAGTACCCGAGGCTATCGACGAGACGCCCTCAAGAGAGGAGTCACCCGCGCCTGCGACCGAGAGCAAAGCCTTGAAGTCCCCTACCACAGCTGACAGCAGAAAATCCAACAGTCTCCCGGAGAACCTCCTCAAGGGACTTCTTAAGGCCATGCAGGGTTGTCCTTTCAGTTACCATGAACCCGATACGAACCAGATCGAGACGATTTACCCCCCCATGTTCGATACCCGCGGAGGCGAGAAGAGACGAGCTATGCGCGAGGAGGAGGAGTCACGCCTGGGTGTCGACCAGGAGCAGCAAAGCGATGCACAAGAAGCCTCGGAAGGCGAGCCAGAGACGGGAGGCAGTCTGGCCCTCGGCGGGGAGCCCGAAGATCGGGATGCCGCTCACGACGTCGCATTCGAGCAGCGCCGACCCGGAACGCAGCCGCCTATCCAGCGCACCAACGGTGAAGGCCTCTTCGGTCCTGCACTTGGTTCAGGGTTCGGCCAAGCCTCTGTGTCCGGCGGTTCCGTTGCCGGCAGCCGCTCGATGACACCTCAGCAACAACTTTTCGTCCGGTCCCAGAGCGGTTTCGGCGATCATCTGCCTCCGGGCATCGCAACTGCGCAGCCTTCAGCGGTTCAGCAACAAGGTGGCGGCCACAACAGACAAGGATCGAGGTTCAGCTTTGCTAATGACACCGCCGGCACTTCAGCTTCAGTCAAGGTTGCCGCGAACCCGAGAATCATGGCGCAGCAGACGGCCATGATGCCATCCGCTTTCCACTCGCAGCCCGGCAGCCAGTATTATGCATCCTCCATGCCCGGACCTCCTCCGGGTCTCAAGTCGACAGGCACGCCACCAAACATGTTTGGACAGGGCCACTCGTTCGGTGGCAGCTTCGGTGCGGCCTCCAAGGATTCCGCCGAGCTTCTTCAGACGTTGATTCGCGGTCGGGGAGCCAATGGTCAGGGTCATGATGCTGGTAAGCGTGAGTACATGTTATCTTCTTTCTCTAATCAGTACCCATCCTCTACCTCCTCCACCCCAGCTCCTGCTTCGGGCCTCCTGGCGTCGCTCTACGGTAACCAGCCTGGAGCATTCCAAGACTTCGGTCCCAAGCAGAAGAAGAAGGGGAAGAAGCACAGACATGCTAACACTTCCTCCTCTGGGGGAGGTGGCCTAGTTGATCTTGCGGACCCGAGTATCCTGCAAGCGAGAATGCAACACCAGTCGCAGAGCAACGCCGGAGTCGGACAGGGACTGTTCGGTGGACAGAGCCAAGGTGGGTACAACCCGAACATGATGTACAACACGCGCTTCCCAGGCGCCGGCTGGTAGCCTTTCAGAGACAGCGTGATAGACTAGGGGCTTGGTGTTGGTCGTTTACGGGTTTTGTTTTACACACACTTCATGTATCATGAGAAGGGAGGGCGTCGCGGCATACTACAGGCGGACGGCCGTCCTTCGAAGGGGACCGGGAGCGCACCGCACATATCATGCATTGATTCAGCGAGCATCGCGGAAAACATCAGGGCCGCTCAGGGGAGTGGTAAGGGTTGCATTTGGCGTCGCGCTTCACACGTTTCTTATGGGCAAACAAGGACCGACACCTACACTCGTCCCGACACATTATACCTCTTTTTCTTTTTGGACTCGCACGTCATGGTTTATGGGTCACGTCAGTCAGGCAAGCCATCATCGTCTTCCAAAATCGCCTTAATGTACGTTAACTCGCAAACCGTCCTCCGGTTATGAGGATGGGGGGTGGCATAAGGAACAATATAGCATTTTGCTCACACTTATCGCTCGTTGTCCCCGCAAACCATCAAGGAAGACGATGATGGCAGCCGTGAAGTGTTCCTGTAATCCGCACCCATGTATATAAACGTTGTCTCTCGTGCTACCATGCTCTGGCGTCTCTTTCTTTCTCTCCTAGTTTTACTACGGCACTCTGGGGAACCTTTGGCTAACCGGTTCCCTAGATGACGAGTTGTTCTCTCTCGACGAGGCTGCCTTCTCGGTCGATGCGCTGGTATCCGACGACCCCCTGCCGAACTACGTTGGAACCATCGGTGGGTTAGCAAGACCAGCTGTTCCGACACCGCCACCTGGTCTCGGTCCTGCTCAAAGAACAGCATCGCCGGCTCCGCGACAAGCCCCGATACCCGTGGTGCCTGCAACGCCACTTACGCCTGCGGCCCCGAAGCCTGCGGTTCCGACCATGGCCAATATCGTCCGCACGGCAACTCCGGACCCAACCCCTCGTAAGAAGGCTGGCGGGACGGAAGCCAAGAAGAACATCAAGGCTTTGGCTGTCGAAAGTGGTCTTTCCAAGGACATCGCGTCGCAAGCATCTCCGTCCAAGGGCAAGTCTCTGTTACAGGAAGAAGACTTCCCTGCGTTGGATGCAGTTAAGGCGAGCGTTACGCGGCCTGGTACACCGTCAAAGCCTGCGGTTGCAACGCCAAAGATTGCCCCGGCCAGCATCAAGAAGCCCCAGCCAGAAGCGACAACTGCAGCTTCAACTCCGGTGACTGAGGAGCCCAAGCCTATACACAAGGCAGTCGAGAAGAAGCCCGTGCCGGGCGTCTTGAACATCGCCGCGGCCACCAAAGCAGCCCAGCCGAAGCAACCAGAGACAGCCACGGCAGAACAGTCGGATTCATCGGCATTCCCCGCCTTGCCAACTCCAACAACTGCTAGTGTCGCATCTCCCATTACAAGATCTGCACCCAAAACTCTGCGTGTCGTCTCGACACCAAAGGCCGAAGTGCCGCCGCCCTTGCATTCTGGTACCACCTTCTCCGCTGCCGCCAGAGCCGTGTCTACTGCTTCCGGTCGACCTGGAACACCGGCCAGCGAAATCGTCAGTGACAGTGCATCCATCGTATCGGCATCCGTCTCTGCATCTCGCACGAGTTCGCCACCTCCCACTAGGGTTGGAATAGCTCCCGTCCGCACTACGACGAAGAGCCAACAGCGTAAACAACGTAAGGAGGCCCACAAGGAACAGTCTGCCACCATTGCTGTTACGCCGAAAGTAGCGGAACCCGAGGAGCAAGCGCCCATCATCGGCCGCAAGAAGAAGCAGAAGAAGGAGAAGTCGGTGGCTACGCCCCCAGCGGTGCCCAAGAAAGCTGCCGAGCGCGCAGCGACGCCGCCACCTCCACCGAAAGAACCTACTCCTCCTCCCAAGCCAATCCTTGAGAGAACGGTCGTTGATCTGCCTCCTCCGAAGGGTAAGGCAGCCAAGAACGCCGCGAAGATCGCGAAGGCAGCCGAAGAAAAGGGTAAGAGCAGAGAGGTATCGGCAACACCTACGCCTCCACCCCCAGCGCCGACTGCTGTTGTTGCGCCCGAAGAGTCACAAGACATCGCAGACAACCCCAAGACCATCCCCGAGGTTGTCTTCCAGGACCTTCTCGGTGCTGGCCAGGCTCCTCCGGCAGACGCCCTCACGCTGCTCAAGCCGCTTACCGAGCAGAACACCCGCATCGATCGAGCGCACGCCGCTGCGGCACATGGCAATAACCCGCCTCCATCAACCACAACTAAAAACATGATTTCTGAGGCAGACCACTCTGCTCTTGTGACTGGCCAGCCGGTTCGCAAGGTGATGGATGGCCATCGCGTGCTCATCACGCCCAATGGTGATTGCGTCCGCAACCTCACCGAGGAAGAAGAGGATAAATACCTGGAGCTTCAAAAGCGTGTCGCAGTAGCCAGCGACCAGCCCGACAGTTTCGTTGCACCCCGCCACCAAGCTCGTCCTGGCGGCTTCTCTCTCATCAAAGGACGCGCTGTGCCCAACGGCCCTCCGTCGTACTTCCCGCCGTCTCCCAACGCGCAGAAAATGTTCTCCGACGATCCGGTCAACAAGATCCAACGCGAGGAGGCCATCAGCTACATCAACCAGTTTGTGCTCCCGCGACTCAACCTTGGTAACACCAACTTGTTCCCGGGCAGCTGGAAGTCTGCGCCGGGCGCCAAGGACGCTCTCTCTGCGCGCGAGACGGCCGCTGCCAGCCTCAACTCGCTGGCCCCGTACATCTACGGCCATGACGCAGCTGCCGGAGCGGGCATTTACTCCGCTGAGAGCGGTGGTTCAGGCAAGGACATCCCCGAGGACGAGACGCCCTTTGGTGGCTTGGACTCGCCGCAGCACCAGGGTAACGAGGTCGCCGTTGCGAATGCATCTGCCTCTGCTGCTGCCGCCGCTGCCGCGCAAGCTCACGCGCACAGCAGCAGCGCGCACCCCAAGCTTCCGGGCACGCCTCTCAACGCCATGTCGCTGATGAGCGTCGAGGACGCGGAGACGGCGCTGGCGCTGGCGCGCAAGGAGACTGAGAAGCTCGAGAAGGGTCTCAACCAGGCTATTAAGCGTAACCGGAGACTGCTTCTCGGCGGCAGATGACTAGCCGTGAGTCTAGCCGAGTTTGTGGAGAGGGTTGTTGTGGCTGTGGCCGTGCAGGCACTGGTGCTGGGGGTTGGCGTGGTTGGCACCGTCGTGGATTTGTTGTCTGATGTCGGAGGAGTGAGCTGGTGATTTCTGAGATGTTTGAGATGTCTCTACAGCGACGATTTGGGGGGTTTATGCTTGGCCATCATGATGGGAGCGTGCATTGTTACGATATGAGGGATGTTTAGACCCCTTCCTCTCAAGCGTTTGGCGAGGTTTGCTACGAGGATGCTGCTGGCTGCAGGTTTAGGATACGTGTAGCGCTACTGTACATATTATTTGTACACTTTGGTCCGCCCACGAGCTGGTTGGGCACATTTGGGGAACGGGACCTGTTGTTCCGCGGGATGGATAAAGCTTAATGATACTGATACCCCTTTGCGATTACGACGAGCTGTCAAGGTGTTTCCGAGCGTGAGCATGGCCCGTGTGCGGAGTATGATGCAGTATGTAAAGTCATGTTAATTTGTGCCAATATGAAGTTTGTACTTATAAGCAAAGAGCCAGATGCATGTCTCCGGATAAATGGTACAGTATCTGGCAAAACGTGACGATGCATGCTCGAGCAAAACGCCAAAATGACGGGGTATCACTTGCGAACCATGTCTTGAATCTCCTCCCTCCCCTTCTTCTCGTCCTCCAGCCCACGCTCCCTCTCCGCCGTGCTCTTCTTCTCCATCTCCTCGGCCCGCACGGCATCGAGCTCGTCGCGCAGCTTCTCCGTGAGCTTGTCCAGGATCCACTCGGCCTCCTCCTGGCTGCCCATCAGCGGCGACTGCGAGCCGACCCAGGACCACTTGTCTTCGTCGGGGCACTCGCCGCCCTCGTCGACGTCGTCGGCGGCGTTCTTCCTGTTCTTGTGTTTCTTTTTCGAGTGGATGTGCGGGCGCGCTTTGCGGTGCGTCGCGGCGCTGGACTCGTCCTCGCCGATGAGCTTCAGGTACCACGCCCACTCGGCGAAACTGTACCGCCGCGCGGGCTTCTCTTTTGCGTGCTGCCGGACGGCGGCGATTTCGGAGATGAGGAGGTAGTGGTAGTCTGCGCGGGAGGACGGGAGCGGGGTGGTGGGGGAGCGGATGCGGGAGAAGGGGCGGCGGCGAGGCTGCTGTTGGCCTCGTTGTTTCTCGCGGTCGGCGTCTGGCGATGACTGCTGAGCGCTCTGTGAGCGTTTCCGGTCGGTGGAGTAGGATTCGGCCTTGTCGGTGTCGCCGTCTTCTTCGGAGGAAGATTGACGTTGGCGGTGGGCGTTGGAGAGGAAGCCTGGCGGGAGTCCGTTATCCTCTTCTTCATCTTCGGCCTCCGACTCTTCGTCTTTCTCGGAGGGATGCAAGAGAGCGCCGCAGGAGAGGCGATGAAGAAGGGACATGAGGTCTTTGCGGAAGCCGCGCTCGCCGGGTAAGATTGTGATGTTACCCAGCTCGAGGGTGGCGTCGCGGACGGCCTTGACGACGGTGTCGCCGGCGTTGGAGATCATGACGGTCATGGTCGGCAGCGCCAGCAGGGACCAGAAGACGAAGAAGGCCTTGCCCGCGTTGGAGATGGGGGTGCGGTCGCCGTAGCCGATGGTCGTGAGGGTGACGAAGGCGAAGTAGAAGCCCTCAAAGTAGGTCCAGTTCTGGTAGGGCCGCTCGCACTCCTGAAAGACCTTTGCGCCGACGAGCCAGAGGATGACCCAGGAGGAGAAGGAGACGGACATGGCCATCCAGCGGCGGCGGACGGAGGCCTGCTCCTGGATCTTGCGCATGAGGTAGAACTCCCTTTCGCGGCGTTCGAGCTCCGTAAGGGGCAGCGAGGAGGGCGACGAGCCCTCAGAGTCCTGATGGATGGGCTTGAGAATCTCGTCCTTGCCCTTGCGGGTCATTTTGCGGATGAGCTTGCGGCGCCTCTTCTCGACCATGCGGGCGTCGAGCCGGCGGCGGCCGCGCTCGAGGACGAGGCTGCGGATGGAGCCGATGACGAGACCGAGGCTGATGACGCCGATGAGGGCGTAGGGGAAGAGGAGGGCGCGGCCGAGGGGCGTGGCGGCGGCGAAGTCGCCGAAGCCGACGGTGAAGAGGGTCACGTCGGCCCAGTAGACGGCGTCGAGGTAGGCCCACCCCTCAATGGTGGAGAAGACCAGGGCGCCGAGGAGCAGGTAGAGGAGGAAGAGGATGGTCTGCAGCATGAGGGTGCGCTGGGCGGTGGTGAGCTGGAAGTCCTTTGCGTAGTGGTGGGTGTAGGCGCCGTAGACGGTGACGACCATGAGGGAGGCCGTGACGAAGTAGAGGATGGCGGCGAACAGGCCGTAGAAGAAGGCCTGGGAGAGGATGTACTCCTCGGCGGGCTCGATGACGAGGGGCCCCGCGGCGGTGGCGTTGAGGGCGATGAGGCAGACGGCCGAGATGTACCAGCCGGCGATGGTGATGGGCTGCGCGAGGGAGAAGCGCACGCGGCGGGCCATGTTGAGCAGGAGGAAGACATTGGAGATGATTGCTATGGTGAGCTGGATGGCGTTGACGATGATGAGCCTGTGGGTGGTGTCAGTCTTTCATAGTGTTATAGGCTTACACGCTTGTATGAGCGACTAGACAAAAGACGGAAGAAGCGTACCACTTTGGGTCCTCGACAAAGGTAGCGGCCGCGATGTCGGTGCCCGGCGGGAAGTGCTGACGCCAGGGCCGGACAAGGGCACAGATGGAGAAGGCGGAGGCGACGGGGCCTAGGGTGCCGGCGATCATGGGGAAAGCGGAGGAGGCGAACCACCAGCGGCTCGGGTCGAGGTGGGCGACATCGTTGGCGAAGCGCTTGTCGCGCTGGCGCTTCGATTCCTCGAGCTGGCCGATGCGCTCGTCGATGTTGTCGCCCAGGTCGGCGTCGTTCATGGTGGCGGTTGGAATTGGCGGGCCGGAGGTGAAGGCATTCCCGACTGTAGCTCGAGGGACACGACACTTGGGTTTACAGGATTGCTTGACGAAAGGTTTGGCAACGATAAGAGGAAGCTTTAAAGAAAGGAAAGGCGTTTAGGTCTCTTCTTCTTCTTCCATCGAGAACCAGCGTGAACTCGAGGTCCAGGCCTACCGACTCGGACTAGACCGCTCTCCTGACCCTCTTGGCCGGGATATGCCCCCGACCAAAAGCAGAGAGGTACTTCGCGATGACGTCTGTCGTTGGTTGAAGAGGGTGTGCAGCCCGCTTGCGGCCCTTCGTCACTAGGCCACTAGCCACTTACTGAGACACCGGACGACGCTTTTGCACCGTGCAGCCAGAAACACACAAACGGGGGCGACTGGTTAAACCAGTAACGGCGTGCGCTGCCGATGAACCCTGAGAACTCGAAGGCGTTGGAATGTTTGCGGGAATCTGGCGATCTCTCGAGCGTCCATGCAAAGTGTGCGCGGCCTTCGCGTACAACGGCATCGACAATGGCACGCACCCCTTATAAGTATCCCTCTTGTGTGTCCACCGCGGATCGCACGTCTCTAGGAAATTGTGGTCAATCATCGGATAGATCAGGTTACCCATGCATGCAGAGACGAGGGACTCATGATCTTTGACGTAGCACGGCGACCCTTGGCTGTTGGCCTTAGGAGATGGGTGGATATGGGAACGCTGTTTGGCTCGTTTGGCGGCCACGAGGTGTGCTCTACGCCCGTTTTTAGCAGTTTTTGCTCCGGTGGTTGGGGGGCAAGGGGGGGACGGAAGACCTGGGACCCTAGGCGGCGTTGGCGAAGCTTTGCGGCGGTGCAGAGCTGGGGGAGGGATGTGGGATGTGGAGGAGACAGAATCACCGCTGGTTGGTCCGAGGGGGGGGGCCCTGTCAGGAGCTACGGGAAAAAACGCGACTTCTCCGGTGTTTACTTACTCATCTACATCGTACATTCAATGTCAATATTATGTGCGTTGCATGAGTAAGAGGCGGCTGGATATGAGCAGTGCGATATAGCTTCTTCACATCATCTCGTATTTTTAGACGATGAGAAGATGGCCTGGACCCTGGCTGTCGTTTCGTCTTCGCTCAAGCCGCGGCGTACAACGGCGATGCTTCCATCATGACCCCACGCCCGTTGTTGAGTCTGTCGAAGTCGTGTGTGGCTCCTCGGGGAGCATCACAGTAGAGTACATATTCTTTCACTCCCATTCGCCCGGAACCTCAAGACTGACGCCCCTCTCAGCCTGCATAATGTCACCCGGCATGCCCCCTCAACCCCGCTGGTGCTGTACATCCCCCCCTTCTCACCAACCCCGGGCACACAGCCGGCCGTCCCACGGTTCCTTCGCCCGTACCCTACCGCCGTCATCAACTACCGCTGGTCCGCCCCGGTCCCCACCCGTCAACCATCCCCAGGCACCGCCGCCGGCGAGGACCAACAGCACGACTTCAGCACCCCCCTGCAATGGCCAACGCCACTGCACGATACGCTCGCCGGCTACACCTGGATCACAGAGAACTTGCGGCCGCTCCGCATCGCCCGCCGCGACGTCTATGTCTACAGCTCCCACGCCGGTGCCAGCATCGCCGCCTCCCTGGCCCTCACCGAGTCGCACCATCATGAGCGCATGGCCGTCCGCGGGCTCGTTGCCTGGAACGGCATTTACAACTGGTCCATGTTCCTGCCCGATCACAAGGTCAACAAGCCAGCCTCCGCTCGTAGTAAGAAGCTTCCACCGCGGCCCGAGGAAGGGTCGGCACTACACATGTTGCAGATGAAGATGCCTGAGCTGTTCCGCGCGCCGGTGGATTTGCTGGATCCCTTTGCGAGCCCGAGCCTGTTCTTCCAGACGGCGGGTATGATTGCGCCGTCGACGTTTACGCAGGCCGCGGCCGTGTCCTCCTTCTTGGACAAGTTGTCCTCCATGACGAGCGAGGTGAAGCCGTCAGATATACTGGGCCTCACCAGCAGCGCATTCCCAGCGCCGAGACGAAGCGCGCTCGTCTTCCCGCCGAGGAAATCCACGCTGAAGCTGCCGTCAACACTGTTCCTCCACGACTCCCCTTCGGCCGAGCCAGCCCCCAGCGCAGAACCATGAAGACGGCATCGTCGCTAGCCAAGGAGCTTGCCTCGAGAACGGCAAGGCAGCGTAAGGTGACGGGACATACGTTTAAGGCCCAGGCGACGGAGCTGGCGGGTTTGATGAGGCGGAGCCTGGAGAAGCTCGAGTTCAAGGCGCGGATGGAGTGGGACGAGGACTTTGACGAGGTCGCCGAGGCGGAGAGGCGGGTGGGCATTGTCGAGCTCGGCGAAAATGAGGGCCTGGAGCTTGGCGAGCAAGGACAGGAGGCCGTGAGGGAGTGGTTGGAGGACAGGATACGTTTGTGATACCCCTTTAACGATTTCTCCCCTCGTCATTTTGTCAAGTATTACTGAATGGACTGGAAATCTGTTCCATGGAGCCCGCTCGCTCTAGAGTTTTTCAGTGACCTGGACGAAGCCGCACTGGTGAGGCAGCAGCTCGTCTCCACGGTGAGCCGGACCAGTCGCACGCCCTCGAGACAACCGGGCCACGTGGCATCGCGAGATGAGGTCGAGGTGAGTTGCCTGGAGCCACCGCCACCATCGGTACACTATACCTGCACCATGAATACCTGCCCCGCTCGCTCCTTCCATCCCATCATTCACCTCGACTAGCCCTTTATCAAGGCAACTGCCTCGTATTGCTTCCAACCAGGATCAACCGGATCGAGTGGCCAGCTCAGCTAGCCATTTGGTCTGGTTGGTGGAAGAGACAAAAGAAATATCACGATCGGGGTCTTTCTGGTTAACTCGCGTGACACGCAAGTTCGATCCCATGGGGCCGACCTTGGGCTTGTATTCTTTTCCTTTTTGTTTCGGTTTCTTAGACTTGACCCTAATTTGATTCTTACAGTTAATGCGGTCTAGAGACCAACATGAGAAGGAAATAAATCCATGACTTGTATATATGTAGAGAGCTGTGGATGCTTTACCCGTGGTCACTTGGCATGTCAAGTTGCTGCGATATCACAACAAGGTGAAGGACGTTTGTTGAGTCCCAAACCCAAAGGCTGTGAGCTGAAAACTTCTTCGAGGCTGAACATCCATCTTAGGCAGAAAACGTGTCTGTTTTAGACTGGGTTTAGTTTGTAGCAGAATTAGCAAGAAGACATGCTACCCCACCGAGGATAAAAGTGAAGTACAGTTGGTATCAAATCCAGAGAGGAGAACCCAGACAGCAGGAAAATAAAATCTGAATCTCGCGTCACGGTTTCCAAATTTAGCCTTCCCAAAATAGCCAGGGCAACTCTGAGGATAGCGTCTCGAGTTCCTCCGCCCAAACTGCGTCTCCTGGGAGTTCTACCCTCTTGCCAACACCGTGTGTAAGGCTTTCTCCAATATCATTGAGCACCTGAGTAGGAAAGTCGGGGGCTCTTCTTCTTCCTCAAGATGCCTACCACAGTTGCGAACTTTCTCGTTCGTCTCAATGTTTCCATCAGCGACCTTACATAGGACTTCCGATGCCTCAAACCCGGTCTCGGAAGCTGTAGTAGTTGATTTGTACTCCTCGTCCGTTTCTTCGCCCGAACCATAGTTGCTGTCATCTTCGGGGATGTCAGGATCGTCAAGAAGTTTTTTGTCAGCCTCCTCCCACGGCCGATGAGACTTGATTAGTCTTGCCACAGCATGGTGTCCTTCTCTGCAAGCAAATCCAATCGCCCGGACATATTGGCGACGACCTCTACCGACGGTCTCAACGCCAGAGTTGAGTAGCAACTGCACAACATCCAATTTGCCGTTCTCCGCGGCACCTTCTAGTGCGGTCCGTCCGTCTGGTCCTCCCCTCGGGCATTTGGATTTGCCTGGAACTCTAACAATCTACGTACCAGACCAAAATAACCCTGCATGGAAGCAGCTTGCAAAGCAGTATATCCGTAAATGTCAGCAGAAGCGTTGATGTCGGCACCTAGATTCTTGAGTCTCTCTACGAGAGGAAGATTTCCTCTTAAAGCAGCCGCCTGAACAGGCGAAACATAACCATTACCACTTTCATCAACGTGTGGGCGGTTGAAATCGACGCCTAACTCAAGTAACCATTCAGTGACATCGTAGGATTCGTAGTATATTGATTGTGAGAGTGTTTGTGGCGTCATCTCTACACCAAAGCTTTGTAGCGTTTGGAGCCCCTCCAGGCTTGGGCATTTGTAAAATTCGGGACACATAAGAGGTGGGCGGTACCCAAATTGGAGCAGCATGATGCTAAAGCCAAGTCCTATATTATTGGGATACTCATGAGCGACTTCCACTAGAACGTCTTCTCCAGATCGTTCGTGGGGGAGCAAAGTGGATTCGCGCCACTGGAGATAATCATCTGGCATTCGCGGAGTTCTGCGAGCGAAAATGATTTCTGAGAGAGCGTAATCCACCCTTAGACATTTCTCTGGTCGCAGCCCTGACGCCAACATCAGTTCTACAATGTTGAGTAGTCCGATGGTCGCTGCTAGGCGCATCGCTGTACCAAGCCAGAGCTCTTCCGACTCTGATGGCGCCGAAATACGACCTAAGAGAAATCTAAAGATGTCGGAGTCCTGGGTGGCTTTCGCAACAAATATGGCGGCCCAGAGTGAAGATGCAACAACGGCTTGAGGGCTGTCGTTGATAACCCATGAGATTAGAGCCGTGTCTTGTGTAAGAACCGCTGCCTCCAGAACCGAAAGTGTGTCGGGACTGGTCGGGCTTTCGGCAAAAGACGCTCCTCTGGCGAGGAGTTGATCAACAACCGCATATTGGCGAAATGAAATGGCAATGGCTAGTTCACCTCCAACCAAAGTAGCTCCTGCCTCTAGGAGGAACAGTGCATTATCGGATTTGCCTCCAATTAGAGCTGACTGAAGAGCAGTTTTCCCGATGTGCAGTAAATCTTCTGGGTGCATGTAGTAGTTGTGGACCTTCCTAAGAGGCCAGGAAAACCCAGCATTGGAAGGATGACGGTGATTAATGTCGATCCCTTGTCGCAAAACTTTCCGAAGCGTGTCAACATCAGACACATAGGCAGCATATTGAAGGAGAGAACAGGACGTAGAAGAGGGTAACAATGGATCGAGAGAGGCCCCCAAGTGCAAGAGGCGTTCTAAAAGTTCAGTATCCCTTGCATACATAGCAGCCATGATTGGTCTGGCCCCCTGTGCGGTTTGATGATTGATATACGTTCTCAGATGTTCCGGGTCCTCTGAGAGTAGATCCAGGGCAATTCTGCTGTGTGCTCTGATGGCCGATATGAGTAGTTGCGATTTTGATGCCGGAGTGTGAAGTCGTGTCCGAAAGAACTCGAAAACCTGTTCAGTGATTGGGCAAGCTTTGGTTGAGGCGATTACTTCAAGTAGATGACGAGCCTGTCCGTTGTCTTCTTGACTGTACATAAAATTCGACAGCAGGAATGCCATAGATTCCGACGTAGTGCGGGTATTTCGAGCTTTCCAAGCCGCGCGAATCGTTTCTAAATTCATGATCGAAGAATTGGCTCTCAACTCAATGAGTAGTTGAATCAAAGGCCAGTGGCCTATCAGAACTGCATATTCGAATGCGCTTGACGCTCCAAAAACTCCATACTGATTCATGATGCCGTTCAAAACCTGATTGACATCAACACCCATTCGAGCCAAAGATCTCACAAGACCAAGATCAGATGCTAGAATGGCTTCCTTGAACAGACGGTCTAGCGCCGACTGAATGCTCACTGGAAGCTCAGTGTACTGCTGTGACATCAGGATACCCCAGCCGTCGGTTTGTGGTAACGCATGGAGCAGCGTTCTGATAACCTCATCATGCTCTTCATAGTAAGGTTCCTGCCTGTCAAGAAAATTGTTGGAAAAGAGAAACAAAATCACTTGAAGAGCATCGGTAATGTTTATACCATGCTTGGATGACAGGAGGAGGCTCTCGGCGTGGAACACATGGTTGTGTTGGAGTTGCTCAGGCATTATCAAGGAAAGTGCCTCGAATGTAGACTGAAGTCTAGCTGTATGATTGGCTTGACTTGAAGGACGTCTAACCGCCAACATAAGAATATCATCGGTTGGAAGTCGAGTGTTTGCGTCGACAGTACCAGGAACCAGAATATTGAGATCTTCAAGATGCTTCAGTCAGCGTTTGAGTCAACGCCAAGGTCTGATGCTGCGACTATCACCGAGAAGCATGGTAAAGTATACCTCTGATCAAGCTTTTGGCTGAGAGCCAAGGAATATTGTGCATATTCCACAGTTCTGGGGCTCTCTGAGGAGATGGCGTTCGTATAATCAGCGATATATCTGTTGGTGATGGTGGCGCAACAACTAAATACAGCTGTTAGGACTTGGTAGTTCGTAAGTAAGAAGAAGTGGCTTGATATGGTGACTAACCTCCCATGCACTTTTCCATAGCTGTCTCGTAGCAATGACGGCCCCTCGCCTTCTCTACTGTCGCATCTTTCAGTCGAACACCTGAAAGATACACCCTGCTTTCTTTGCCTGCAATGTGTCGCTTGCGAATTCGATGGGTTACGTATTTCCACTCCGAACTCGTCATATTCTTGGTCATATGCCACTGTTTCAACTTCCACTCGAGCTGAGATTTGCTGTAGTAATGTTAGTATGCTGACACTACAAAATAACACGAAAGCTGAAGTTCGCCGGTTTGTATGCTACATTAAGCTTGGCAAGTAGGCAGACAACTAACCTCAAGCGGAAGCCTTGAGACATGCTGAGAATTGTCAAGACGTCTTTCAGACTCCTATCTTCGGTAAGATACAGCTTTCGGATCACCGGCTGAAGCCTCTCCCATTCCTCATCCTTGATGTCAGTCTTCTTGGCGCGAGGCGGCATTCTGACGGATAATGTAGTGGTCGTATCTCGAGGAAAGGGCAGCCCAAGCGTCTCTAAGCAACTGTAGAGGGAGAATCCGAAGATGATTGAAGCTGGTGTACAACTGTCATCTGGTTGTGTTGGTGTTGGCATCTGAGAGCTCTTATATGCCCGACATGAGCCTGGATGAACCGCTGCTATAATTGGTTCGAGCCGGAATCTCATGCATGAGCCTGCCTGCTGATTTTGGTGACAGGGGCAATCAGAGAGGATGGAGGTCTAACACAAGTGATTGGCTATCGCCGGAATCTGGCTCAACTTGCATGAGCAATGTGACGTATCACGATTGCAGCTGATATGCATGCTGGTGCCAACTGACGCCCTAATATGCAGGCTGAGCAGTCGCTGTGTACCAACTCGGTTGATCGTCAAACATGAGGCTGTAGGTTGGAGTCAAGAGCAAAGAAGTCCCGAGACTCTCGAAGTACCTGAACGAAAACAACATGTGGAATGATCCAGCAAACATGCTCTGGCCTAAGGTTCCAAGCCATGGAAGAAGTCGATTAAGCTTGTGCGTCCATTGCAAAGTCACTCGTATCGAATGGTGAAAGCCTGTTGGTATGTGTCACAACACTCAGTAAACAATACCTTGTGTTACCCGTGAGATATTGGCTCCCTCTGAGCTAGTGAACAAGTGATAGGCGCTGCTGTTGGGCCCCTTTTCTTATTTACATGCGGCTAGACATGATTACCTTGGTACTGGAAGGATGGTATCGACGAGACCAACGATTCAACAAAGATCCTATCCAAAAGCTCCATCATATTTTCTTGAGTTTTTGCCGGCAGTGATTCCATCTAAGAAACACAACCAACCACACTCACACCCATATCACCGAGAGGAGTCCAACCTCGACAGCAATTCAGCCAAAGCAGAGCGATGTCGGTCTCACTGAGAACCTGCGTTGTCGGGCGCTTGTTTCATTGCTTCCTTGCTGTACCGAGGCTCTACTTCAAGTCCCCTTGTGAAGCGAGATCGATGGAGGCCATCCGGTTCTAGCTTGCCATTGTCCTCTTACCAGCCCGGGTACACTCGACCATCTCAATCGGCCGCCGGTATTTACATCTCGCAAACCACAGAACCCACGGTAACTCAAAAACTTGACGAGTCACCCAAATTCCCGAAAATATCTGTATGCTGGTCCTCTACCCTCTCAAGCCTCAAGCCAAACAGCGCCGCTACTCGTGAGCTTATCAAGATCTGAGAAGCCTCCTACCAATGACCTCGCACACTCGGCAGCTGGCAGGCCGGCCCTTGCTCAAACCTCAGGCTATCCAATCAGTAATTTGGGCCCAGCTCCGCCCGGAGCCAATTTGGTGGTTTGCCGCCAAGGGCCACTTACACTGATTTCATAGCCTCTCCCCCGTCCTTGGAAAAAAATTTCTCGGAAAAAAAAGTCGTCTCTCGACACCACGAAGAAGCCATCTCTGGATTCACTCTCCTGCTGCATTTTGACATCTCAGAACCCATTCCGCATGTCTCTTAAACGCACGGCAGCAAACGCCGGTACGTACCCACTGGAAGCTCAGACCCGCAGCGCACGCACCCCTGGATCCCTAAAAGTCACTTTTGTCGCTGCGCCGCAGTCGAGCAATGGGCGAGCCCACTACCGCACACCCACTGTCCTGTCCGTAGTAGTGCACGAGTCACGAAACATAGGCCGCTAACCCGCCTTCTCCGGCATCGCAACACCTGCATTCCTGGTCGCTAAACGGCTTGGTTCGGCTCAATGGTCTAGAGGTATGATTCTCGCTTTGGGTTCCTGACATCCGTCTACTCTGCGAGAGGCCCCGGGTTCGATCCCCGGTTGAGCCCCATCTTTTGTTTTTGCAACTTTCTTTTGCTGGGTGGTAGTTAGTACACCATGAGCACGAGGGATTCCGACAATGCTTTGGGACACGCGAAGCAACGTGGATATGCAGAGGAGTTGTGCTGTGATGAAGCGCATGCACAAGTGGGTACTGACCTCTCCCACCTGGTCAATAAAGATGTTGCCGTCCACGTGCCTCTCTGTGGACGGCGTCTTCGCGCCTCCATTCCGTTGGGGACATAGTCCCGACGAAGGTGAGGTGAAGATCAACGGGCCAGTCGAGATGAACAGCGTTGCAGCGGACGAGGGAGACCCATCCGCGCCAATTTCGAGCAATCTCGAGCCACCGATCCAACGTTTGGCCTTCAGTGCCCACTGATTGTCTCTTTTTTTTCCATTGGGGTGGCTTGGGAGGAGTGAAGCTCCCCCGCCCCGAACCAGCTTAGCGGCGCCGGGCTGCCTCGATGGTGGTGCTGGACCCCCCCTGGTCCCCAGCTCCTGATTGAGATGACGGCATTCCGCCAGATGTCGTGTTTGCTTCAACTGGCACACTTGCACGGACGATGGCACTCGATATTGGATGCCACCCATCAGGGCAGTTCCGGATTCTGCAGGCGAGACGGATGAGAGATTGATGACCTGAATCCGGCCAGCACCGAGCTAATGGGCAATGATACGGACGGATACGACAGGGTAGGACAAAAAAAAACTTGGCCGAATCTGCAGCGAGCGAGCGAGCAGGCAAGCCGCCCAAAAAGCAGGGTTTCATCATCCCGCCGTCCGGCCATCCTGTTCATCAAACTTTGACTCCCACTCCCACAGGAACTATTGCGATACGAAGGGCATGCGAATGTCCGATGACGGATGAACTCTGAACGCTGAACGCTGCCCTCACCGGCTGTGGCTGCAGGTCATCACCGTCATCAGAGCCGGCGCGATGGAGGAGACAGTGAACGACAACTCCGCGTATTCGGAGTGAGGGAGCACGCAGAAATCCAGCCGCGCATGCCTTCATTGCTGGCCCATCGTCTCTCGACGTGTTGACTGCGAGACGGGTGACCGGTTCCTTGGCCAGATGAGGTGCTGCAGCCAGCGTGCAGAGAGAGTCATCGCAACTTGCAGCTGGCAGGGGGGGCCTCAGTGAGTGTGTGCTAAGCTCAGAAACGTTGAAGTACCCGCCGCCCGTGCATTCATCCATCCCTTTAGTGGCGGCCGTGCAGCAGCTGCCATCCCTACCACTGACAGCCAGCCAGCCATACCTAGGTAGGTACTACCTACCTCACGCTTCAGATCCCAGTGGATCCCTTCCTTCCCCCCCTCTCATCGTCCCCATTGATTGTCACTGCCTCAGCCAAGCTTGCCAGGGCAGTCACGCAGCCCATTGGATCCCACATCTGTCTACCTGCTTTACGCTGAAGTTAGGGGCCATAGTAATGTACCGTGCAAGTCGCGGTATCCCGGCATGGCAGCAGTAGCAACAGCAGCTCCTTTCCCTTGGAACCCACTGCCCACCGCCCGCCGCCCGCTCTTGCTGTTTTTTCTGGTGGATGAGAAGCGTCGGCCTAGGCCAGGGCCATGCCAAGCATAGGTAGCATGGCATGGCAGTCAGTCGCGCTGTGCTGTGCGACCTTATGCTGTGCTGAGACAAGACGAGACCCTTCCCTGGGCGTCTATTTCTATCTCGAGACCCCATCATCGTCGCCGGTGGCCTCTTTTTTGACTTTTCTTCTGCTTCTTACAAAAGACTACCGTCGTCTGTCGCAACCATATCACTACATAATCCCATCCTTCTCGCCAGTAGCTCGTCGCTATCGCTTACACCGTCGTACGACACTCGAAAACACCACCTTTGACAGCTTACCCCCGTGCAATCAGTCATCATGCCTGGAGTTCGTGAGTAACCGCCCTTCCCGTTCCCTTCCTCGTCTGCTCCTCGAGGCATCGCGATAGCCATCGAAGTTCCCACGAGACAAAGCCACAGATGAATACGAACGTGGTACCGGCACCGAATGCCAAGAAATACTCACTAACACGTCTTCCCCCAAACAGCCATCGACGCCCTGGACAACCTCAAGTCCAAGTTCAAGGCCATCTTCAAGAAGAAGGACGAGAAGAAGGCTGAGGCCTCCAAGCCCGCCGAATCCAAGCCTACTGAGACCCCCGCCACCACTACCACGCCGGCCACCGAGCCCACCAAGACCGACGCTGCTCCCGCCGCTGCCCCGGCCAGTATGTCCTCCCATACGAGACCCCTCGTGCTTGATAAGCGGCAACTAACAAACAATCACAGCCGAGCCCGCTGCTCCTGCCCCCGCTCCTGCTGCTGCCGCTGAACCGGCCAAGGCCCCCGAGCCCGAAGCCAAGAAGGACGATGCTCCGGCCACTACCGAGCCCGCCAAGGCGCCTGAGGCTGGTATGTCGAGATAGACAGCCCAACAGCTTGGAAACTACGTGACTGACAATCCCTCTCTCAGCCCCTGCTGGCCCCGCAGCTCCTGCTGTGACCGCCGAGGCCCCCAAGGCGCCTGAGCCCGCTACCGCTCCGGCTCCCGCCCCCGCTCCGGCTGCTGCCACCGAGCCCGCGAAGACCGAGACCCCTGCTACCACTGCCCCGGCCGCCGCTCCGGCTGCCGAGACTGCGCCTGCACCTGCGCCCGCTCCCGCCGCTGCCCCCACCGAGGCTGCCAAGCCTGAGGAGAAGCCCGCTGAGGAGAAGAAGGAGACCACCGCCGCTTAGACGGCGACGCCGAGTGTCTACCATCTGGGCTTGCGATAAGTGCCCAAGGGCCACGGCGAGTGGGCAGACCGAGTCGCAGATTCGGTTGGATGTCCTTTGTTTGCGTGAGTTACCGATAGACAGCGATCGAACTCAGCGAGCAGCTATCCGGTCTGCCGCTGCCGTTCGTCAAGAGCATAAGCATGTCACAAGCGATGCACGCAGAAGGGGATTACATGGTTTTCTTGCTTAGACCTTTGGTCTAGTATGTTCATTTGCTTAATTGTCGGATACCCATTAGTCGAGTAGTTGAATCAAGCGTACCTTGCTTACACTGTTCCGAAGGAGTGTGAGTCGCCCGTGGCCTTTTGCAGACCTTGACTCGTCCATGTTTTGCTTTCAGTCTACTGCCATGTCTGTGTGACGTGTTTTGGAAGCAACATCGTGTAATGTACACTTTTTCTCAGCAAGGGCCATCTGGGGCAGTGTCTCGAATCCTCACGCAGCTTCTGGCTGCTCGGGATAATCGCCCGGCCACCGTTTTTCCAATCTAGGAGGGTGCTGGCGTCCATCTAGTCTTGATGGGCTTCAAGGCTCCTTTCTCATAACCGAGAACACCGGCGAAGCCGACATGCATCTTTTCATCCGACAGTCCGCTCACTTCGCCCACGGCGCCTTGGTCAGCGTAATCTGCGCATCCGTCGTCCCGGCCCCGCCATCTTGCCTAGCCTGCCGCGCCCCCGAAGGCATCGGCATCATGCTCGGACCAGGCGGTGCCCGCGCCGAAGCTGCGGACGAAGGCGGCGGCGGTTGACGCGTGTAGGGGATACCGGCGCCACCCGGCGGGAGCATGCGGCCCGTCGCACCGGTCGCCCACGGCGCCGCGGTGCCTGATCCCTGAGGGGCGGGGCGCGGTCGTCGCGGGGTAGTTGTAGGAGGGCTGGTTCGCGGCGTGGACCGATTGCGAGACGGGCGCGGCGTTGGGGTCCTGGTCCCAGGAGAAGAGGGAGCCAAAGGTGAAGTGCTGGACGACGGGGAACTTTTGGAGGACTTCGGCGTTGAACATTTTGAGCATGCCCTGCACGATGAAGGGTCAGCGGTTTCATTCTCGGTCTTAGGGCTACGGACCCGGTGCTTACCTTGTTGATCTTGCCCCAGCCGTCCTTGACGCCCGACACGTCAAAGAGGATGGGGCTGTGCTCCCAGAACGGGCCCTTTTTTACGTCGTTGATGAAGCCGACGGCGGAGAAGTACATGTTCTCGGCGCGCTGGGCCTCGACGACGGCGGGCTTGACGATGTCGCCCGTCTTGGGGGCGCCGCGGACGGAGCCCTCGGTGGGCATGGGGTCGGCGTCCGAGGAGACGGGGGCGGTCAGCTGGGCGGAGCCGAAGATGTAGGGGAGGAAGGAGTGGTCGTCGAGGCCCCAGACGCCGTGGGAGCCGGCGGGCTCGAGGGTGTAGGTCAGGATGAGGCGGCGGACGACGCGGAGGTAGGGCTCGATGACGCCGAGGACGATGGTGCGGTCGAGGGCGGCGGTGTCGGGCTCGCCGCCGGCAGCGGGTGTGGGGGTGTCATTGGCGAAGAAGGAGAGCTTGTAGAGGGAGCCGAGGAAGGCGAGGAAGGAGAGCTCGTGGCCGGTGCCGTAGTCGAGGCGCTGCGGGGAGCCGAAGGCGCCGAGGAGGTAGGAGAGGAGCTCGGACGAGGGCGGGTCGGAGGACGGGGTCGTGGGGAAGGAGAGGACGGCGTCGGGGATGTGCTCGGACAGCAGGGCGGGCGCGCGGTCGGCGAGGAGCTCGTGCCACTTGCGGAAGGAGACGTTGCCGAAGCGGCGGGGGCCCGGGTCTGGGGGCGCCTGGTCGATGAGGGACTCGGCGGCGGCGAGGAGGTTCTGGAGGGCGGCGATGGAGGGCGGCAGGCGGGCGGCGGGCGGCACCGAGGTCAGGGGGTAGGTGGTCGCGGGGCCGCCGGCGGGCGAGCGGCGCGGGCAGACGGCGCGGTTGAGCTGGAGGAGGAAGAGGAGGATGTCGCGGTAGGCCGTTGTCGTGAGGAAGGTCGCGAGGTCGGCGCCCGTGTTGATGCGCTTGGTGGGGGTCTGGAAGCTGCGCGGGGTCCGCGGCAGGGGTTGGATGGAGGGGAAGGCGGGTTGCTGAGGCGTTGTCGGCGTTGCCGTCGAGGCCGTAGTGTCCATGGTGGGTGTGCGCGTTCTGGTGTGCAGGCCAAGGTCTGCTGTTTGGGGATCCGTGTGGTATGAGCGAGGCGGGAGGTTTGATAGCTGTAGGTGCTGCTAGCTCGGACAGCTCCCGGTGGTCGTGCGGACGAAGGCGAGGGATGGAGGGGCAAGTGACGACACAGTGCCTTAGTCAGCGGGCCGGACCGCGGGGTCCTCACTACCTAGGTATTTGGCACCCATGCACTCTAGTCGTATTCAACTTCGAACTTCGAGCTTCGAGCTTCAATCTTCACGCCTCTTGCACCTCGATTACGAAATGTTGAATTGACTTTCGGTGCCGAGCGCACTTTGGCAGAGCGACAAAGGGCTTCCTCGCTGGGGACAAAATGAAAGCGAAAAGCGTGTCTCGAAATGGGCTGTATTATTGTACGTCTATGCTTAGGTTTTCTATCCAAACCTCGGCCGCGTCTGAGCGCCGCCCATGGGCTTCCCGATTATGTGCCTTGTATGTACTATTGGGCCAAACTCTACGTGCCGAAATTGTAGAGAGTAGTAGAAAAAAACTCGACAAGGGAGAAGAAAAAAAGAAGCCACAATGACCTTCGTTTCGAAAGTCATCGATTACAAGGTACCCAGAGGCCGCGCGGCCTTTTCGGGCTCTCTTGCCCAACCACAGTCTCCGAGTGCGAGTCGGAGGTCTCTGTCATGTGTTTCTAGTTGGTTCGTCGAAATCTCAGTGCGGGCTTGCTGTTTTGTACGTCTATTTCAGCTTGTCGCTGACAAACTGCTTGATCTGGTCACCGTAGATGCTCGGGTATTGTAGATGCGCGACGGGGTCGTTGCCATTGCAGCAAAAGGGGTCTGCTGAGTCGCAAAACGACTTGATGTTGCCCCCATTCGGACACTGGAACCCTTGGGGTCGTGGTGCAAACTGGCCTTGTGTTAACGACCCGAACTTCGTGGGCTTGGTGGCGTGAACTCACCCCTTGCGTCTTGCAAGTTCCGACCTCGTAGGGAAGCCCAGCAACATATCGAGGGTCGCCCATGAAGATGGCCACTTTGACTTGCCCAAGAGCCTCGTTCGAGATGAGCACGTTGGCGTCCTTGACACCCTCAATCGTGTCTCCGCCGCCGCAGTAGGCGTTGTCCATGATTTGCGCCCCCTGACGCAGGTTAGCGTTTGCGTTTCAATGCAGACAATCTGCCAGCCCACCTGAGAAAACCCTAGCATGACAATCTTCGTCTTTGGGCATTTCTTGTTGAAGTCGTTCACGGCCGTGGCAACAGCCGCGGTCCCGTTCTTCACCGAGTCGGCGTAGCTCACGCCCAAGCAGTCAGACGCTCCTCCACAGGCAGGGTAGACAATGGGCTCGTTTGTGGCCCCTTGTTTGCTTTCGTAAGGTCGTCCACGATTCCAGCTGCCGCCCCGAAGCCCGGCGGCGCCGTCGTTTCTCTTGCGCCAAAGATGTGTATGGGCGGACAATCGTTGCCTTGCCGTTGGCGGAGTTGCTGAAGTGCATGAGGCGAGGCTAGGGTCTGGCCGAGCAGAAGTGCGATTCCCACGCTGGCAAGCATATCGGGCAGTACCAATCTTCAAGGGGGATCGTCGTGAGGAGTTGACTCGAGGCGAGGTGGACATTAAACCGATCTCGTGGCTGGGAGAGACCGCTGGCATATGTACCTCCACGGAACGAACGAAGACAAGCAATGAGGGGCCGTCGAATAACAAACTCCCGCGGCTTGGTGAACCAACCTGGTGGTTAACTCGAGATGACTGAATCTTGAAAGCAGCTAAAAGAAGTAGACCGTTGCTTCCGAATACCACAAGGTTTATCTGCGGCCTGACGGGCGAACACTTGTCCGACGCCTTCCACCAACAACGGAGAGCAGTCTCGCCTCCCAGGCGTACTTGTCAAGGCAGCCAAGAAACCGGATGGGACGAAACGAATGCGATTGCCACACAATCGTAGAGGCAATTCCGGCGCTTCAAAGTGACGGCATAAAGCTCTGGCTCCGGGGAGCTGAGGTCAGGGACGGGACGTGTCGCAGCATTCAGACGAAAAGAGCTGTGCTGCATGATGCACGACCGGCACGACGTTTCCAAGGTGGAAAGAGTTATTCAAGAAGAGACTAAAGGACGAGTAAGACGTCGAGGAAGGGATCAGTATCCGACAGACGGTGTGAAACGGGGTGGAGCTGGATCGCGGTTGGGTTGGAACACATCGTTGTTTGACATGGACCTCCATGCGCGAGATGTCTGTGTGCCTGGGCTAAACGAGGTGAGCTTAATCGCCGGTCTACCTCGGTCTGGCGAGCGTGGGGCCAGACCGCGGGAAGCATGACTGTCATCATGCTAGCTCTTCTAACTCCGTCGGAGTCCTAAAAGGAGATGGCGAACCTATCGTCGAGGGTTAACACCTGATCGTCTACACCGGCTGATACGACAACTTTGTTTGAACTAGACTTAAGTTTCGAGCCAATACCATGTTGCGATGAGTCTCTTCCAGTGAGGCAGAGTCCATCTTCAGCCAAGGAACACCTCATGATGATGTTATGTAGCACTTGCAAGGCCTTAGTTAGGTTGGAGACATGGCCAAATGACGTTCACATGAGCCAGAAGGTGACTCCATCGTCATATCCGGAGCTGTGAGGGACGACCACCACAAGCCGAAGACGAACTGGACGATGTCAGGCCAAATAAAATGATGCGGCAGTTCAATGCAAGGCCGAAGAAATCTCGATTTCAATCGAGATGGCATTGCTAGAGTGGCGTATGAGAGACAGTATTGTGAAGGCTCCGTGGTTCCCTACCTCAGCAGGTGTGGTCTTGTAAGCTTATGAGAGCGGATGGCTCCGTATGCCTGCTTCGGTTCCGGTAACCTTCTCTGGCGTAACATGCACAGGGGAGGAAAAAAAAAAGGCAATTCATGGTGGTCGTCTTCGGATGCAGAGGCCGACTGGCTGCTTGTGCATGTTCCCGTAACTCAGAACAACACGGTGACATTGCCGTGGTGTTGTACCTACGTACGTGCCGAGAAGCAGACAATGGTCCTAAGCTTCGCCAATGGCCCAAGTCCTAGAGAGCTTCTGTGCTGACTCATCCGGTAGAAGGGTACTCTCGCCCGGCCCCGCCCACCCGGGCGCCAGCACGGTGAACCCTGCGCGGTCGGAAGGCACGATGAGCGCGTTGCTGTCACGCGAGCTTGGGAGCTGCCGCTGCGCCATTGGACGAACAGCTACGGTAACACAACAATGGGATGCCAAGGGCCTTGAACCACGACCGCAGCACCCGATGCACTTCTTTGGCGTCGTATTTGTCTACGACAATTTCCCCTCCCTCCTGGCCTCACAAACATCGAGGTCGCCATGTCGACCGCCGCCAGAAGACGACCTCCGCGACAGGCTCCGAGCCGAGCCGCGGGGCATACCGAGGACGGCCTCCCTCCGGCGAGTACCTCCGATAACGATCCTCCGGGGCCTCCTGGGATCCGACGTAGCAAGCGTCTAGGTCATGTCGAAATCGAGGACATAAGGGACTTTGAAGCTCTGGGGACAAGGAAGCGTCGGCGGAGCGAGAATCACAGCGAAGGAGACGCTCAAAGTAACGGCGAAGGTGATCAAGACGATGGCGAAACCGCTGCCACTTCAGTGGCCTTGGCTGAACCGGCGGCACCGAAAGTAAGCCTAACCAAGTTTCTGGCGTTTCGCCGTACTCACAAAAATTCAACAGGCCACGGATGGACCCAGTCGACGACAGACACGGACGAATCTCCGAGTAGACACACTTCGCAAGGCCGCAAACAACACGCACCGCATAAACAGTCGCGGTGTTGAGGAAGCCAAATCTTCAGGGGCTACGAACCCCTCAAGCAGGGAAACTAGATCTTCGAGAAAGGCCAGAAATTCACATGAGCCGGGTCTCTCAAAATTGAACGAACCTGCATCCGAGGCCAAGCCCGTCGACGACATCTACGAGTTTCAGGCCAGCTCGCCCAGGAAACGCAAGCCAGAGGAAGAGACGTCAAGTGGGTACCGAAAGGGCAGAGCGTACACCTCGCGGGACTTCGATACCGGCGACGGCCTTTTTGTCGTGCAAGAGGAGGACGATGCGGATGACGGTGGTGATGAGCAGCTATATGACGATCCAACGATCGTAGGCCTACCGCCATCGGCGCAAACAAGAGAAGAGGGACAGTCTACTGAAGACGCCGTGCACGACAATGAACCGCAGTCGAGCGCAGCAACTGAGCAAGTCCGACGTCTCGTTGTGGACATGGGCCCGGCCCCCCCTGAGCCCTCAGACGAAGATGATGACGGATACCCGGACGACCACCTCATCTTCAATCCGCCTGCAGGACAAGAAACAATAGCCGCGGCGCCAATCAAGTCTAATTTCCTGAAGAGCATTGCAGAGCTAATGGGCGGAACCGGCTGGACACAGTCTCGCGGAGAGATCACGTCGGCGGCCCACAAGGCGCAATTCTCGAAACGGACACGCCCCCTTTGGAACGAGCTCTGCCACCTCAATAATTTCTGGGAGGGAATGCCACGCGCGCCTCTGTTTGACCAGCAGTGTGACTACTTGCATTCGGATGACGAGGATGCGACGAGCGCGAGGCTGAGTGTCAGGAAGGTCGACGGGCTTATCCGCGCGCTGGCTGACAAGGCGAAGCAGCCCAGCCACGGCGAGGAATCAGACATGCCGCCGTTACGTTTTGTGGTGGATATCTACGAGAGGATCATCCCACTGCTCGTCCACATCCTTGAAAGCGTATTCCGAAAGGGAGCCGACCTTGAACGATCACGCTACACCGGGAGGTTTACCAAAACAACATTGCAGATCATGCAGAGAGTGGCTGCCTGGATCGAGAAGTTGTACGAAGCAATGCAGGTGAATTTGATTAGAAGAAGGCTGAAGGAACAGACGCTCTCGAAACGAATCAGTCGAGAAAAGCTAGGCGGGTATCTACGAGGCTTCAAGTCTGAACTCGAACAGGCTTGGAGGACAGCAGATGAGGTTATTGAGTGCCAACAGCGCTATGAACAGAGGCTCTTGCTATCGAAGACTAGGAAGGATCGAGAACAACGCGAGTTTGAAGAAGCTAGGCGGCGACAACGAGAGCTTTGCGATAGACGCCTGGAGGAGTACCTGCGACGCACTGCTGTCGAGAGGGCACAGATAGAGGCATCCTCATCGCAGTATCCTTCTCAGCGGACAAGCCGTGGGAGGCAACAAGCAACGCTGGCCCGAACCGAGCCAGTGGACCGGGCAGAGATGGCAAATGCCGGCCCAAGCAAGCCGTGGCCTGAAGACGAAGCCAAGAGGCTCTTACGGGTACTATCAACGAGACCACAGATAGAGATGGAGGCTCTGGTTTGGGAATTCGAGCGCAGCGAGGAAGACGTCAAGGCAATGGTGGAATTGCTGAAGCAGAGTGCCAGGACGTACGCCGCATCCAGGGGCAGACAGATCCCGGCGTTTGCTGCCAGCTGAGCAAGCACAGGAGTGCCGTTTGCCCGGAGCGTTTAGTAGTTGCGAGCTCATTGTTTTGATGATACCCAAGTGTGCTAGCGCGCCGTTCTTTCTTCTTGTTGAGCAAACCAATACTATCACAAGGGGGTTTTCGCAACCCGGAACTGTCAAACCATCTTGTGTCTCCCAAGACTCTCGAGACCATGGCCCTCTGCCCCGCTGACTTACTTGACAAGCTCGGCAGTTCGAAAATGCTAATTATTACTAATCGGCAACTTGACGTGATTGTAGCAACCGGCAGATGTGATTCAACCTTCAGCCGTTACATCACACGAAGTCTAGGCAAGAGGGTTCAAAGTCGCTGCCGTACCATAATGTAGCAACCGCTCAATTGCATCAATACAGTATCACAATGTGACGTTGACGTGAAGCCGGACGTCAGTCTTGGCGAGATGGGCACTCTTAACACGGCTTATATGGGCCGGAAACAGGCGCGCAAAGGGGATTCGCGGGATCGAGGCAGCAGCGTCGTCCGTGTTCGCAGCGTCTTTGTTCTGTTTCCCACGTGGCCTGGCCCCCCCGATCGATCCCACCTGTTCGTGCCATGGACGGGTGGCAGTGGGAGGTAATACGCAGGGCGGCGGCAGCAAAGGAAACGGACGGACGGCGCAGAGCGGACAGTGCATGGAGGCGTGCGCCCCTTCCTCCCCCTTCTCTCTCGATGAGCAGCCTGGCGGCAAAGGCCAGGCCGGCCCAGGCCCAGGCTCTCACCCGTAGCCTGGATCGATGGGGGAGGCGGCCGCCTACCGCACCGCCCTCTGGGGGGGGGGGACAATGTCCAGTTAAAAATCTGCCGAGGGAATGTTTTGGCTCGAGGAGGTGATACGCCACGTAGGTGTCACTGGGTTCTGTTGGTTTGGGGGGACAAGGGTGCGCTGGCCGTGGGGCTTCGGCAGATGCATCTGGGAGGAGGGAATTTGGAACGGGCAGCGTGAGGGTTAGCCCTGGACGGCATCACTTTTTGTTTTCCCTGTTCCTTTCCTTCTCGGGCTTTTGTTTCTTATTCTTATTGATTGAGTTTCCAAGGGAAGTCAGTCGTCAGTCAAACATGGGACGAAGGGAGATCAGAAGGGCTGGTTAGATGCGCTTAATCGCGAGAGCGAGGCCCGCGTCGACGGCCAGCGAGCGAGTGGCTTGGCTTGAAGCGGCGAGGGAGCAAGCCGCGGTGGAGTTTGGTCCGGTCCAGAGCCCCAGAGCTTGATTTGAGAGCCCCCGCGGACTTTGAAAGGCGATGGATGTCGCTGGCGAACAACGCCCAGCGAAGGCTGAACCCGCGGCTTTCTTTCCGGGCAGAGCATACAGTGGCGCGGAAAGCGGCACGCACAGGTGGGCAGTTGTTCGGATACGGCCCTTCTACACGCGTTGTGGAAGGGTTTAGGAGCAGAGGCTGGCTGGCTGAGTGATTGGAAATTGCCGGAAGCCCGGAGTCATTTGCCGAGTGAACCCGGATAGGTTCATGTCCGGCGAGATGGAAAAATTATTCTGGGTGTGAGACCCAGAGGGCAGCAAACCGGTATGGCATTGCATGGGACGCGGCGGCCACATGTTTTTTCTTTTCACATTGAACGATTTCTTCTTCCCGTCTAGCCGCAGAACCCGGGCCCCTCAGCCCTGGCTCAGCCGCCGCCGAAGGAATTTCTCGAAGGAGGGCAGAAGAAAAGAAAGAATGAAACCAGAGCCCAGACGATGGGCGGCGCGGTTTGAGAAGCACGTCAAACTTGCTGTGCTGTGCTGTAACCCAACCACGGCCCAGCCTCCTCGTCCACCCTTGCGGCGGCGGTGGGGTTGAGAGTGTGGGATTGATGATGCAGGTGCGGGGAACCCATGGATTGTCAAAAAGGCAGATATCCGGGGCGGCTTTGCGGGTTGCCGTTGGGTGGTGCCGACACGACCGAGGGCTTCGGGGGACGGTGGTGGGAAAAGGGCCGGGACTGACGGCTGGAGGTGATGTGATGTGATGACAGTAGTGGCAGCAAAGGCATCAGATCACAACTGCCGAGTTGCGCGCATCTCGTCTCGTTCGGTTCAGGCAGTCAGTCGTCGGTCAGCCGTGGTGTCTGACGGCGGTGGAGGCGGGCCAACAGGAAACAGACGGACGGGGCAAAACGACGCCCAGCGTTGACACTCTCTTCGGGGCCGAAAGCGTTTGATGAGGTGCAAGGTCGCTTGGAATGAGCGGTGATTGGGCGCGCTCGGGAGAGGTTGGAATGAGACGATTTGGGGGTGACCCATGGAGGGATAATACTTAGGTGTCATGTCTTGGAGCTCCGTGGGTATGCGGATGTGACCAAGTGGGCAGCCTGCAGTAGCTAGTACGGGGGCCCTTGGAGGGTTTCGGGCCAGAGACTCGGCAATGAATGTCGGATCGACGTTGAATTTGAGTGTCTCTGGTTCTCGCTGGTAGTTGGCCCGTCTCGAGCTGTGTGGTGTGTGTGTGTGTGTGTCTTGTCCGCCTCGCTCGGCGAGAGCGGCGGGCAAAGAGACCTGCCAACAAAGAGGGTCGGCCCATGAAGACGAGTCGGATCATGGGCCCCCAGGACGCGAGGACAAAGGAATGATGCCATCCCGCATCTGCCGACTGCTCAGAGTTTCCAGAGACTGAACACAGCCTTCCCAGCAGAGTCTCTTGAGTGGTGAGCTTCCCTTTCAACCCGGCGCAGCGCAGCGTGCCGGCCAGCTTCGCGAGCGCGAGTGAGCCCATTTACAACTGCCGTGCCCTCCCTCCACCAGATGCCATGGCCATGTCATGCCTGTTTCCAGCTTCGTATGGGGTCCCCCCTCCCCCGCAGATAAGGCACCCCGGCGGTGGTGGGTCGGCCGGAGTTTTCTCCCCCTTCACCGCCGACGATGCGCGTCAATGCTGGGTTGCTGGTGTTGCTGCCTCTTTTCTGGTGTCGTCGGCATGTTGCTGTTGCTGGCTTGCTTGCTTGCTTGCTTCTACGTCGCCCGTCGCAAGTTTCTCGGCATCTTCTGAGATGAACGGGTGGCTCCATCTTCCCGATTCTGCATAGCCTCACGTTCCGCGGGTACGTTGGCCTGTCTCGAAGAATAAATTTTTTTCCCCGATGAATTGTATTCCAATGCTACACTGCGCAGTGTAACCATGGCCGGCCCGTCTCTCCTGAGCCAATGGGAAATCGAGCCTCGGAGATGCCAGCCCAACGGGTTCGATCCAAGGTGCAATCGAATCATCGCTCTGCTGTGACACTTACTTTTCCTCGTTTGGGCTAACAGCGTCCGCACTTGGGACGAAAGAAAAAAGGGCTCTACGCTGTAAACGACGGGCTGCGGAATTGCATCTGCCGAACATCTCGTTAGTCATGAGCCAGACGACAAGCTGACTATCCTGACAAGCCTGACCAGCCTGTCCGGAAGTGTCCATCACCCCTCCGTCTCCATCCGGGGGTCGGCATTGGCATTGGCATTGGCATTTGACAATGGGCACAAATCCCACGCGCACTTCACGCTGCAAATCCCGTCCGTGCCTGTGCTGTGCAGACCGACTGTAGGCGCACGCACTAACACGAAGCGTTTATTCTCCTTCGGCAGGCAACTCGGTTGGCGTCCCCCTTCCCTTCCCACGCCCCTCCATCATTCCAGCTCTGGATGACAGCATGACCATCCGAGGGACCGCGATCTGCCTCTCTGCGAACCTGATGCGCTAAGCTAAGCTGCACGCCTGCCCAGGAAAGGACGCGAATGACAACACGAGTTGGTATGCCCCGGCTCGGTTCTCTCGGTAGCGGAATCTCCCCCCCCCCCCCTCCAACTCCTCCTCATCGACAAGGGTTCCCCCCATCCGTACCCCAGGATCTCCTCACGCGCTTGGCTAACGCAGCACCTACTGAAGTCCTCCGAGACACTAGGTACGCACTGCTGCTGCATGGGACGATGGCCTACTCGTACACTACGCGCACTAGGCAGTGGACCACCCCCGGTGTCATTCTGCAAGCTTCTGAGTGGTCACCACCCTCCGCGGTACCTGAGGCCGTCCAGCTAGGGTTATGAGTGCTGCGTAAGGTGTGGCATTCCATTTGCTCATCTCTTGATACGGAGACGTGAAGTCTGATCTAAGTCAGCCGTGGTGCCAGCAACCTTTCGGCCGTCGTCTAGCGGCGATTTCGATCGCAAGGCCGTCTGGTGTCTGTTTCCCTGCGCTACCCGTTGCCGCCACAGCGCCTCGGCTGTCGACACGGACGGCCGCTGCCTGAGACTTGTTCCTTATCACTGAAGTTGCCTCCTCAAGTGGACCGACCTGCCGACTTGCCCTCCAGTTGCCAAGACTAGACCGACGGGCTCTTAGTGTGACGACCTAGTCGTCAAACGTCTTGTCCAGACTCGCAGGTTCCGGACGGCTGGGAACGCCCCCAAGCCCAGATCCGAAATACCTACACGACTCTTGTTTTCCGCCGCCCCGACTTGTCATGTCCATCGATGCTCGTAATTCCCACCACTCCAGCCTCTCCCGTGTGGCTGTCCTCGCCTCCATCGGCACGGCGCCTAACACCCACCGCCTGTGTCGTTGCATGTCCATGACTCTCGACATCCCTTCCCCGAACCCACTTCCATATTTACGGGACCCCCAAACTCAGGATCCCAGAAACGCAAGAAACCCTTGCGAATCCTAACTCTATTATCTCCCGCAGTCTTGTCTCATCTCCCACGAGACTGACGCCGAGTGCCAATGCTTCTCGGCCGGCCCGTGGCAAGACACAAGACGGCAAGCAAACCGTCGTCGAGGGTTGAACCCTCTGAACTCTCCGCTCGTTGCGTCCCGCAGCCTTGCTGCCTTGGTGTCGACTCGGCTTGGCTACAAGCACCTTGACCAAGGTCCAATCTCATTTGCCGGCCTGCCGCCTGGAGAAGACATACGGACACGAGCGCGTCTGCCCGTCTCCAAGGAGTGACGCTTGTCGTGCTCCACCCGCCCGCCGGAGGTACAGTCGCAGCTGCACGTCGACCCGTATGGCATGGTATGCCCCTCGCACACCTCTCCGCCCCCATAGGTTCCGGCCGGTGCACCCCAGGATAGCAACTGGATAAATTGCTCTTCGGTACCTGACCCGGGAAGTCCATCTGGGTGCCGGCTACATCTACTTGTACCCTCCCGCCCGGTTCTCCCACCCAGCCCAGTCTTATACCAGAGGAACCCCCGACGTCCTCCCTCTCTCCCACACTTCCCTCCTGCCTACAAACATCTCATGACACCCCACACCCTGTCAAGATGCACGGCATTACGGAAACAATACTAGAAACGGTGGCGCAGCACTGGCTGTCCATCGGCCTGTCACTGGTCGTGGCCTGGCTGGTCAAGAACCACTACCACAACGGCCTCAGCAAATACCCGGGGCCCTTCCTGGCCTCGTTAACAGACTGGTGGCGCTTCTTCGACGTCAAGGGCTGCCGTCCGGAGGTGACACATCGGAAACTGCATGAAAAGTACGGCGACATTGTTCGGCTCGGCCCCAACACGCTCTCCTTCGCCGACCCGGCGGCCCTCAAGACCATCTACGGCCTGAACAAGGGCTTCGTCAAGGTACTTTGTTGTGTGATGTCCATCGTGGAAAGCAAGGGTTGCTGACATCCGTAGTCCGACTTTTACATCGTACAGCAGTCCATCGCCAAGGGCTACAGACTGGAGTCGCTCTTTAGCACGACCAACAATGAGTTCCACTCGCAGTTCCGCCGTTGCGTCAACTCGGCCTTCTCCATGTCGGCGCTGGTCCAGTACGAGCCCTTTGTCGACAACACCACCAAGCTGTTCCTGTCGCAGACGGAGAAGCTGTTTGCCGGAAACCAAGAGGGCTGCGACTTCACAACGTGGCTGCAGTTCTACGCCTTTGACGTGATTGGCGAAATCACCTACAGCAAGCGCCACGGCTTCGTCGAGAAGAACGAGGATATCGACGGCATCGTCGCGTACCTGGGAAAGCTGTTCCTCTACGTGGCACCGGTGCGTGTTGTGGTCGAGTGGTAGACCATCGTCAGCGGCTAACACACACCCCAGATCGGCCAAATCCCCTTCCTCGACCGCCTCCTCCTCAAGAACCCCATCTACCTGAAGCTCTCCCAATGGGGCTTCATCGACGCCACCTTCCCCGTCGCCCGCTTCGCCCGCGACCGCATGGCCGAACGCCTCCCCGAGCTCGACGGCAAGGAACCCCTCCTCCCCGTGACCTCGGGCAAGAAGCTCGCCCAGCAGCCCGACCTGCTCTCCAAGTTCCTCGCCGCGCGTGAGGCCCGCCCCGACTTCATGTCCGACGTCCTCGTGCAGACCATGGCCGTGAGCATGGCCTTTGCCGGCTCCGAGACGACGGCCATCAGCCTGGCCGCCGTCTTCTACTACCTGCTGCGGACCCCGGCGGCGCTGGCGCGGCTGCGGGAGGAGCTGGACGACTTTGCGAGGGCCGGCGGCTTCAGCGACTCCGAGACGGGGCTGGTGACGTGGACCGAGAGCCAGAAGCTGGAGTACCTCGACGCCTGCATCAAGGAGGCCTTCCGCATGCACCCGGCCGCCGGGCTGCCGCTGGAGCGCATCGTGCCGGAGCAAGGCGCCGAGATTGCGGGGACGTTTGTCAAGGGCGGCACCATCGTCGGGTGCAGCGCGTGGATCATCCACCGCCGGCCGGAGATCTGGGGCGACGACGTCGACGTCTACCGGCCCGAGCGGTGGCTGCCGGAGGAGGGCAAGGACGCCGAGGCGGAGGAGAAGCGCATCAAGGAGATGAACGGCCACATGTTCCAGTTCGGCATGGGCAGCCGGACGTGCATCGGCAAGAACATTAGCCTGCTGGAGATTTACAAGGTGGTGCCGAGTCTGCTGCGGCGGTTCGACGTGAGTGTTTGCCGTGAAGTGTGTCGACGACCCCGGACGAGTATGCTGACGGCTTGCAGATTTCGTTCAAGGACCCGAGCCAGGAGTGGGAGCTGGTCAACGCGTGGTTCGTCAAGCAGAACAACTTCAACGCAAAGTTTGCGACGCGGGAGATTGTCAAGCCCGAGGCTGGCGAGAAGGCGGCGCTGTGAGGCGGGGCGGTGGTGTACGATTACTGCTGACGAGACTGACGACGTGGATGATACAAGCACATTAGACGTGACAAATCACAAAAAGCCTGTTCACATCATTGATACCAGCGTCCCGTTTAAAGTGTCATTTTACAAATGTGTTTGACATAATATTTTCGACACCAGGTTTCTATGAGTGACGGCAACGCGTTCGGCCCTCTTCAAGGTCTCTATACGATGTATTTCCAACAGGCCCATTATCTGTACCATCTGCAACAGGAAAAAATCCTCGGTGACAGGTTTCCATCTCTAATCATGAACTCAGTCCTTCCTCTCTACCAAAGTCCGTCTATACCAGTGATGCTCGACAGGCTCCTTTATCTGTATACTGCAACAGGACATCTTACTGCACAAGTATGCGCGTCGGAAACAGACCAGCTGGTCCAAAACCCGCACCCCCTCACTCCCACTCAAACTCGTTCTTCAACCCCTCCGCACGGCTCTTATCCTCCGGGTCCAGGAACCCGGCGATCCGTCCCGTGGGGTCCCACTTCCGCCTCACCTCCATCAGCCGCGCCCCCTGCTCCGCGCCCCAGAACTTGGTCCGCCGGTACCGGAAGTCCGCGTCGCCGAGGTAGCTGCCGACCGAGTGCCTCTCGACGCCGGCCATGACGTCGCTCACCCACCCCTGGCACCGCTCGTCGTCCGCGGCGTCCGGGTAGACCGTGTACAGCGCAAAGTAGTGGTCCGACTGCATGCTCAGCGCCATGTCGGGCATGCCCCCGCCGCCGCCGCCGCCAGCCTGCTGCTGCCGCTGCTGCCGCTGCTGCCGCCGCGAGCACGGGTTCATGGAAAAGTACAGCGCAAAGGACTGCGGCGTCGGCAGCTCCGTAAAGGCCTTCTTCAGCACCGCGGGGACGTCGGCGTCGTTGGCCACGTACGCGTTCTCCGAGATGTACCGGTGCGCCGGCGGGTTCGCGGCGTCCTGGTCGACGTACTGCAGCGGCAGCGAGGTCGGCGTCGCGACGACGGTGGCCAGCGGGTCGGGCGGGTGCGAGGCGTGCACGGGGGCCAGGAGCTCCGGGTCGGGCGACAAGGAGAGGAAGTTTGCCATGATTTGCGGCGCCGTCGCGCCCGGCGGCGTGAGGGCGAGCATGACGATTTCGAGTTCTGGGGCGGCCGTGGGGCAGACCTGGGTTTTGTGCGTCAGGAACAAGGTCCGCGATGTGGTGTTGGGGGGGCGGGATGATGAGGGGACTTGTCATACCTTGATCACCCAGTTCAGAATCTCCTCGAAGCGGTCGAGCGGGTAGAAGTAGAGCGACTGGAACATGCCCGTCAGCGGGCGGGTGCGGAGGTGGAAGCGGGTGACGATGGCGGGGAAGCCTGCGACGGATTAGCACATTGTCTCCGGGGGAGGGTCAGTTGAAGTCCGGCGCCACGTACCCGGCCCGGCGCCGCGCGCGGCCCAAAAAAGGTCGGCGTTCTCCATCTCGGAGCACCGGAGCTCCCGCGCATCGGCCGTGACGACGTCAATGGCGACAACGTTCTCGCACGCCCAGCCCCAGTTCTGTCTTCCGTCAGATCATATCCTTCTGCTCGAACTAGGGACGGGAACAGACGCACCTTGCAATTCCACCCCATCCCGCCCTGTAGCAGGAACCCGCCCAGCCCGACGTCGGGGCAGTGCCCGCCCGGAAACCACCTCCCGACGCCCTCGCTCTCGTTCCCGGGCCCGCCAATCTGCCCCGCAAGGAACCCGTTCACCTGCCGGCCCGTCCTCGAGGGCGCGACGCTGACGATCCCGGTCGCGGGGTCGTACGCGATGCCCTCGTCCCCGCCGACCGCCGCGCCGAAGCCGCCCAGGTCCAACAGGAGCGCCTCGTCGCGGACGGACCACGCGGCCCACGAGTGGCCGCCGGACCGCACGCTCACGCGCCAGCCGCGCTCGGCGGCGAGCCGGACGGCCTCGACGATGTGGGCCTTGCGCGTGGCCTGCACGACGGCCGCGGGCCGGCGGGCAAAGTCGCGCCGGGCGTTGAAGACGCGGCCCCAGACGGCGGCGGAGTACTCTGCGGAGGGCGTGTCGTTGGCGTAGAGGATCGGCAGGGGCGTTGAGTCCGACATTGTTCCTTTTTCCTCCGTGTCTTTGGTTGCTGGTTCCTAAATCCCAAAGGGCAGAGTGTGTGTGATGTTGCGCTAGCTTCCCGCGCTTGACAAGGGTTGCGATCTACAGAGTACAAGACAATCGTCCGGTATCCAGTTCCCGTAAGGATTGCAAGATCAGTAACCTCGTGACAGATGAGATGGAGGAAACCCAAAACAAAGAAACCTTCTGACAATAAGACTGAGCCGGAGATGCGAGCTCCAAGAGCTTGAGCCTGGGCCGCAGATGCCGGGGAAAAGATTCAGATGCACGGAAAAGTTCGGATCGACCAGGCGTCGGGCCACGTGTCGCTCTTGCAAGTTTGGGCCGGCTGTACGTCTAATTCTCAACGATGCGGCGCCTCTCAAGTCCTAGAAACTCATTCAGCATTTCCACTTCTCCAATGTTCAACACCTAATGCTACGGGAAAGGAGACTCCCGGGCCTACCTTGACCCCGCGCTCTACTTGCACCCTTCGGGTTCGCGCCTTGTCTTGAAATGGACGGCTGCCCCAGATCTATCAAATCAAGCTTAAGTCGGATAAGCTCCGACAGGCATGCGGCAAGAGGAGCAAAATCGAAACGACAATATCACCCCTCGGTAGCTGGCAATGTGGACTAGGAGCTGGGACGTCCAAAGAGTCGGTAGAACCCAGCGGTGCAGATGAGACGGAGGGAACGGAACCGAGCAATCAACTCAATCGGCTTCAGTGGATTTCCAACAAGCAGAGACTGTTGTGTCCGGTAAATATGAGTTGGATATAATAATAAAAAAGAACCATCCCATCAACAACCCACCTCGACGCCATTCTTTTCAAAGAAAGCTCGCCGTCCCTCCTTGCTCAGCTAATCCCTCCACACCTCTCCACCGCGCATCGCTTCCGTCCCCCCACCCTCCCGAGCCCCTCCCATATCGGCCGGCACTTCTCCGTCAGCACAACCGACTCATGCAATTTGACCACTGCAGCGTACAGGTGCTAAGATGTGGTTCCTTTTTCCCCGCCCTCCGATCAGGAACCGTTTTGTTTCACGGGATGCGGGCGGCGCACGCGCCTCACCCGCACCTGCACCCGATCAGCTTGACGAGGATCCCCGGGCTGTGACCGCCGATGAAGCCATCGTGGCGCGCCATTATCAAGAACCATACGATACCCTTTTTCTTACAAGCCGGCCGGAGATGCCCTGCCATCTGCCAATCAACCATGTCGACCGCGTCTATTGACCGTGCTCGTCGTCCGCAGTCGCCACGTCGTGGCTGACATGAAGCTCACTCACATAATCACGTCTTCTCACAGCGATGGAGACCCTCGAACAGCAAATATTGCAGCGAGAGGGAAAAAGGGGGTATCGTCCATTGCTACCTCGTGGCGTCACACATGCCGCACACGCATTTCCTCCGTAATTACATTGCGGCGCGCCCTGCCGAGACGACGCAGCACGCACACACACACACAGCACGGCGCTTGCTCCTCGTCTCCATCCATCTCCTGCAAAATCAATTTGGTACCAGTACGCAAAACAAGCACACTTTTTTTTGCCCCTTCTGCTTTCTCAACATGCCAGCGCCAGTAGGACATACTGTCTGACAATGAAAAACCCCCGTGCTGTGTATTAAATCAAGAAACCTACGCCCGGCCGTGCGGGCGAGGAGAAGTGGCCAAACGTGCCCTGCGTTGTTGTTGTTGATGATGCGAAAGTCGTCAGGCCCGTGGCGAGCCTGCTAGCCAACCCAGACATCTTGCTCTCTCAGTGCGTGCGATACCTTCACTTGTCGAGCCGCGGCGACTGCTGGAAGTCCGTGATGGACTCGAGCATGGCTAGGTTCTTCTCCTGCATGTCGCGGTCCATGTTGTGGATCTGGTTCGCGTTGACTCTAGCTCGTTGCAGCTGTGACTCCAGTTAGCTTCCTGTCACCTCGGCAGACAAAGGGAGCATCAAGCAGGGCGGTCGCACCACAGCCAGTGCCTCGGAGGAATGGTCTTCTTCCTCACCTTCCGCGGGCTTGTCCGCTGCGCCCTCCGCCTCGTCGTCGGCATCCGCGAATCTGCTGGCCGCGAGCCCCTTGGGCTTGCCGACCGCCGCGTTGGCCTGTGCCGTGTTAGTGATTGCCCGTCCGTCCGTGCCGTCCCGTGTTTTGCCTACCTTGGCCTCCGCGATCTCGGCGTCCTTCACCTTGAGCTGCGCCTGGAACTCCTCCACGCCCTTCTCCTTGTCGGCCAGCGTCTTCTTCAGGCCGTCAATCTGCTCCTCCAGGGCTTTCCGCTTGGCCTGCTCCTCCTCCACAATCTTGGTCATCGTGTCGTTGAGCTCCTCGTAGTCGGCCTTGTAGGTCTTGAGCTGCTTGTCGGCCTCGAGCTTCGACGCCTCGAGCTCCTTTTGGGCGAGCAACAGGTCCTCCTTGACGTCCTCGACCTCCTGCTTGGCAGCGGTGAGGCTCTTCTGGACGACGTTGAGCTCCTCCTCGAGCCCCTTCTTGACGTTGTTGAGCTGCTCGCGGAGGTTGTCCGCTTCCGCAGTGTCGGGCGTCTTGTTCTTGACGGCATCGAGAGCCGCCTCGGCCTCGGCGCGAGCAAACTTCTCCGTCGAGATCATCGCACCGAGCTCACCGCACTCCTCCTCGAGCTTGGCCTTCTCGGCCTCGACCTTGGCAACCGAGTCCCTGGCAGCCTTCAGGGCAGCCTGGAGCTCGGCCGCACCGGCCTCGCTCTTGGATTTCTCGGCCTCGGCCTTGGTGACGGACTGTTTGGCAGCCTGGAGCGCGGCCTCGAGTTCCGAGTAGTCGGCAGAGATCTTGGCAACCTCCTTGGCGAGCGACTCGCTTCGGGCCTCGTACTGGCTCGTCAGCTCCTCGACGACCTTGGAGTGGGCCTTGTTGATCTCGTCAAGCTCGGCCCGGGCGCCAGAGGAGCTCTGCTGCTTCAGCGCCTCGAGCTGCTCGGCGTGCATGGAGATGAGCTTCTCGACCTCGGCGGAGTGGGTGTCGTCGAGGTCCCTCTTGGCCTCGGCGAGAGCAGCGGCGCTCGACGTCTCCGTCTCACGGATGCGCGTCAGCGCCTCCTCGAGCTGGATCTTGATGGTCGCGAGCTCTTCCGAGTGGGCGCTTTCGCCGGCCTGCTTGACAGAGGCCAACTCGGCCTGGTGCGACTCGAGCAGCTTCGCCTTGGCCTCCTCGAACTCGGCCTTGTGCGATGCAGCAAGCTCCTTCTTCGCCTCTTCGAGCTCGGCCTGGTGGGATGCCACGAGCTTCTCCTTGGCCTCGGCGAGCTCGGCCTCGTGCTCGGCGCGCAGCTTCTCGGTGATGGAAGCGAGTTCCTCCTGGTGGGCAGCAAGCAGCTTCTCCTTGTCGCCGGAGCTCTCGGCCAGAGCCTTCTCCTTTGCGCTCGCAATCTCCGCGAGCAGCTTCTCCTTCTCGCCAGAGGTCTCGGTCTGGAGAGCCTCGACTACCTCGGCGTGGGAGGCCTTGAGCGCCTCAATCTCCTTGGCCAGGCTGGCCTCGCTGTCGCTCTTGAGAATCTCGAGCTGCTTGGCGTGGCTGTCCTTCAGGCTCTGGAGCTCGGCGAGCTGGGCGTCCTTGTCAGCGGAAGCACCGCTCTTGGCTCCCTCGAGCTCCTCGGCGTGGCTGGCACGGATGGCGTCGAGAGCCTTCTGATGCTCAGCCTCCTTGGCCTCGAGAGCAGCAACAGCGGCAGCGAGCTCGGCCTTGGCGGCCTCAAGGGCCTTGGTGTTGCTCTCAGAGGTGTCGGCGTGGCTCTTGGTGAGGTCGCCGTGCTGGGCCTCGAGCTCACCGTGCTTGGTGGTCAGCTCGGTGTGCTTCGACTCGAGGTCGCCGTGCTTGGTGGTCAGCTCGGTATGCTTCGACTCGAGGTCGCCAAGCTTGGTGGTGAGTTCGCCGTGCTGCGACTCCAGCTCGCCGTGCTTCGTCTTGAGCTCGCCGTGCTCCGTCTCGAGCTCGGTGTGCTTGGCCTCGAGGTCCTGGAACTTGCGCTTGAAGAAGGCGTCTCCCTTGAGCGACTCAATCTCCTCCTCGTAGTCCTGGGACACCTGCTTGAGCTCGGCATCGTGCTTCTTGACCTGGGCCGAGTGCTCGGCCTTGGCCTTCTCGAGGGCCTCGTCCTTGGCGGCGATCTCCTCCTTGATGCTGTCGATCTGCTTCTGGAACTCGAGCGCCTCCTCCCTGGCCTTGGCGACGTCGGCCTCGGCGGCCGCGAGCTTGCTCTCGAGGTCGGCGACGCTGGATTGCACCTCGGCCAACTCGGCGGTCTTGGCGTCGAGGTCGGCCTTGGCCTGCTCGGCGGCCTTCTCAGCAGCCTCGAGCTTGCTCTTGAGCTCGGCGATCTCGCCCTCGACGGCGGCGAGCTTGGTGTTGTGGGCCTCGACCTCGGCGTTGACCTTGCTCTCGTGCGCGACCTCGAGCTCGTTCTGCGAGGCCGTGAGGTCGTCAATCTTCTTCTGAAGCTCGGCGATGGCGTCCTCGTGGCTGGCCTTCATCTTGGCCAGGGCCTCCTCCTGGTCGGTCGTGGCGGACAAGCCCTGGCTCAGCTCGTCGGCGTGCTTGGCCTCGAGCGCCTCAATGGCCGACTTGTGCTGCTCGGTCAGGGAGTTCTGCAGCTCCTCGAGCTTGCTGGCGTGCTCCTCCATGGCCTTGTGCAGGGCGGCCTCGCTCTCCTTGAGCCTCTCCTCGTGCTCGGCCTGGAGGGTCTCGAGAGACTGCTTCAGCTCCGCGAGCTCGGCCTCTGCGGCCTCCTTGGCGGCGACGGCGTCCTTGTACTCGCTCTGCTGTTTCTCGTAGTCAGCATCGGTGGCCATCAGATGTTCATTGGCCTCATCCACCTGGTTCGCGAGCTCGGTCTGCTTAGCTTTCAACTCGGTCACCTGGTCCTGGTGGGTCTTTTGGATATTGAGGACGGCGTTCCTCACCTGGACGGCATCCCTGTTCACCCCATCAGAGTACTGCGTCAACTTGTCCTGGGACTGCTGGACCTGCGACTTGAGCTCGGTGAGTTGCGCCTCCTTGTCGGCCAGCTCCGTCTCCTTTTCGGTGAGCTGCGCCTTGAGCTGTTCGACCTCCTTGCCGAGGGCCTCGGATGCGCCCGAGGAATCGGGGCGGATGGAAGTGCGGGCTCTCGGGGCGGCGGCGGAGGTGGGGGTAATGGTGGAGCTCGAGGCGGTCGAGAGACGCTTCTTGGCCTCGGCTACGGGGCCGGTGGCGGCCGACGAGCGCGAGCTGATGGAGGAGGGCCGGGGCGCGACCGAGTTCGGGGTGCGCGACATGGTCGACGAGGGCCTGCCGGCGGTCGAGCTGGCGGCGGAGCTGGCGGGTTTCCGCGCGGCAGCGGTGGCGGCGCCGAGGGTCGAGGTCCTCTTCTCCCTGCTGGGCGAGCCGACGGCGCTGGCGCCACTGCTGGGGCGGTGGAGGTGCGGCGGGCGGTCCTCTTGGACTCGTCCTCGGAGGCAGACACGCTGGGTCGCGAGCGGTGGGTGGCGGTGGACGAGACGCTCGCGGGCTTGCGGACGGTGGTGGTCGAGGTGCTGGAGCCGCCGCCAGGGGGACGGGTGGGAGGCTTGGTCAGGCCGCCGGCGACGCGGGAGGTGGTCGAGGAGGTGGTGCTCGCGGGTTTGCCGGTGCTCGTCGTCGAAGAAGTGGTGGGACGGCGGGCGGACGAGGTGGCGGCGGCGGCGGCGGAGCTCGAGCTGGGCTTCTTCAGGGAGGAAGCGGTCGAGACGGTGGACTTTGTGCTGGGGGAGCGCGGGGCGGCCTTGGGAGCCTCATCGTGCTGAACGACCTCGAAGCTGCCGGTGTCGGACATGTTTGCAGGAGCTCGTGGGTCGGCGGGAGGGAGAGGTTCTGGCGTTGGATGGTTCTGCTGGCGCATGTCAAGGTCAGCCGGGAGCAGTTCATGGGGAGGAATTGCGGATAGCTGCAGGAAATGGGAGACACAGAAAGGGTAGGGGGGGGGGGGGCGGACGATCTAGCAGGAGTCACAGCATTCCTCGGGGGATGTTAGGTCGAGCAGAGCTGCATTGAGAGCTCCAAGACGACAATTGGGTGGGACGAGGGGCATTGAATTGGTGTTGGCCTTGTTCTTGTGGTAACTCACCTCGTGACACGTCGTACGTGGCCCGGTCTTGGTCTCCTTTCTTTCTTTTCTCGAGATTCCTCCTTTGCGAGAGCTTGGAGCTTCACGGCGGGGAAATCAACAAACAAAACAACAGAGAATAGAAAAAGGAAGAGACCCCGACTAGAGTACAGATGACGCACGAAACCGACACGTGAAATGTCGTCGTATCTACAAGATGGGAGCTCTGATCAGTGGCGAAGAGCAGCTGAACGGAGAAGGAATGATTGGGAATGGGGGAGTAGAGAGAGAGAGAGAGAGCGAGAGGAAAGGATGTCGGTGTCGGGATAGCCTACGGGAGGGAAGACACACGGGACGACGGCTAGAGGTGAGGTGTCTAATTAGGTAAGGTGGCCGCCAGCTGGGCGAGGATATAAAAAAAATGTTGCTTCTAGATTGGCGTGGATGGAGACATGGGGACATGGAGACACTTTTTTTTTTTGCTGCTGCTGCTGCTGCTGCTGCTGCTGCGACCCTGTCCCTCCCCCGGGTGGATGTCCAGGCTCGACCGACGTCTCTGCTCCAGGACCCTTCCTTTTCCATTCTTTGGCATCATGGGGGAGGTGACTGACGGGAAGCATTGGATGGCACAGGCACAGGCACAGCAACACATAGGCACAGACAGGCGCATGCACTTGGACGCGTCTGCACTAATCGGCAGGCAGGTGGGAGAAAGTTGAGCTGGCATATTAGGCGGCCCTTGCAGGCTTGCAGCACTGACACCCGACGACGAGGACAGTAGTATAGGTTGGTGTACATATACATACCGCGCACTCTGTGTACATGTGGTAGATATTATGTAGTCACAGGCCAGTCGACATTGGCCAACAGCCAGCAACACGCACACTCCGTTCTCTGTACTCTGTACATACAGAGGCACAGAACCAGGGGGTTGCAGACACTACCGGTATCTTAGGTAGGTAGGCAGTCACTGGCCATCGAGACGTGTCACCTCCAACGAGCTGGCCCCTCCGAAACGGTTTACTTCCTTTTGCTGCTCCCCGAATCCAACGACCAAGAAGCAAGGGAAAACATGTTCTTTCCCCCCCTCCCAGACAGCCAGCGGCGACAAGCTATGCACCTGGCAGCTGTACAGGCACCGCAGGTGAGCTGGCCAGCCCGTGGACAGTGCCGGGCAGAAGGGCAGCACAGCAGCACGGCAGGGGGCGGCTCTCGCTTCAGGAGCTCGGGCGGTGGGCCACCCGTCCGCGACCTGTCATTTGCTAGCATCTGCCACCTGTCCAATCAGACCCTGCGCTGGCCCCCCAATATCCACGGTACGTACCTCGAGGTATCTGTTGTTTCGGTACCTCCACGTTCCAAACGTCCCTCTCACTTCTGTCTCTCTTTCTCTCTCCCTCTCTCTCATCGGAGCAGCCCTTTTCCTCTCTCCTTAACTCTCGGCCCTGCGAAGCGCCTGTTCCATCACCTTTATGCATCCACGCGACCGGCCGTTTCGATTCGCCCAGAGTCCCCGTCACAGAGAGAGCGTCGCGGGATCGGCGCAGGTATGGCATTGACGGCTCACCATCCATACCCAACTCTGATTCAACTGTGGCAAGCTTAGCCAGTAGGTATCTCCGTGGCCGAGAGAGAGAGAGAGAGAGACCAGCCGGAGACAAGCTTACACTTTCACGAGGGGGGAAAAAGCCACCCCGAAGCCATCACTATCGGAGCCCCTGTATTAGACCAGACGACTGACTAGCAAACTCCCCAATCCCACGCGCGGACCCCTCCCTCCAAGAGCGCGTCTCCATTGCCTCATTCGTGCTGTGCCATGTCGATATACTGGTAGTAGCAGTACTTGCCAGCTTATGATTGACCATCGCCAATCATCCTCTCTGCCCAGTTCGGTCCACAAGGGGGGGAAGCTACGAGTCGGAAAGGGGCACGAGCGACCACGCGGTTTGCCTGCCAAATTGATACGGAAATTTGACCTCAGGTAGCTCGGAAGCATCGTGCCCCCCCTTGCACCTTTTTTGTTTTATTTTATTTGATCTTATTTCATTTCATGTCCCTTCGTCTGAATTTCCTTTCCCCATCTCTTCCAGGACTGTGGCATCGGATGGACGCCCCCAAACGGGCCTCAACCCAAAAAGGATATCTTGAACCCCTCTACTACGTAACCAAGTGTCTGCCATCGTACGCTGCAAATACTGAGAGCCATCAGCTTCGTCTTCGACCTGTGTTGCCATGAATACTTTCGCTAACGGTCCATCCTTTGCCAACGTTCTTCAACTGCAAGAACCCTGCCGGCGTCCAGCGCGCCCTCTGTAATCCTTCCTCCGGTTTCTCTCCATCGCATTCTCTCACCTGCTCCTCCTACCCATCGTCGAATGTCACCGTGAACATGTCTCGCATGCAACAGAAACCCACCGCAGATGCTGCGTGTCACTGGCGAATCCTACATGAACGCCTCCACCGCCGCCGCCGCCCCAAGTGACGCCCAATCGTCCGTGATGCGCTGTCACCTCGTTCGCACATGTCACCGCAATCCCACCCCCGCCCATGCTTATGTGGCACCTTGCCGTTGGCCCAGCCCGGATTGCGGCCGACAAGAATACTGACAACGCCGCCAGGGCTTGCCTTTGCCCCAGCGTGCCCGACCGGATTCTTCAGTTGTGGACCAAGCGGCTTGAACGATTATCGTGCCCGAATAGACCGTTTAATGCGTGGAACATGCAGATGAACACTTGTTGAAATCGAATCACCACGTGCGATATGCTCATGTCCACAATCATACGCAGTCAGGCCGCAATGTTTATACGCAAGCAAAATCCGTTCCATTATTTTACTTCCAGCTATTATTACAAAACGTAGACAGAGCCATCCATAGTCATTCTAGTAGTCGTCGTCAGAGTCCGTGTCCTCGTCAGGTACGAGGGCACGGTATCTGCGGCTGGCGAGGTCCTCCTCGATGCCGCCCTCGCTCTCCGGGTCCACGTATCCCTCTCCACCGAACAAGCTCAGTGCAACGGGGAGGAAGATGAGTGCGTGCGTGCCGGCGAAGATGACAAGCGCCAGCCACACTCGGAAGTAGTAAATCTCAAAGATCTTGGACCTCGTGAACGCGAGCACAAAGACGCCCAGAAGCTTGGTGACGGTGATGCCCGAGAAGACGGAGCTTCCCACGTTGACCAGAGCGGTCCAGGCGCGGGCGTCACGGCCGCGGAAGCGGTTCTTGGCGCGCTCCATGACGGTGCGCGAAGGGAACATAAAGGCCCTCGCAATGTGGGCGCAGAACTCCACGCCGATGCCAACGCAGATGATGAGGTTGACGAGCGAGACCGCGTTGAGCGAAACCCCAAACACGGCCATCGCGCCAATAATGTCGACAACAGTCATGCAGACCGTGACGGTCACGACCAACGCAGTCATGAGAGACCCCAACAGGACCGACGCAATGACAAAGATGATGGCCACGGCCGAGCCAAGAAGGGCCCCCGTCAGCGACACGATGCTGGCGTATTGGTCGAAGAAGATGTAGAAGAGACTGTAGGGGAACACGTCGACGCCCGTCGTGCGGGTAATATCGGACGCGATTCTTCGGGCAGCGGACATGGCGTCGATGAAGTCCTCCTGGCTGCGCAACGGCGTGTGCATCGTCCTGAAATGGCTGGCGGGAATGGTGTCCGCCTCCGAGTCGATCACCACGGCCTGGCCATACGATGCTTGGCCGCCCAGCGGGCAGTCGTCGTTCGTTGGTGCCTTCAGGAACTTCTCGAGGTAGTGGATGAACTCGCCGTCCTGGGGCATGCCCGACAGGGTGATGTTCCAGGGCGGGTTGCGGTCGGCAAAGCATGCCTTGCCGTTCTCCACGCAGCAGGAATCGCCGAGGTCGGGGTTGAGCCACAGGAAGTAGTCATCAATCCAGCTGGCTGCTGGCGAGGAGATGTACGAGACCTCGGGTCGCTTTCTCTCTCCCTCTAGAATGTTTGCCAGCGAGAACTGATCGCAAGTGGTGAATCTGGCGCAGATCTCGCGTTGGTTCTTGCGCGCGGTGGCGTTCAGGCCTCTGGTGACAAAGTAAACAGGCGGCCCAGTTTCCATGTACTTGTAGAGATCATTGAAGTAGGGGATGAGGTAGGATCCGTCGGGAATGGCAACACGCTGGTCCAGGCCGAGCTGGACTTCGGGGATGAGGGCGATCCCGGCGGCAAAGAGGCCGAGGAAAACGGCGACGATGATAACCTTGGCCTGCTTTGCGAGAATGGCGGGGGCGTACGTCCGACGGATGAATTGCTGCAACCAACTCTCCTCCGGCACTTCGTAGAATCGGGCATTCGCGTTTCCGTTGCCGCCGCTGAGGTGGACACGAGCGGCCTTGACCTGGAGGCAGGGAATGCAGTCCGCGCGATGGTCCTCAACGCGGATCTGGTTCATGGCCAGGACGGACACAAACAACGTGATCTGGAGTATGGCGTTGATGAAGACGGCGCCGGCGGCGTAGGCAGCAAAGTTGCGCACCGCAGGCATGCCGACAAAGGTTCCAAGAGCAAAGGCAACAGTCTCGGTGAGGGCCGAGAGGAGAATAGACGGCCCCATGCGGCCCAGTGCCTTGGCGATCCGTTCCTCGACCATTTCATCGGGGTGGCTAACGTTGACCCGCTCGAACTCGTGAACGATCAGGAAGATGTTGTCAACACCAACGGCAAGGACGATGAAGGGGATAACTTCGGCGATGATGAGCGTGGCCTTGAGTCCAAACCAAGAGAAAAGACCGATGGAGGCGCTAATGGACATGAGGACAATCAGGATGCCGACAACGCCAAGGGAGAACTTGGACTGAACCAGAGCAACAGCTGGGTTCCTGATCATATCCCGGAATGACAGCGTAGTAGATCCGAGAGCCAGGGATGCGTAGAGAAACATGATGATGTAGCTAATGACCACAATCTTGGCATCGGTGTTGGTGGACTTGTTCAGCTCCTGCTCCAAGCTGATCTCGGTGGAGAAGGACAGGCGAAGACCACGGTCCTGGGCCTCCTGTTGAGCCTCCAGAAGACGGTCACGTAGGGCAATTTCCCAGTCTATGGCACGCTCAACCTCAGGGCTGCCTTCGGCTGCATTTTGAACGACCCAAGTGACTGTGATGGCAGTGGCGTTGGCGGGATCATCCTTATAACCACCAAGGATCATGTTGGGCTCGATGGGCAGGCCGAACTCGGGGCGGCACTCAACAGGCGACTTTGCGCACTGTCGGAGCTGATCTTTCCAGTCGTTCTTGCCAACGAGCGAGGGCTCGTTGTCAAAGTAGGCCCGATGGACTGAACGACACAAGCGGTGCCAGTAGGCTTCAAGCAAATGTCGTCGAGGGTGGCGCCAAACTTGGCGCCCTTAAGCTGCTTGACACTCTTCTCGACACTCATCCACCAAAGCAGCGTGTCGTAGCTAAGGACCGGAGCGGGTTCCTTGGAGTGCTGGTCGTTGACCAAGAACATCTTTTCGGCACGGTAGAAGGGACCGAACTGTTCATCAAAAAATGCCTTTTCCTGCGCAGCAGGAGAGGTAGGGCTGACCCAGAGGCGTGCAGGGTCCCGTTCGAGGTCGAACCTGACCCATCCAGCGCTAAGAATGATGACGATGATGAGGGTAACGCCAATGGTGATTCCCTGGTAGCGTGCCGCTGCGTGGCCGAGCTTGCTGAAAGCCGCGTCACACCAGGTATTAATCTTGTAGTATCGTTGAGGCCGGTCAAACATGGCGCCGTTCTGAACCAGGTCGCCCTCATCCTCGTCGTCACTGGGAGACGCATCTTGCAGCAGCCTGAGACGCTCGCTTTCTCTTCTGGCACGGCGTCTCCAGACAATGTGTCCGACAACTCCGGCAACAGCAGCGAACAGCAGAATGCTATACGTAAAGATGGCCGCAAAGGACAGGCAAGGCAGAAGACCGACATGGCAGTCGCCAGGCTTGGAGACAGCAGGGAGCTCTGGGCAAACAGAAGGGCAGTCGACGCACGCGCAGCGGTAGTTGGGGTCCTCGTCGTTGCACTTCTTCGCCTTCAGGTCGCGGGGTGACATGCCGGGCTCGTTGTACTCGGTGGGGAAGTTGATTTGGAAAGGAGAGCCAATGACCTTCTCGTCGCCCAAGAACTTGAGCAGCTGGGAGTAGTTCTTCGCGCCACCTCCGATGAAGTCAATGGCCCTCGAGTTGGAGGGGCCAAACTTGACTTCCTTGCAGCTGTCGAAGAAGCCGGTGCCGTATTCCTTTGAGATGAGCTGGTCCAGCTCCGTCACCATGGTCTTCTTGTTCTTCTCCTGGGTCTTTGTGATGTTTAAGAAAAGAGATTGATCGGGGGAGCACGTGAAGGTGCAGAACAGGTTGAAGAAGTTCTCCTTGCAAGCCGGGCAAGAGGAGATGATCTGGTTCGGTGTGCCGAGTTCGGAGGCGAGAGACTTGACCTGTTTGAAAAGATACGCGTTAGTACGCTACATTGAGGTGGTCTTCGGGATGACAAATTACCTGGTCGGCATCGCAGCAAACGGGACCAGAGTTCCATTTCGCTCCGCAAAGGTCGACGATTTGCTGTCGCAGTTTCTCATCGGGCTCCTCGGCCAGACCGTTGTCGGGGCAAGGCAGTTGCTTGCCAAAGAAGCTCTTGGAGCCGCAGTGGCCGCGCATAGCACATCGTCCGGCTTCATGCTTCGGTGTGAATGGCTCTGCTGTGGCGCTGCTGCTTAGGCCTGCCAGCAGCAGGCTGCCAGCTCCGAGAAGCTTCCACAGCGTCATCGTGGATGTCGTCTTTGCCGCTCAGCGGCTATGTTCGGGCTATAGTCGGTGCTCCGTTGAAACGTCAAGGTATCCGAAGATGGGTGACGAGTAAACAAATGGGAGGAGATAACGTCGCAGAATAGCCGAGAATGGACGACGACAACGACAGCGACGATGAGAGAGATGTGGATGAAGGATGGAGGAGGGACGATGGAACGGTCGGATGTTGGAGGTGCGACACGCGATACCTCAGCAAGCTTCCAGGGAGCTCCGGTATGACTTGCGACTGTTCCGCCCGCGTGCCTGCGTCATCCATGTGCAACAATGTGTGTCAGTGGGTGGCTGCCCGCCCGCCTGGCGGTGGTTCCAGCGTCCAGCCTGCAGAAGTGGAGACGCTCGCTCTGGCTAAAGGGCCCAGCTGCCGAGCGTTCCATTGGCGGGCTCAGTCCCAACCACTCCGCTGTCAATGCCCCCAGATATCAATGGCGTCACGAATATGGTCACGTGGCTGTCCGTTTTTGGTACCTGCCCAATGTGGAACAAGCTCGGATTCTCCTCCGGGGACCACACCGGACCACTTCCGGACTCCGGACACCACGCTTCCCCAGCCAACTCAATCCCGATCCAAGGCTCGGGCCGACGGCTTTGGTGTCAACCATAACATGGGTTGAACGATGTACTGGTATGCAGTCCGTTTACCGCTGAGTAGAGAACACAACAGACACGGATGTAGTATCCTGTAGATTATGAGCTGTCCAACCCCAGTCCCAAGATCAACGGATCAGCTAAAAAACATAGCACATAAACCTTTCTGACTGCTTTTGAACCACACGCTTCGTCTAATACGTCGAGATATTCCTCTCCGATATTCGAGAGAAACAAGGCAATAACATATATGGAAGAACTGCAGTAAATATGTCTTTAGATTAGCATTACAGAGTAAACACAACATTACAGCGACTATCTATGCTCATTTCAAAGAAAGAATAGCCGGAAATAGTTTACAACATTAAGTATGTACAGGTGTATGAATTGATTTGCCACTATCTTTTGGATATGGCATTAGGCATCTGAAAACTACAACGTCACGATGCTTCAAAAGTCCCTGTGTTTCTGTTGGAGTTTTTGGAAGAACATGGAGAGCTTCGATCGTAATGAGTTTTGGGACTCTGACCAGGGCAACGGCATAGATAGGTAAGGTGATTGAGCTTGTGAATAAATTCAGCCCCTGCTGGAAAGCGCGAAGGTACGATACCTAGATAGCTTCGTATTAGCAATACCAAAAAGCCATGTGGGGATAGCAGGGTCCAGGTAAGTCTAGCAGAGGGTAACAGAAATATGCAGAGACAAGACAAAGTGAAGCAGAAAAGCTTGTAGAGGGCTCAGCAGTGTCTATAGTGTTTTGTGCAAACTTCTCTTCAAGGCACATCTGGAAACCTGTGTCTCTACACACAATGAAGAAAATGACCGTGAGGTACTCTTGAAGCAGGGAATCATCGCAAGACTCAACGTCTAAGCAAGACAGCCAGACTGCGGCTGCAGGCAAGGCATTACAGTGCGGATGGTGAATATTTCCTAGTAGTTAAATTGAGTAGGGAATTCTATGCAGCTGCTCAAGAAAATGTCACATCTTCCTCAAAGCGCCTCCATCAAGCATTCTCACCCCCCTTCCTACCCTCCTCCCACCCAAAAATCTTCGGCCCGAAATTGTACCACCCATACATCTCAACGCTCCCAACCACGCAGAACCCCGTGATCAGCCAGAACCGCGCCCGCGGGCTCGACGTGATGTGTCGGAGGTTAAAGACGGGGATCTCGATCGGGCTCTCGCCGGACTTGTTGTTGCTGACGTTGTTCTTCCCCGGCGTGGGACCGGCGGCGGCGGCCCCGGGCCGGGTTGTGGAGAAAGCGACGCGCTGTTGCGGGGCCGCGAAGCTTTTGGCCGCGATGCGCGTTGTTGCGGCGGACATGGCCTTTGTTGTTTGTGCAGCCTTTTGGTCTGATGGATGAAAAGCAAATGTGCAGCCTGAGGTTGCAGACTTGGTTGCAGGGTGATCAGAGATAACATGATGCTTTCGACAAGTGTTGCACTCTTCGCGGCTCCTCGCGCCCTCTGGCGGACTTATATCCTTGATCCGTTTGCTATTTACGACCCGAGCGTCTTGTTTTTACGAAGCATGCGCCACACTCATCTTCGAACGACATGGTCAAGCGTAATGGTGGCTTTCCGAGCCGACTGCACCCGGAAATGTGGAGACAGGTCCGTCAGCTCGGAGGAACTTCAGTAGGGTCTCAGGTACCTCAAGCTGCCTGTTTAGGTCAAGGTGAGATGGGGTAAATCGGACAGCGCAGATGCCAAGCAAGTCACAAGTACAGCACTTTGTCATGTATTCTTACACTCCTATGCTAATCGTCCAGCCAACGCCTATCCCATCATATCGACGGTAAACGCCCCAAAATCCAAGCAAGATGCAATCTCATCAAGCAATCATGACCTGTTAATCGTGAGCGGCTTGAAGGGTTTCCTCAGCCGGTCTATCGGCGCAATGCCCCCTTCCTTCTTCAATGCCGCAGGTCGTTTGAACCCTCCAAAACCGTTCGTCGTCGTGGTCGCATGCAAACAGCTAGCCGGCCGTTCTCGGATCGGCGGCGGCTGGTCCGTGTTTTGGTTCTCCTTTTCAGGTGACGTTGGCCGAGGAGGTGAACTCGAGAAGTTTGCATAATGTTTCTTCGGCCCCACGGTGCCTTCAACCACTGGCCTCGCCGGCTTGGCGGGCAGCTTGCTTACTCCGAGCCTGTGCCCGCTAAGGCTCGGCTCGATGGCTGAGGCAGGCTGTTGCGCCCGGTGCGGGTTCGGAAGTTCGGGCAGCCCTTGGAAAACCGGCCGTGACTGAGAAGTAAACGAACGGTTTACCGCTGAGCCGGCTGCGTCTGACATGTCGGACCTGGATCTCTTGACGAAGCCCAGAAGACTCTGCTGATCCGCCGGTCGCTTCGTCGTTCCCCTTCGAGGCCCAGTCGATTTTTGAGGACCCGAGTCGCTACGCTGGGCCGATGTTGCCATATCCTTCGCAGCGGCAAGCATTGCCTGAGCTGCGCTTGCGGTTGTGAAGCCAGGCAGCGTGAAGCTGGAAGCACCATCCATCGTCGTAGAAGTATGCCATGTCGACGCTGGCTGGGAATCACTGTCTTCTGATACCGGCATTGCCTGCGGCCGCGGACGCCGTTGCCATTGCCTATTTCTGCCACCAGCATCGGCTTCGCCGAAAGAGTCCTCTGGATCCTCAGGGTACAAGTTGTCCTCAGGCCGTTCCAGGAGCGGCATGTCTTTGAAGACTTTGTCTTGCGACGGCACCTCAGACTCTCGTCGCAGTATGCGTCCGATTTCTTGCAAGATCCCAGGCTCGAAAGATGGGCCGCGTTTTCTAAAGTACGGGTGAATCTCTGATGGAATAAACTTCGACAACTCCGTACGCTCGCCCCCATTTCCTCCGTTCTGAGAACTGTACATTGGGCAGCTGAGGTAGAGAAGCGACTGGGCCCGCGTCATGGCCACGTAAAGAAGCCGGCGCTCTTCGTCGAGATCCTCGGACCTCATGTGCGGGATAGATCCATTATACACGGCAGGGACGAAGACGACCGGCCATTCCAGGCCCTTGGCTGCGTGGATGGTCGAGATGGTCACCATCGGCTTGTTATCCGCATCGCCTTTTTGCTGGGCATCCGACGCCAAAGAGACATTGGCCAAGAACCGGCCAAGGGCGTCGTTCTCTTGCACCTGTTGGACTCCATCGATCTCCGGGAGACGATCTTCATCCGCTGTTGCGCTCAGGTCCCGCATGAAGTCTCCAGCCAGACTGATAAACTCCTGGACATTGGCCCATCGTGCCTCGTGCTCCTCCGGATAGTTCTCTTGGAGATACTTCTGGAAGTTGAGTTGCGAGAGCAGATTTTCGATGAGATCAACTAAGTGATAATACGGGCTCCCGGTAGGGGGCTCTTGGATTTTCCTCCTGACTCCCGATACCAACCGGAGCAGCTCTCCGCTGATCTTCTGCTCCATGGCCTTTTTGATGTTTGTCTTTGCTTGTCGTTCCCCTCGGCAATGCTTGTTCAGCAATACCCAGACGCTCAACTTGGAGCTTTCAGCTTCCTCAAGAAGGGACTTGATGGTCGTGTCTCCGATGCCGCGGCGAGGCACGTTGATGATGCGAGCCACTGCATCGTTGTTGTCTGGTTGGTGAATGACACGCAGATAGTCGAGGATCACCTTGACCTCTGCGCGTTCGTAGAACTTGAACCCACCAACCATTCGATACGCCATTCCAGCCTTGCCAAGGGCCGATTCGACGTGTCTGGAGAGGGATGCTGATCGCAGGAGGATTGCCACATCATCATGGGTAAGCATCTTACCCGCCATCAACAGCGTCCTCTTGATCTCCGACACGACCCATTCAGCCTCGACGGCGGAAGACTTGAGGCGGCGCAAGACTGGCCGGGTGCCTTTATTGTGTATAGGAAGCAGCAACTTCTGGTACCGTTTCTTGTCTTGCTGGATAACCTTCAACGATACGTCTAGGATCGCTTGCGACGAGCGGTAATTTTCCTCGAGGGAAATCTCGTCAGTGTCCGGGTAGTCTTTGAGAAGACGATAGAGGTTTTTGATCTCGGCGGATCGCCAGCCGTAGATGCTCTGATCAGGGTCTCCGACGATGGTAATCCTCTCCTTTGCCTGCGCGAACAGCCTCATGAGCTCATACTGAATGCCGTTGGTGTCTTGGTACTCGTCGATAAGCACGGCCTGGACGTTGGCAACACATGACGGATGCTTCCGCAACAGCTCCGCACACCGAGTCAACAGGTCGTCATAGTCCAGCAGGTTTGACCGCTCGAGGTGGCTCTGATACTCTCGAAAGCAAGTTTCGAGATCGCGGCTTTGTGGAACCTCCTTGCCGTTCCGCTTTTGCGGCGTCTGGTTGTCGCCTTTTGCCTTTTTCTTGCTGATCCATGATCTTGCAACCGGAGGATCCACCGAGAGCTGGAATCGCTTGCATATCCTCTGGATAATGGACCTGGAATCTGCATCGTCCGCAATGGCGAATTTTTCGTCTAGTCCGATGCGTTTCCCATAAGCTGCAAGATAGCGGCGGGCGATGCTGTGAAATGTGCCGAGGACAATCTTCTTCCCACGGTCATCTCCAAGGGCCTTAGCAATGCGTTCCTTCATCTCCCGTGCGGCCTTGACCGTGAAGGTGGCGACAATAATGTCGGTGGGGGCATAGCCAACATTGTCCACAAGCCAGACGACGCGGGAAGCCAGAGTATGCGTCTTGCCACTCCCTGGACCGGCCAGAATGGCTACTGTAGAAGACTTTGATGTGACGGCTCGGCATTGTGCTGTGTTCAGGGTTGCCAGGATAGATTCGGCTGGGCCAGGAGCCGAGCTAGACGAGTTCATCGTCGAAGAGCGATCATTGGCGAGAAAGAACACATCAGACGCAAGATCTGGTATTCAGGCAACAAGTGAGCAAACGATGCTGAGCCCCAAGACCCTTTGTCGTCAGTTGAGTCGCGTGCTACGGGCTGGTCGACGCGTCCGGGTGATGCACAGTGGAGGCGCCAGCAGCCATGTCAACAGCGCGACTCCCGGCACGGTGTCACATGATTCATCAATCGACACAGCACGTGAATGATTACGTGAGTGACCGAGATTTCTCCATCTGAAGTAGTGCACCTTCCGGTACTTTCAATGGAACGCACATGCGGCAACTTAGGTAAGGTCGGTGTCCTCCGACAGGTCCCCACCCCTAAACGGCACCTGCAGGAGGGCGACCCGGAACGCTGCAAATACCGAAGGCGGTGCAAACACTCAAACGCTCTGGCATCTCGACACCAAAAGCTTTCGTCAATGGCTTTCTTTTGCGGCGGCTCGCACAAAGCGACCCATTGAGACGATCTAAGGCTTACCAGACCATCGGGGCGACCCGGCAGTGCAGTTAGGATTTGTTGTGTTGGCCCAGTCCTTTACCTCGTGCGCGCGCGCTCAGGCTACTGTCTCGACCCAAGCAAACTTTTCCACAATGGTGGCTGGTTTGCGCCCGGCGTTGTATCTCGTCGGATTCGGTAGCAGTTGCCGACGGTTTACTGTGTAACCATCTGTTGTGCACCGCGGGGATACCTCAGTGACCACAGCCTCTGCTCGCCCTGCGCCGAGACCATCATCTGTGGCGCTGATTCGACGAGCTGAAGATTTGTTTCCTCGATCAATGGTCCCATCCCGCTGTTTCCACACGACTCCGACCAATGAAAGGGTGGATGAGATGTCCGATTGGGGATAGAGAACATTGTAAGCACCGCTTGGATAAAGTCTGTTCTCGTTTGCTTTGATGCATTGCGATGAGTGAGTTCTTCGCCCACCCGCCGAAAGCGAACCGTTGCCCCCGAATCCCAAGGTTTCCCCTCTCTGCCAGGGAAAAATTAGTTGAACGGGGCAAAGTGTATCTCGACGTTCCATCGGTCGATTGGGAAAGGAAGGCCTGGATCCTATCACGGTGATGAAGCTACTGATCATCACGCTTTAATGCTGCTCCCAATGCGAAGTCACACCTAGGCAGAGATCCCATTCGAGGACGGCCTGTGATGTGATGGCGCAGACGAGTGCTCCGTAGTGGCTTTGTGCAATAAGCCGCGCCCTATTGCAGAAGAGCACACGCGGTCAGAGACGTAGCCGTGGACCCGACGCAGGGATGGCCCTCCCGCTGACCGGCACCTTGGCATGGTTGCTCTTCTTCCCTTTCGGCGCAACGGTTAGAAGACAGGACGAGAAGTGAGGACCACGAACGACAGGCTGGACACCTGACCGGGGAACCGCTCGTCTTTCACCACTTTTCCAGACTGGACTACGGTGCTTCCGCCCTCAGTGGACGGCCCATTCTGGGCCCTGGCCGGCATGGCGTCGCCCTGCACCGACGAATTGAGTTGTCCAAATCAGTTCGTGTGGTACAGCGCGGGGTTGGATCAAGTTGGATGTGATGGAGCAGCCCGCCCAATCAAGACCCCGGGAGTCGTCCTCGGCGCTTAAATCCCCCTGCCATCACGTCGATCCGTCCAACCACATCTTGGGAAGCCCTTGATGCTCCCGCCTCCCCCTCTGCAGACGACAATAATAGCCACGGGCCATTTTGGGCGCTATCTCGCTCGTCGCCATCGACCATCATGCAAGTGCGACCGCTTCGCAGGAGTCGTGCCTGGGGGCTCCAGCAAGTCAGAGTCCAGAGCACACGGCCAGCGCCAATCTCGACGCACTGCCGAACCTCACCAGCCGCTATATACCCTTTGTGCGCCGCAGAACCGTGCCTTTCCATGTAACTTCTCCATCACAATGTGTTTCGGACCCTCCTCCAGGAGGTAAGATCATCAAAGCTGGATTTGACTTTTTAAAAAGAGTTGCGGTGTCCTCACCACCTCACCATGAAACCTGTCCAAGCCCTTCTTAACTCTCGACCTCGACCTCGACTTCACTTCTTGACCTTCGCTCTCTTCTTCATCATCTTCGCCTGCAGCCCTACCACCACGCAGGCAGACCCATCTGTCCACGAGACTCGCAACAACAACCCACTGAACATTAATAGGGATCCCGCACCGTCGCCCGAGGACGGACCTCCAGCATCTGCCGGTGCCCTGAGAGATCCCTCATATCTTCCCTACCAGGTCGGCGCCATCGTCGGCTCGTACGGAGTATCCTTGGTGCTGGTCGCCGTTTTGTTGCTTATCCTGTCCAAGAGACGTCGTGAGGCCCTGTCTGCCGGCGACGAAGAGGTTGACTTCGAGGAGCCAAAATCGCCCCCGTTTTCGCTGCCGCCGAAGCTCACGCTAGAGGTGCCCAGTTCCCCAAGGAGCATCCCGCGGAGCCCCGTTCGCAATCGCAACTTTTCGTATCCCGCCGCGGACGAGTATCAGACACCGGAGTACCCAACTCCCCAGACGCCTTACGTCGCCCCAACACCCACCTCAACACTTCACGCGCCCGGAGTAGATTTCACGGTAGACCAGCGAGTGGTTGCAAACGATAGGAAAATGGCACAGACGCAGCTCGAGGAGATGTACAAGTACGTGATGGAGCAGGAGGAGGCCAAGGCACAGGGCATCAAGCTGGAGGGATCGCCGGTGCTTTCCAACAACCCGCCGCAGTTGCCAGCACCACCAAGCGCCGGCTTCAGCAAGTCGACGCTCAGGAAGGAGAAGCACAAGCCGGGAAACCTGAACCTCGGGGAAGAAAAGTCCGAGAAGAAGCAGTCGAGGGCATCGTCCATCTTCGCGGCCCTGCGCTCGCCTAAGAAGAACAAGGAGGTCAGGGGCATCAGCATCTCGTCGCCCATCATGACCCCCATGACGGGAACCTTCCCACGCCAGGAGTCCCAGGAGCTGAGCGCCATCCCGCCGCGGCAGTACGCGCCGCCGCCGCCGCCGCCGGTGCCTTCCAGCCACATGCAGTACGGGAGCGTGCAGCAGCAGAACGGGCAAGTGTCTCCCGTCAGCCCGGAGCACTCGCCCGAGAGCACGCAGAGCATCGACGAGCGGATCGGCGGGCAGATCCCCATCGGCCACATCCGTAACCCGTCCGCGGCACTGTCCGAGATGGACCCCAACTCGGCCGTGTCGGAGAGGTCGACCGCCCCGCTCATTGGGCTACCGCAGTCCCCGAAGCCGGGTGCCCGGTTCTCCACCACCCTCCCGGCATCCCCGAAGCCGGGCTCATCGTTCCAGATCCCCGCGGCACCTGGTGCCGGCGGTGGGTTCCGGTCCAAGGCCCCTCGGCGGTCCGCACCGGCGGCGCCCTACCGCTGCGCGCGTACGAGCCCGCGCTAAGCTCGCCGTCCCTAGCGCAGCAGACCACCAAGCAGACCGTCTTCACGCGCACGGGTCCGCTGTCCCCCTCTGGAGCACGGACACCGGCGACGGGGATGGCGGTGCCGTACTCGCCTTACCAGCCCTTCACGCCGTGCGTGCCCATGACGCCGTCACTGGTGACCAAGGCCGACCGCAAGAGGATGAAGAAGCTGGAGCCCAAGACACCGACGTTGGAGATGGTCAGGAGCGAGGACGACATCTGGTAAATTGCAGGGGTAAGGCCGGTTGGGGGGAGGGCTGGTGGGGGTGGCTAGAAAAGGGAAATACCATATAGACTGTGGGATCAAGCGGGCGAAGCAGGCCTAGCGGGCGACCGTATGGAATAATGTCGTGAACGAATTTTCCTTTTTTTCTTCTTCTTCTCTTCTCCGAGTCCAGAACCAGGACGCCGTTTCTTGGCGTTGTCTCTGTTGATGTTTCTTTGTTGCTTCAACCGCATATACGCCAGTTGCCATATAAAGCAAGTAAGGAGGACGATGAGAAGTGAGAGCGAGTCAGATTCATTGGGCCAGAGCTGGTGACATGTGAGCCACGGATGCACAAGGACTAGGAGGCCGGAGGGAAAGGGAATCTGCCAGTCTGTGTTCTGGAGCCACGATCTAGCATCTAGGTTATTTAATTAGGGTTTCTCCGTTATTCGCACTTGGCCCCCCCTCTCCTTGTAACCCCAGGGTTTCCCGTGCCATGCGTGTTGCCCAATGTCCAAGGATCAATAGGCGTTTCAGATGGACCGGACGAGAAGGGGTCAGGCATGTGCCTCGCCGCGTCTCCTGGTGTGTCAAGTCGGAGCATGTGCTGATCTGCGGTGCGGTGTGGTGCGGAGCCACGAGGTTAACGATTAAGAGAGAGGGACGTGTGAAGGCAAGGGGACCGACACAGGCGACTGACCGGCCTGCCTCGAAGGGTCTGGAAAGAGAAGTCGAGGCAGAGCGGGCGGGCGAGCCGGGGTTGGGAATGTTAGAGGCCAGGACGATCGGGGAGATATGCGGGGCTTCAGGTTCACACGTTTTTTTGCTTGGCCCGCGGTCAGCGTGGCGGGTTTGATGTCGCATCCATTGCCCCATTGTGAGACACTTGCTGAGGCGTTCGATAATGGGGGAGAAGGGGGGGGTCAAGCAACGTGGGAAGCAGACGGAACTTGAGGGAATGAGCGGCGGCGCCAAGTGAGGGCTTGAGGCCGACGGGCAACGAGCGAGACACAAGAGGCCGAGACGATGGAGATTTCACAGGCAGGCCCATTAACAAGACGGACAATAGAGAGGCAGTGCACAAGCCATGGCTGTTTTCAGCGGGCGTTGGCGGGCACTGTTCTTTCGAAAGGCTTCTTTTGCGACGGAATCCAGTCCGATGCTGCGGCAAGTGCCAGGGGGGGGGGGGGAACACCATATTTGATGGTTTGGGACATGTTGGAGAATCAACCCGGGAACGTGGGAAGCCTGGGCAGAGCAAAACACAACGGAGAAAAAACAACAACCACCACCCCAACGCCCGCCACGGTCTAGTGGTGTCTTGTCTCCATTGACCAGCCTGGGAAAACCAGACGAGCTGAGAGCGGAGCTGAGGGTAGGTGAACCCAAGCCAAAAATGAGTGAGAGCGAGCGAACGAGATTGAGAGATAGAGAAAGTGAGGATTACGAATGAGTGGTCAGTGAGAGCCGCCAGAGTGAGTGAGTGAGGGCCCCAACACGCACACAACTTAGCGGCCGTGCCTGGAGGCGGTTTAAAGAGCGTTCTAGCTTGAACCACTGTACCACTCCAGCGCCACCCACGGGTTCGCAATCTTCTCGCTCACTGCTGTTTGTCTGGTGGGCCGCGCCCCTCCTCCATTCCATCCGAAGCTACCTACCAAGGTGAAGTCATGGGTAGACTTTTGCAGTGCTTCTTGGCTTCAAGTGGCGTCTCTGCCGTGTGGAGAATGGACGGCAATACATGCCTACGTACCTACATAGTACATAGTACATAGTAAGGTGTCAAGGTACCAAGGTACCATAGTATGAGGATGGAAAAGGGCAGGGCAGAGCAGGGCAGCAGCAAAGGCCGGCCGGCGCGGGTGTTCCTGGTCCCCCGGGCATTTCTCAGCGGGCATGGACGCTGATCCCATCATGCGTCCTCCACCATCTGCCTCCTCTATATACTGGACCACCACCGCCAGCCAACCTCGTGTGCAGGCACCGCTGGGAAAGAGACATTGTTGCCGGTGCCGGTGTCAGTGTCAGAGACATGCGTCGATGGATGATGCATGGATGGATGGAAGAGGCACCGTAGAACGCAGAGAGAGAGAGAGACAGACAGACAGACACACTACTGTAGGTACGGGCGCCTGTTCTGCTGGTCGAAGGGGGGCGGACAGACGGGAAGCGAGGTATCATCTCATATAAAATAATGTACCGAGTGCGGTACGTACCTGCCTGACACTTTGGCCCCACATGGCTGCCGAATGACTGGACTGGATTGCGCTGGGACTGGACGCGACGCTTGGGGACAACCGACGGCAGCCAAAGAGCGGCAGGCGGGCAGGCGGGCAGGCAAGGAAGGACGAGGTCGAGAAGGTAGGTACGTACGGGACATGGTGGGAAGGGAAGCGAGGGGGGCACGAGGCAAGGACGGGCAGGGACGCAGGTGGTCTGGGCTCCTGCCGGTTTCTGGGCTCATATCAGGCGTAGATTCCAGATAATCGTACGATCGGCCCCCGTTTCCTTCCCTCTCTGCTCCCAATTCTTTACCTTCCTCTCCCACTCGACCCCCCCGATTCTGCGATTCCTCAATCCGCATCTCCTCCCCCCCCTGCACCACAACTGTACTCGTCTCGCGCTGCTGCTGCTGCTCTCTCATCGCGACCCCAACCAATCCTGCCCCGATTGCTGCCATTCGCCCCGTGTTCGTGTAAGAGAAAAGAGACGGAGAAACATAGAGTGCGTGCCGATACACCACTCTTACTTGCCCACCACCGCCCAAGCGTCAACAATCGAATCTCTTGCATACAGCATACAGCACACTACGGCACTACGGATCCCTCCCTTTCAGGCTTTCCACACCCCCGCTCCACGCACATCGACCCTACCCTCTTGCCCAACCCCAGCACGACTGCAACCGTGTGTGAAGAACAATTGCCAGGGAACGAGAGAGAGAGAAAAGAGGAAGAAAAAAAAAAAAAGGCCAGCGTCATACGACTCGACCCTCCCCCTTGGTTCTCCGTCTGGGTCTTTCCGCCTTACTGTCCCGGCTGACACCACCACTCCTCGCATCCATCCCATCGCATTCTCTGCTGACAGTCGTACGACTACGAACTCTCCCCGCTGCGACCACGCCGCTGTTGACCGTCATCAATCCCTCGCTGTACGCCGTCCCTTCCGCCAGTATTAGGATCTTGCCGATTGCAGACTTCCGTACGCTCCAATCTCTCTGGTCCCTGGGGCCTTCCTCGACCGACCCCGTTGCGACCGCCGGCCACTCACATCTCGTCCCGAGCCAGCATCGGGACCTGGCCCCCATTCGCAACCCCAGATCCCCTCAAGGGCCTGTGCCGACTTCGATGAATTGAGCATCAGACCATAGTTGCATATAGACTGCTCTGCATCATGGCGGACCAGGATTCCAACGCCTTATTTGGCCTCGACGACTCGACCCTCGGCGTTGCCCCGTCCTTCCTCAACGACTCGGAAGGCCAGAACGTCAACAAGTCCGATTCCAACGGACCCTCCAACATCGCCGGCGACAACCCGTCCTACTACGACGCGACCAATTGGTCCTTTCAGGACACACCCCCGTACGATTCCTACAACATCGCGGCCACCACCGCCGCTTGCGCCACTCCTCTCTTCCAGACGGCCGCGCCCTGGGAACTCTCTCCGAACCAGCACCAGCAACACCAGCACGGCGTCCCCAACGTTTCCTCCGCCCTTGATCACTCGACTCTCGCCCAGGCTGGCTTCTATGCCGCTCCCACTCCCGCTCCCGCCCCCAACCACCACTCCCACCGAGCCGGCCAACACTCCCTCCCGCAAGAGACGCTGAGCCTCTTGACTCCCGCCCAGCAGGAGAAGCTTAGAAACATCGCCATGCCCGCCCATCTCCAGTACCAATCCCCCAAGAGCGAGCCGAGCCCCGGATCTGCCACGAGCGACCACAAGGCAGCAGGACTGTCGTCCCCCGATGCTCAGGATCTCTCGAGCAAGGCCAGCAGGAAGCGCAAATCATCGGCCGAGGTCGACGATGAGGACGACGAAGATGACGAGAACCACCCCGTCAAGAAGACGGCCCACAACATGATTGAGAAGAGGTACCGCACCAACCTCAACGACAAGATTGCCGCGCTCCGCGACAGCGTGCCCAGTCTGAGGATCATGTCCAAGAGCGCCCGCGGCGAGGACACGACCGAGGATCGCGAGGAATTGCACGGCTTGACGCCGGCTCATAAGCTGAACAAGGCTACGGTAAGCTGAGATGGACGGACAGACCGAGGCCAAGATACTGACCTTCACAGGTTTTGAGCAAAGCGACCGAGTACATCCGCCACCTCGAGAAGAGAAACAACCGACTCCTCGACGAGAACAGCGCTATGCAAGCCAGAATCAGCGCGTTCGAGAAGCTCTTCGTCGCTGGCGCGATGAACGGCGCGATGAGCCCGCTCCAGCAGCCGCCAACCCCGATGCAGTACCCGCAAGACCATTACATCAACACACCCATCGGCACGCCACGCGGCGAGTCCGCTCAGGGCATGATTCCTGTGCCTGAAGACATGAAGCGCATCATCTCTGCCCAGATGGCGGTCGGCCAGCCGTACCCCGTCCCGCAGCAGGGATACCGCGGAAACCCCACTCTCATGCGCCAACAACAGATCCAGCAGCAACAGCAGCAGATGCAGCAGCAAGGACGCTGGGGCGCCGGTCCTTACTTTGGCAAGCTGATGGTTGGCTCGCTAGCTGGCCTGATGATTATCGAGGCTGTCCGCGAGAACGAGCAGAGCAACGAGTCGCCCGAGGGCCGCGGCCTCTTTGCCATGCCCATCCAGCTGCTCAGCTACCTTGGGTCGACTTCACACATGCACGTCGGCGGCTATTACATCTCGCCTGCTCAGGTCATTTCGCATCTGAAATTCTTGCTCTTCCTTGGCACCTTCTTGTGGGTCTTCGTGCCCTCGCTGTTTGTCTCGTCTGAGAAGAAGCCCAAGAAGGCCCATCACCTCCGGGAGTCACTTCAGGCTGCAGGCTCGGTCGCCTCACCGATTCATGTGCGTCGTCAGGCCTGGTTGACGGCCATTCAGACTGTCTGGGTCCCGCAACACAACTTCTTCCTCGAGGCTGCGGCCTTGATCTTGAAGACGATGAAGCTGAGCATTCGCAACGCTATTGGCGTCCACGGCTACCAGATGCTCACCGGCCTGACCGAGGAGCAGGAGGCTGCCCGCGTCAAGGCGTGGTCCATTGCTCTGGACGCTCAACTGGCGGGAGGCGACGTTGAGATTAACAAGAGCCGCCTTACGCTTACACTTTTGGCGTCCGGCACCCTTCCCGATACCCCCTCCCGGTTGATGCTCAAGGCCCTGCACGTTCGCGTGCTTCTCTGGGACCTCGGCTCCAAGGGTTTGCACAACATTGTTGCCAAGAAACTCGCTAGCTCCCTGTGGAACGAGGCCAGAAACCTTAACCGTGTGCTTGCTCAGCTTCGCCGCAACTCGGAACAAGTCGACGACGATCTTCCCGACCACCTTGCTGCTCTGATCGAGTTGGAATGCGATGAAGTCCTCAACAACAGTGTTATTCAGCGAGCGTACAACCTGGCATGGAACCTGGCGACGACCGATGGCGTCACCGATCACAACGATGGCATGGACTCGGTCGTTGACGACCAGGCGGTACGTTCGCCTCTCGATGCCGTTGCGGCTTGGTGGTCAAGCCAGACCATCCAGCGCGCCTTGGTCACCAGTCTCGAGGCTGGCAAGGACGATGGCGATGCCCCGAGAGTGGTGTCGACCTGCTTGGAGTCGGCGCTCAAGACCGCCCCCATCGGATCTGGTGTACAAGCACGTGCTCTGGTGGCCCGCGCTGTCCTCGTTGACGAGAAGCGGGGTGCCAACATTGCCGCTGCGCTCCAGGATATCCAGCCCACCAGCGAGCAAAACTCTCTGAGCCAGATTGCCGCCATCATTGACTCGTCCACAACCGCTCAAGCTCCCGATGTCCAGATGGCGCTCAAGTGTGCCATGGCCATTGCTCACCTACAACGTGCCAAGTTGAACGCCGCTCCACCGCAAGAGGGTCTTCTTCTTATCGAGAAGGTTGCCCGCCCCAGAACCACTGCCAACATGTCGCTCCTCGGCTGCACCGCCCTCTTCAAACTCATGGAAGAGCTGTTCGCCAACCGATCGTCAACCGAGTGCTTCAGCACCTCCCTCGAGCGTCTCGCCGGCAGCCTCCGCATTTGGATCGGCAGCGCGCCCGGTGAAAAGTGTGGTCTTGAGCAGGACGTCCGTCACAAGATGGTGGACCGCTGCATCGGCATCACCAAGAGCGTCGTCGGCATGGAGGCGGACACCGGCTACGGTAGCATGAGCGAGTGCGAGGAGGAGGGCTGCTGACGAGTGTGTATGTTTCCTTTGTTTTGAGGTGGCATCTCCCCTTACCACATACTAGATGCATTTGTTTCTTCTTTGTGAACTTTCTACGGATAGGGCACCTGAATTTTTGGCGTCGCGCACCTGGGGGGATGTGAGTCTTTGCACTAGGCGTTTTTGCAGGGAAAGCAACGAGACAACGGCTGGAAAAGGTTGGGGCCAGCGGATTTTGCTCCAGCAGAGACAGGACATTGTTTCTGGTGGTTGACCTTTAATCTCCATTGGGACTGTCATGGGATGGGATGGGGGGTCTAGGATTACACACATCGGCTCGAAAAAGTTGCGATGGAATTACTCTATAATACGCCGACCATGGGGTTGAGCACTATGTAGAATCAATATTGACGATGTGTTGATTGCTTAGCAGTCCTATCTATCACATGCAGGTTCATTTGTTTTTGGCGGTCAGTGACGGTGCATGGGGGGAGATAGCCAGGAGATATGTCCTGATGGAGTAGGTTACCTCGTGAAGGTTGCAATGGACGGGATGCACCTCGTCAAGGAGCACGGGGGACACACGACTTTCCTATCTCGATCGATAGGGTTGTCACCAATAACTTGGGTTGTTGGGATGAGGAATCCGGGGTTATGGATAAGAGAATAGGGCAGGCTGCCGATGACGTTTGTCATTTTCCATGCCGACGTTGATGTTGGGAAATGCTATGGCGACTTGAAGACGGCATGGCGAGACTTTGTACGGCCCGGGAGCCCGTATCGAGGCCCCACACGGTCTTCGGTGTCAAAGGCCCAAAAGGAAGACAAGCAACAGCCGGTCTCCACCCTTCTCCACCTTTCAGAGCTGCATAATTCCCACCCGCCCAAAGATAAACATCAACGGGTCACTGGCACTTTGTCGGATCCGGGCCCCAACGTCGGCCCTATGCCTCTTCTGCGACGGCACATGATGCGTCCAAAAGGGGAATTTAGACAGGGTCCTCTGCCAAGTTATTGGGAGAGGTTGCAGCAATGGCCTGCTGGGACGGGATTCGAGTGCCGCCCGATATCTATGTGAGTCGTTATCTACCGGCGCGAAGGGAGTATGGGATCTTGATTGCTGATTCTTGATTCTGCAGTATCGGCCGGGCTGCCGAATGAGGCTCGGACATGATAAGTCGGATTCGTGTTAGGACAATTTCCGTCCTTCTGAGTTTTTTCGACAGATAACACTCACTCTGGCACACCTTGGGCATGGCATGGGACCGATGCATCGAGGGCGAAAGAGAGTGCGGAAGAAATGACTAGGGGAGGGAGCGATGTCTCGCACGCGGATGCATAGCATGATGGCTCAGGTCGCCCCGAGATGGGAGCTTCTCTCAGCATGTCCCAGTCTGCGAATACCAGGACAGAACAGTTTATGCTTCTCCTTTTCGACATCGAATCGGAAACCATCCTGCCGAAAGGGAGGGGGGCCATTTGAGCGTCTCTCCCCCCCCTTCTCCGAGACCAGGACCGGCCAGTGCCAATGATGGCAGCAAATCCTTCCCAAATCACCACTCCCCGCATCCTGATGGCCACCCACCACCATGTCGAACCCAATCAGACACCGATATCACCGGGCGCCATGTGACGCAAGCTTGCAGCTGGCAAAGATATGACCGGCAAATGGGCGATGCTGTCCTCCCCTCCAGAGTGAACGGTCACTTTTCTTGTCGAGAACGATTGTCGACGGCTCGCGCTCTGCCCTGCTTTGCTTTTCGATAGTGACATGTACGGACACCCTCGCCTCGGCCGTCCACCTGCCATCCAATCTATGTCGCGCGCCACACTAGGAGAGCACGGGCAAATCATCGTGTCTGAATCGTCGGCATGCTTTCCACTTCCCGCAGGACCGGCATTGTGATGGTCAGGTACCCGTTATGTTCATGTAGACAAGGGAGCTCGGTCAGCTCCCAATAGCTCCAAGAGCTCCTATAGGGAGAAGAGAGGGGGGGCGCGATGCCCACGAGCTCCTGGAGATGGGGGAGGGGACCATAAAGAGCGGGCGGTTCGTCGAGTCTTGCTGGCTGTCGAGCTCTCAGTAGTCAAGCTCAACCGACGCTGAACCCTTCACGATGCCTCGCCACTCTCGCTCTGGGCTAGAGATGCCCCGGCGCTCCTTCTTCACCGTGTTTGCCCTCGTTTCGTTCGTGCTCCTCGTCACCATCGGCCTCACCACGCTCGGAGCCCACCAGGGTCCGAAGTTGCGGTTCGAACGCAGCGAAGACGGGCAATGGCACGTCAAGGCTAAGACGCGCGCCGCACCGAGCGGCGACAAGTACCTCATCGGCGTTGGCAAGGGCGACATCACCGGCCCTGTTGTCGAGGTCGGGTTCGCTGGCTACGCGGACCTGAGCCAGGTGGGCACGGGGCTGCGGCAGCGCATCTATAGTCGCGCGTTCATTGTTGGAGACGTGAGCAAGCCGAGCGATCGGTTCGTGTACCTTGTGCTAGATACCCAGAGCGGTGACACGGCGGTCCGAAACGGGATTCTTGAGGGCGTGCAGGCGCTGGGGTCGGAGTACTCGGTGTACAACAAGGACAACATTGCCGTGACGGGCACGCATAGCCATGCCGGGCCGGGGGCGTGGTTCAACTACCTCCTGCCGCAGGTCACCAGCCTGGGCTTCGACAAGCAAAGCTACCAGGCCGTCGTCGACGGCGCGGTGCTCTCCATTAAGAAGGCGCACGAGTCCCTGACCGAGGTAGGTCGACCGCTCACACAGTCTCGGACCGGACTAACACGCACAGGGCTACCTCGACGTCGGAACCGGCGAGGTCGCTGACGGCTCCATCAACCGCAGTCTCTGGGCCTACCTCGCCAACCCCGAGTCCGAGAGGGCCAAGTACGCCTCCACCACCGAGACGACCCTCACGCTCCTCCGCTTCCAGCGCGCCTCGGACGGCAAGAACATTGGCGTGCTGACGTGGTACCCGACGCACGGCACCTCGATCCTGCAGAACAGCACGCACGTGGCCGGCGACAACAAGGGCGTCGCGGCGTACCTCTTGGAGAAGGACCTCGCGGCCGATGCGAGCGCCGCGCCGGGATTCGTGGCCGGGTTCAGCCAGGCCAACGTCGGCGACACGACGCCCAACGTGCTCGGCGCGTGGTGCGACGACGGGAGTGGCCAGCAGTGCAGTCTCGAGAACAGCACGTGTGCGGACGGCAAAAGCCAGTCGTGCCATGGCCGGGGACCGGCTTTCGACAAGTTGGATCTGGGCATCTCGAGCTGTTACGAGATTGGGAAGCGGCAGTATGCCGGTGCCAAGTCGGCCTATGTAAGTTGCCCGTGACCGCAGTGTGTGGAAAGTGCAAGCCTAACTCGACAGACCTCTCTCGCGTCCTCCTCGACCCCGGTCGTTGGCACCAGCGTGAAATCCTTCCACTTCTTCCACGACATGTCCTTTTTCAACTTCACCCTCGCGGACGGCACCACGGGCCAGACGTGCCCCGCCGCGCTGGGCTACTCCTTCGCCGCGGGCACGTCGGACGGCCCCGGCGCGTTCGACTTCACGCAGGCCGACTCGGGAACCCCGGACGCCAACCCGCTGTGGAAGGTTGTGTCGGGCCTGCTACGCACGCCCACGGCAGGGCAGGTCGCGTGCCAACAGCCGAAGCCGGTGTTGCTGGACGTCGGCGAGATGAGCACGCCCTACGCGTGGAGCCCCAACATTGTGGACATTCAGATGCTCCGCGTCGGGCAGCTGGTGATCATTGTCGTGCCGGGCGAGGCGACGACGATGAGCGGGCGGCGGTGGAAGGACGCCGTCAAGGAGGCCGCCAAGACTATTGTCGACGATGAGCCCGTGGTTGTGCTCGGCGGTCCTGCCAACACGTATGCTGTAAGTGGTCCCTGATAAATCTCCTGGGTGAGACCCGACTGACGACGACGGTGGTAGCACTACATTGCCACGCCGGAGGAATACGCCATCCAGCGCTACGAGGGCGCGTCGACGCTCTTTGGCCCGCACACGCTGCCCGCCTACATCAACCTCACCGTCTCCAACATGGCCTACCTCGCGCCATCATCGACGACGACCCCGCCTGCGGGCCCGTCGCCCCCGGACAACCGCGGCAACTCGCTCTCCTTCATCACAGGCGTCGTCCAGGACGGCACGCCCAGCGGCCGCTCTTTCGGCCAGGTCGTGACGCAGCCCGCGGCGTCGTACGCGCGCGGCGCCGTCGTCAACGCGACGTTCCAGGCCGCCAACCCGCGCAACAACCTCCGGCTCGAGGGCACCTACGCCGCCGTCGAGCAGCTGCAGGGCGGGCAGTGGGTCCGGATCCGCAGCGACGCCGACTGGTTCCTGGTCTACACGTGGACGCGGACCGACTGGCTGCTGGGCCACAGCGAGGTCGTCATCAGCTGGGAGACGGCCGGCGACGGGGCCGCGGCGGGGACGTACCGCATCAAGTACTATGGCGACTCGAAGCCGTTGATTGGGAGCATCAAGGCGTTTGAGGGGACGAGCGGGAATTTCACATTGGTTTAAGGGGGAGAGGTCTATGATGAAGGATGATTGATGGCGGCGGTAATTCTGATGACGGGTTTGTTGGTCATGGGTTAATGATATGGATTCTGAGGGTTTTGTCGATGACTTGGTTCCCGTGCCTTGTTAATGAAAAGCGGTTGTTCGCTGCTGCTTTGATTTTTTCGCCTTCGTGTTGGAGGTTCTGCGCATCGGGTCATGAAATGTTTATGCCCTCTCCGGTACAAGTTGATACTGACGTATACGCGCGGGGCCACGTATTGCTGCTTCCCAATGCGCCAACCGCATGTTCTACTTCAGGCCCAAGGACTAATCCGCCTCCGGCTATACCTTCGACAGAGCCTGCCACTAGATTCGGCTGTAATTTAGGCCTATTTTTCTATCAGCGGTGTAAAATGTCCATCCAGGCGCTAGATATTAATGACCAGCTGAAGCAAACACGTAGATGGTACAGCAGCTGAAAAATCACGAGAAGTAACCGCTTCTACTGTCGCTCTTTTAACTTTCATTGTTCTCGTCACCTCCCTCTTTGCTAGACCTTAGGATGATGGAAGGACGAAACAAACGAAGAGAGGAAGAGCAAAAGTAGGGCATAATGGGCTTGCTCTTGTCGGCCTTACTCGGACAATTCAGCGTCAGGCTGACCTGGACAGCTCAGTCAGTTAGACCAGGATGCTGGCGTACGGCCAAGTCAGCCAAAACTGGCCCCAGATCGGCAAGGTGAGGCGTTTCTCGTATCTGTTGGACAAGGACGCCACAGATATGCAGGTCGGCACACTTCAGTCAAGGCGGCCATCATATCTGGCTCGCTATTGGGGCCACTTTTCTTGGGGCCAGTTTCTGTAGGCTTCCCAGATGTTTAAAAGCCATGCTCATCGTGCGTGAGCGCCTTCTCGTTCTTTCTCCTCGTGTGTCCGCGTCGGCCATGGGCATTGGCGCCGCCCTCATCCGATCTGAACAGAAATGATATCGGGTCGCTAAACTAGAACTAGCACCAAGTACGTCTCGCTGTATAGCGTCTTTGTCTGTTGACGGCTAAGTCCTACGCAACGTCCGCTACTAGCGGGGCGAACGCGACCCCGCGCCTCTCTAATTCACCCTTCTTGTCTTCAAATTTGGGAACCGGAGATTGATACTTCTTGGGATTTGTTTCTTTGCCAAACAGGTTTCAGCTGCGATCAGTCTTACGATTTCCCATGTGGTTGCTGTGATATATTCGCTCCTCCACCAATAGGTTGGCTACCACGAGCGGTACCACCAAACGCAAACGCGGACCAAGCAACTGGGGGACCATTGTTCCACAGTACGGGTTGCACGTTGCCCAGCGAGAACTGCATCTCTCAACGACTGTTATACGATCTTATAGATCTCTCAATTCTGAGGAACGGGGAAGACACCAGCCTCGAAACGTTTGCTTGGAACCAAAATTCTCAACCATCCTGCCTCGGAACTGAGACTCAAACCAAACCCACTCCCTTCTTCGGGGCATCAATAACCACCACTTCGGAGATTCAACCAAACTCCCACACGCAGACCTCTCGACTCTCACCACCTTCACCTCTCCACCTCGCCAGTGATACAGGAACCTGCAGTGTCTCAGGCTCTCGTGGTTTCACACCTCTCGCACTGTCTTCTCTAGAACAACAACCGATCAACCCTGACACGCGATTGTCAACGAGTCTTAAACCTCTTGATGCCAATCAACTGGTTTCTGGTGTAGACGTTGTAGAGAAAAGTTCATCCGAGGGTATACCAGCCAGATCATTCTCAACATGTTCTCCATCTTTACCTGCTTCGACCTGGGCAACCACGAATCTAGCCTTGGATGTCATTAAAAAGGGGAGAGATGGGAGCAGCAAGAAGATTGCTTGTGAACGAGGCTGTCGTCGGGAATTTCACAGTCGGAAAGACCTTCAACGGCATTACAAGTCTCGAGCGCACGCACAAAATCACACGAAGTCGTACAGATGCCGATGTGGCTACTCTACATCTCGGAAAGATCATTACCGTCGACATCTGCGCCAGATTTCAGAGACGCGGTCTTGTGAATACCTGAACCCCTACTTTCAGTGCATCTGCCAACTTTCAGAACATCAAGCGGACGCTAAAACCCATCTGAGGCATATAAACGACTGCAAGGAGGGAAGAGGAATTTCTGGAAGGCCGAAGAATGCTTAGTATGTCGTAGTTGAAAGGTCTATAACTTTCGACTAGATAGTAGCTGACTGTGGATAATGAACATGTCCTTCTTTCAACCTCAACTTTTATGCCAGTTTAGTACTATATGTATTTCAACATGTCTTGGACTGATTCGTGTAGGCACGAGAGAAAGGATAATTATGACTTGCTCGGTGGTTGTGATTGTAGTCCACATTTAACATCAAGAAGTCTTTGGAACTGAGCTTAGTTTCTACAATTATTTAGCCCAAGTGAAACCCAGCCAATGATTAAGTTTTGGTAGCTAACACATCATTTATCGAGGCGGAGATCTCAGTAAGGAAATAGTACTGGACATCGGGGCTCATAATGCTTCAGTTGAGCTGAGAACTATTTATGGATACATTTTACAAGCGTAGAAACGGTCGCTTTCACTTTGTTACAGCGAAACATATTCTTCTCCTTGAAGATGAAACCTGTGATACCGAAATGGTCAGCCGGGGACACCATTCCAAGAGAGTAAAGCTGACTGTTGTTAGGGCTCGATTCTATTATCATCTCTCAGAATGAAAACAGAAATCGGGGCTTACACAAATCCCACGGTTACTTGTAGTTGGGGCCACTTTGAAAGTCATAATGTCTCTGAACATGCTGCTACCAGAGTCAGGACTTCTTAGGGCCCATCAGGCTGTAAGGAGAACAAGTGACGTTTCAGTCTCGGCCCATGATGTAACCCTTGAGCAACTACATATGGACGGCGATTCTCCCAGGAAATTAGTCCACGTCTTGGAAGGGTTTCTTATCTCTCTTGCAATCACTGTTGTGGAGTCACGCAAATTTGCGCTCCTACGTAAATCATGAATCAAGCCCCCGGCCGACTCTGACTATCGCTCAAACCTTATACTATCGATCGACACGGCCCATCCGAACATGTGGTCCTTGAAACCGAACCCATACCTACTTTGCTGCCTAGTATTACTCCACCAAGCAGAGGCCGTGTACTATATCAATCAGGCAGATGGATATGATTCCATTCCGTTGTGTGCCGAGCCACCAATCAGCTCCATCGTCCGGGACATGGTAGCTGGTTGCGGTGACGGAGGACGGACAACCTCGTACAGTTGCTTCTGTACCGCAAGCTCGGACCGATTCAGGGAGATCATTGCTAGCTCAGTCGCTCAACAGTGCGGAGGGTCAAGTCCAGCGGTGGTGAGCGCGACCAGTCTTTTCGACGCCTACTGCCGTCTTGGCAAGGCGGATCTTGGAACTACAAGTCAGTGCTTCCGGGACCCAAAGTCTTGATTTGTTGCTTACCGGTCTACCTCCTTAAAGCAGCCGCTGGAACTTCGTTCACGTCAAGCACAGCCGACGTTTTATCGAGCACCGCCTTTGCTACGCCGGCCAACTCTGGTAATCTAGTCAACACTCCATCGCCTACTTCGACCTCGTCACCAGCTAGCTCGAATCCGAACAACGCAGGGATATCCACTGGCGCAGTAATTGCCGCGAGCGCCTGCACGTCTCTGATAGTCATCGCTTTATCTGCCGCAGGCTTCATGCTGTGGCGCCGGCGTCAGCGGGCTGCACGGAGAAGTCCGGGCACACAGAACCATGTCCATATGTGTAGTGGCGCATTGAACAACCCGCAGACTCCTGGTCCGTATAAGGCTGTTATTTACGAAAATGCCGAATTAGACTCGCGTACCGTGGTGATGGAGATGTCTGCGTTGCCGAAGACAAGGCGTTACGAATTGCAATGATGTTTTGTTCCGCATGGCGTTAGGGTTGATTTCTTCCCTCTTTTATGTGTGGAACAAGGACTTATCTCTAGGCATGAAGTAGCAATGATAGGTTGCCAAGGAGATGTTTAGCTACGACTGAAGTTAGTTGTGAAGGGGAGGCTGCGTCACATTTCGGATTGAGAAAAGTGGTGGACGAAGGCTTTCGCCCAGCCCATCAAGAGTTGCTTCCAAAATATCATCAGCATTCCATTATTGAAGGTATTGTACAATCTTTTTTTTCTGGAATTACACAGCATATCCTCCCGAGTTCTTCTGTCTCGGCTCACCGGCGGCCTCAAAAGTGCCGTTCGGCAACAGCCTCACACCCTGTGCCGTACTACCGCCAGGCGCAACCCAGGTAACGTTTGTGCCGAGGGTCGTGAGGTAGCTGGTAGTGGCGTTGTCGTAGGCGTACTCGAAAGCGGCAGTGTTAGGGCTCAGCTGGTCGTGGAAGCGGGGTTCAGCCAACGCCTCCGCCGTCGTCAAGTTTCTGTCCAGAACATTGTGAATGTTCTGGATGGTCGCGGTGATGATGCGGCTGCCTCCAGCAGAGCCAATGACGAGGTACAGCTTGCCGTCGGGCTGCTCGACGATGACAGGCGAGATGGACGAAAGGGGTCTCTTGCCGGGGCGGACGTAGTTGGCGGGGCTTGGGATGTACCCGAAAGCGTTGCTAGAGCCGGGAATGCTGAAGTCGTTCATCTCGTCGTTCATAATGACACCAGTCTCGGGGACCATAAGCTGCGATCCGAAGATGAGGTTGACGGTAGTAGTCAGGGAGATGGCCATGCCGCTGGCGTCAGCCACGGCGATGTGCGAAGTTCCCGGCGTCTCAAGTGACTCGATGCCCTCGGGGTTGTAGTATGACACGTTCTGGGTCTGGAAGTCGGAGATCTTGGAGCGGACCTCGGCGCCAGTCTCGGGGGATATCATGCTTTTGGTGTATGCCGGCAGGCCGTCCACAAACGACGGGTCACCCAGCTTTGTGCGCTGGCCGTAAGCAAAGCGCATGGCCTCATCAAGTCGGTGGACGGTGGTGTTCCTAGAGGCGGGGTCACCGAAACCCTCGTATCCGCTGACGATGTTTAGGGCACTCAGAGCGACGATCCCACCGGAGGGCGCGTTGCAAGCGGTAAGCTTATACCCTCTGTAAGAGATTTGGGCGGGCTCTCTGATGGCGACTGTGTAGTTCTTGAGATCCTCCAACGTCATGGTGCCGTTGGCCTTCTGCAGAGCAGCAATGGTAGCGTTGGCAATGGCACCGGTGTAGAAGGCGTCGGCGCCCTCATTCGCAATGACTTCAAGGGTATCCGCGTAGCGCTTCCGCGTGATAGTCTCGTTTAGCTTAACGCGGTAGCCATTGGGCGCGAAGTCAATGGCCCAAGTTGGGTTTTCCGTCAAGAAGTTGCCGTTTGGGGTGACGCTGTTCATGTATCTGACCAAATCCTCCGTGACACGGAAGCCGTAGCGTGCCACCTTAACCGCTGGCGCGACCACCTTTGCCCAGGGTAGCTTGCCGTACTTCTTATGCAGATGCTCCAAACCACGCAGTTCACCAGGGACGCCGCTTCGAGGTGTCAGATGTCATGAATACGAGGCGAATAAATCGGAGACAACTTACCTGGCCAGGCCCCCATACAAGCTGGCAGCCGTGTTGTTCGAGTACATGGTCTCGAACGCAGCAGCCGGGGCAGTCTCTCTGAAGTCGATGAACTCATAGGTTCCGTTGCTCGACCTGACGAGCATGAAGCCACCACCACCGATACCGCTATGGTACATGCCCACGACACCGACGCAAAGGACGGTGCCCACTGTCGCGTCGGCAGCATTGCCACCCTCCTTGAGGATATCGATGCCGATCTTACTGCAGATACCGGACTCTGAGGCGACGGCGCCCAGCTTCGGGATAGTGCTCTGGCTCGGAGCCGCAAGGACGGGCTGCGTAATACCAAACAGCAACTGCACAAGGGCAGCAGAAGTCAAGGAGAGCTTCATGATGGCTGAGTAGGGCAGGTCACAGCTACTGGTCTTGCTTGGCGGTAAGACAGCACGGTGTACCTAGTGGTCCTGTGCGAAGGAGCTGCTGCAGGCTTGGACCGGGAACGGGCTGGCTGGTTCAAGGGAGACACAGAAACCGACGATGTTGGTAGGCGCGGCCAAGCTTTAATATGAATGGGACCTGGATGGCGCAATCGACATGGAGTGAAGTAAGGCCGACTTCGCCCACAATCCGACTCAGGTCATGGTCCCGCTTGGTTGGGGAAAGACTAATGCTTTCATTTCGGCAACCCGCAGGTCGGTGACGATCACCAACAGTAGATCCGCCCTATCGCAATCGCAACTTAGCTGCAGATAGCCCTGGAGATACGAATTGAGACATTTTGTTCCAGCTTCCCCGCAGCGCCTGGCCGAACGGCCCAGTTCCTCGAGGCTCGAAAACCCCAGATAAGCTTAGGCTGGTCCGGGCATGTTCCTTGCGCATATGCTGCGTGCCTGTATCGTACACTAATTAGTACGCCTCAACAGGGGCCGAGCCGGAGGTGACGTCGGACTCGAATTGGAAAACTACTTGGATCAAACTGCAGAGTCGAAAGACAAGGCGGATCAACAACAAATCATATGCGTGGGTGGCTGGGAGACGTCGAAGGCTAATTGGTTATCCATCCGAGAGGAGATATCTGCACTTGGAGAAACATCGAGGGAAATGCCGAAACGAATCCACTGTGGAAATGTTTAGCGGGGTTGAGATAACCACCTTCCTGTTGTGGATAGCTCACGGCATCCCGGCACCCTCGGAGCTGGGAAGGACATCCCCGGCCGGGAACCCCGCTACTGTCCGCTATCACACAGCAATGCTTTGTAGTGCTTGTTGATAAGTAAGTTTTGTGCAAGACACCTGATAGCTCTAGAAATCCTAAGTCGTCCCACTCGTATCTTATGAGCTTCCTCTATACTCTGACAGACCAAGCAGTCGCTGTTTTAGTCTCGAACACTACTCTGCAGGATAAATAGCTGCGCCAGTGCGCTAAAAAGCGTCGTGTTGCTTGAATGTGCCCCGCCCCCCCGGCATATAGACGTGAAAGGGGTTTCCTTGGAAGATAATTTTAATGACATGTACCCTTTCACCATCGACATCTAACAATGTGACTCTATCTTCGTCTATGTTGACCAGTTTTCCTTGATCTAACCGAAATCATACATGCCCGTCATCGGCGTATGGTACTGCATCAGGTTCATATTCTCGTTGAATCGCAGCAGGTGCTGTAGCCTCTGGTACTAGATTTCGTAAGGAGTCATCTCTGTTGATCGACGCCACCGGCGAAGAGGAATTGGTCTCAGAGATAAGCCGCCGACGACCGCAGTGGGCGAAGTAATCGGCCATCTTCATGGCTGTTACGACGGATCTCATTAAACTTTTGAGGCGTTAGCTTCCAGATTTGGGTAAAAGCACGGCACACCTACATGAAGGAATACGTTAGACGATCAAGCTTACCAGGGAGGTACAACTTGAAAATCCCGGTATGAGCTAACTCTTCCTCGCCGACCTGAGATAAGACTCCGCTACCAACAGGATGCCATGTGAACTGTTCCGCCGCTCCTGATAAATGGCTTGATCTTGAAAGAAGACAGAAAGAGTTTCCTTGCTGATAAGTGAAATGTATGCGTTAAACTCTTTTACAATAACAGTAGAGAAGATCCATGTATGATCATCAATAGAGTAAAAGCTAGTTGGTCTCATGAGACAATGGCAAGGAAGTGAACATTTTACCGAAGTGAATTTAAAAAAAGGTCGGGAAATCTGTGTAGATTTCGGATCCTTGAGAAAAGAACTACGAATTAGACGGAATATTTTGTTTGTACACTTGTTGTGCATGTATGTGTCTGTGCGGTTACGTTTTTGGCACCTGCTCTTTAACATAATAGAAGCTATAGTCATGGAGGTCATAATCTTGGAAGAACTCCCAGTATGATAACAGGCAAGTGAAACAGTTAGTCAGGAGCTTGAATAGTAATCGGTGCGTATCAGTGCTGGGTGTATTTTGATGTCTGGGAGTTCTTTTATTCTTTCAAGCAAGTTAGCCTTCGACACGCCATTATTTTAAAAGTCGTCTTTCGCAGCCTTCAGCAAATGTTTCCAAAACCTTACTGTAACTTGACTACTTCGCTTCCCTTGTCTGCGATGATACTATGTATTGCACGCTGTTCACAGTCAGAACACTTGGCTAGTTTTACATAGTCACCATTCACAACAATGGAGGTTTTGTCTACATCATGGTGTGTGGCATCCATCTTCCAGCAGACGACGTAGTTGTCCGCTCTCAACTCTAGGGTTCCCACCCTAGCAAACCCCTATTTGGCCTCTTGCACTTCGAGGGCAAAAAGCCATAACTCAACCACCCTGCTTCCCACGCAACCCCGCATACCACGCAGCCCCAAACCCCCATTAATATCACCATACCCATCAACAACATCCATTATTCCTTATCTTTACCACCTACCCAGATGCAACTTTCTGCTTCACTAGATAATTCAGATCCACTAGATTCACTTATGCTACTCTCTGCTTTGCCAGCAGCAATTTGTGCCCGTTAGATATCCTTGATATTAGCAAACATTGTGTTAAGGTTTGTCTAGACCCTTTTTCTTTTACCTTATTATTAACTATTTGTCTAGGCCTAGAATACCTAGGCTTAACGCTCTAGGACTATTAGTCTATAGGCCTATTAGTCCTAGCCTTTTTAGACCTTTCTAAATAGGTAATATTAAGTATAGATTTCTTAGGTATTTTATATAAACTAGTTAAATAAGTATAGCTAATACTAAAGATTAGTAGACTTATATAAAATTAATTATAGGATTATAAATATAGCTTTATTTTACTATTAACTTCTTAATTACTTAATTATTTAGCTATTTAGTTATTTAGTTAATTAGTTAATTAATACTTTAAATATAAAAAAACTAAATAAAAGTTATATTATATTAATTAGTTATAACTTAATATATTTTTAGTTACTTTTAATAACTTAAATAATTAAAGCGTTTAAATATATTTTTTTATAATAATTTATAAAGTTTTTTTTATTTATTATAATTAAATTACTTTATATATTTAAGTACTTTAAATATTTTTTATAAGTTACTTTAAGAGATTAAAATACTAACTAATTTAAAGGCTAGAGGATATATAATATATATAGTAATAAAAATAAGAGGTATATATAGTTTTAGAAGTATTATTATAAAAAGTCTATTATTATATAACTATAATAAGCGTTTAGAACTAGTAGTTTAGTATTTAAAGAGTTCTTTAAAATAGTCTAAAAGATAAAGACTTTTTTTAGCTATTTTAAAGTATTTTAATTAGTTATTTAGCTATTCTTTATTACTATAAATTTTTAGCTAATATAAAGTTAAAGATCTAAAAAAAACTACTATTACTAAACTAATTTACTTTTATATATAATAAAAAATAAAAATATATATTTTTTAATAAAAATATATTTAATTAAAGATACTTATACTTATAATTTAAGTTATTTTTTTTTAAATATATTTAGTCTTTAAGAATCTTAATATTAGCCTATTATTTCTTTTATTTTTAAAAATACTAGTTTTATTTATATTTTATTTATTAATTAATTTAATAAATAAAATTACTAATAAATTAAAGTAATAAAACTATTTTTAAATAATATTAGTAATTACTCTATTAATTTATTTAATATTAACTATTTTATATTACTAAGTTTTAATAAATAAGTTTTTATAAAAAAATTACTATATTTACTTTTTTTTAAGTAGTTATTACTTATTACTTAGTATATACTTAGTTAGCTCTTTAACTTATTAATAATAAAACATAAAGCCTAAAGTAGCCTACTTAGATATCTACTTAACAAATAAACCTTTCTAGTTCTAAAATAACTACTATAGTCTACTAAAGGTAGTATTTCTAGACTAAATACTATAAAGACGTTATTATATAGTTACTTCTAAAATACCCTATTTATAACTTACCCTACAAATACTAAGCCTATTAGTAATATCTTAAAGTGCTTACTATAGCTTATATTTATTATACTACTTTATCTTATAGTAAAAAAGATATCCTCAAAAAATAGCGTTATTTAGGGTAAAATAGAAGATGTTGTGATAGTTAGAAAAGAGGAGTAGGTTTTATGGTGACGCGTTGTTGGGCTGCGTGGTATGCGGGGTTGCGTGGGAAGCAGGGTGGTTGAGTTACCGGATGCCGGCGATCGACCTGCTCTCCCATCCGTTCTTTACGGAGTAGAACATTCTTGGGCGGCACGAACCCTGCACTCAAGACCATCATCTCCACTTCAGCATCTACTAGGTCAGTCCCAGCTAGGATATCGCAGTCATCGTCGGAGAATATCGCGCAAAAGCCCATCGTAGGAAGGGTCGCAGCATGGTAGCTCGTTCCTGGCTGTGTCCACGAGGCATTACTGGCTCGAGGGTTTCGACAGATGGAGAGTGGTATGACAGGCGCCTGCAGATGGACTTCTCGAGGTAGCGTCACGTTCCAGATAGTGAGTCCTAATCAGATATTTAATCTGTTCCCCTCGTGAACTTTCAACCCCTTGTCTGAAAGTTCTTGGGCATGGCCAAAGATTTTGTGTTGAATAGTGGCGGCTAACCGCTTTCAAGATCCATATCATTTTCGAAATAGAAGGTCAGATATAGAATAATTAGTAGAGCCAATGTGCTGTGTAACCAAATCTGTCGTTGTTATGATGATTGACTATCAATCTTCGCGAGCCAGATTAACTCAGCTTACGTTCGACCGACGAAAGACTTACCTACTACCAGGGCCTCTTGATCAAACTCAACTACAACGGGTATGTTCAATCGCTATGCACTCATGCTTGGTCAAGCCGCAAAGTGGGTTTATAATAACTCTGAGACGTGAGTATTCGGCGTCTGGTTTCGAGTTCCAAGATCGAAAACTGTCTGTTGATAATTTAAGCATAAAGTGCCTAGGGATATTGTGCTTTCGATACATAGCTTTCAGCAATTGGCAGAGACATTCCATGCATTACTTTCTACTCACGTCTTCGTAGGCCGTACCTAATGAGATAAAACACAACGCTATGAATGCGGATATCCCTACACGAAAGATCGCTCTGCTAAGTAGCTGAGTATCCCCCATCAACGAAGATCGTTTGCCCTGTGACCGCAGCACTCGCATCGCTTGCCAACCACACTGCAACCCCGGCAAAATCTTCTACCACACCGTTCCTTCCGATCATCGTACGTGCCGCATGTGCTCCCGCTGTTTCCGGCTCAGCGAGCACCTCCTCCGTCATCGGCGTCTCTACGAGTCCCGGGGCGATAGCGTTACACAGAACCCCGCTTCGCGACCATGCCTCGGCCTGAGAGCGTGTAAGCGATACCAAACCGCCTTTTGCAGCACCATAGGCGCCACTGTTATTGAAGGCGCGAAATGATTGTTGGCTGACAATGTTGATTATGCGGCCGCTTCCGCGTTCAGCCATCCCTGGTCCGAATGCCTGGCCTAGTGCGAATGGCGCCGTAAGGTTTGCCGCGATGGTATAGTCCCAGTCTCCTTGCGTTATCCGCGACATGGGTGGGCGATGGGACACTCCAGCAGCGTTGACCAAGATATCAGGTACCCCGTGAGCAGATTTGATGCGGGCGCTGGCGTGGTTGAGGTCTGCAAGATTGGAGAGGTCTGCTGTTATTGATGTCGCAGGTACACCGAGCTGGGTGAGTTGCTCGATAGTTGATGTGAGAGGCTTCGCTCGGCGCGCGATGAGTATGACACTTGCACCGCTCTGCCCAAGGGCGAGCGCAATTTCCTTGCCTATGCCTGAACTGCCACCCGTGACGACGGCTGTCCTGCCTGCGAGACTAAACAAACGGGTCAGATATGCTGGTAGGGCGCTCAAATTCCTAGCCATTTTCTGTAGTGATCTATCTCTCGTCGTTGGAAGCAGAGCGTAATATTTTTTTACTTCATATACTCCTCGAAAGCAAGAGATAAGGGTGGCCTGATGATGTGGTGATTTGAGATGAACACCCGACAATGAGGGGTTCGAACGACAAAATGCTGAAGTGACTAAATGTCCATGGCTGGCGGAATACGAACAACTTGTATTCTAGGCCAGACCGAAATATGAAATCCAAGGCGGGGTATCTCACATGCAGCTACCGGCGTTCCAAGAGCCTTAAACCTGCTAGGACAGCGACGGTCGACATTCTACGACTTATTACTCGAGCATTTTCACACGTGATGTATTTTGGCCTGCACCCTCCATCCAAAATAACCGCTTTTGCAGGATAGTTGGAGGGAGGGGTTGGCATGCATGAGCGGAAGCTTGCGTTAGGAGTAAGCTAGTGGATTGAAGAAGGGGTTGGCGATTGGGGTAGGGTGACTTCATGAACAGGGCTAAGGCACTGTTGCAAAAGACAAAAGATGAATCAGCCCTCTCAGTTGAGAAATTGTTGCAATTAAGACCACTGTCACGTATAGTTATTTTATTCCTGCTCGGCATTTCTCAGGGTATAAAACCTCATGATTCGGACTAAGGCTACCCAAGAAGCAGGCTGTTCAGTGACTGGCTTTGTCGTGAGGGAAGTAACCTTTGTGATAGCGCCAGCTTAGCGCAATTGATGGCGCCCATCCGTCGAGAAGCAGCTGGCAACAATAAAACCAGTCCGGTAGTAGCAAGCTAGCCATCGAGAGTCTGGAAAAAGAATGAAAATATATTTACATGTAACTGGTTGGCTATAGAAGTTGTGGGTGCGTCAAACCTGTCTTGCCAACTTCCAAGTAAATGAAGAACAGCATGGCAGTAACCGAGGGAATATCCCAACGCCAGCCATGTTTCAGGAAACCGTGTATACCATTCAAGAGTACACTTCATTCCTCTAACGGTTTTGAGGCAGGCAATGCATAGCAGTAAACTGGTTCTTCGGAGCGGCCCAGAATAGCCATGCGAACACCCAAACAAACCCAAGGGTCTTTCCAGCCTTGCCGCTCATCTTGTGGTAGAAACGAGGGAAGTATGTCTGGAGGCAGTAGAGCAGTGCTGTCTCACCAACAATTCCAACAAAATTCATGTTCCACCACCAGATCTCCCACATGTAGCTGCAGTGGATGCCAGAGAAGTAGTCGGTAAACCCGTGAAAGATGCCACTGATGGCGAAGACGAGCCCGTTGAGTAGCCAACGCTTCTTTCCGCGGAACGGGCGCTGACCTAAGCCGATGGTGGTCATGAACATCTCGCCGAAACCGTTAACGGCACGGTAAATCAGACGATCCCAATACTTGCTCCAGAAGCGACGGAGGTTCCAGGCCTGGCGAATGTCGCCGAAAACCGGGGGCCATTCCTCGGGCTCGTCAATGTGGAGGACCACAAAGAAGATGGCGATGGAGGAATGAATCATAGTGTAGAATGCGTAGGCACCCCAAACTGCCTGGAAAGCGAAGAAGCAGCGGATAACGACCTCGCGGGAGGTGACTTCATTCAGACGGCGGAAGAAATGAATCTTGTGAAGTTCAACATCATCCCAGTTGAAGCCGATGGTTACCTGCGCGATTTGGTCGATTATGCGATCTAGAACCCAGACAATCGTGACTATTGCGATTGTTGTTATGATCCAGCGATTCCTGGGGCTGAGCCATTTCCAGAGACAGGCAAAAGGCCAGCTAGCATAGTCCCAGGCACGATGGCCAACTTCACACGCACCATTCCATGTCGCTTTGATGTAAGGTAAGTCGCCGTTGTGGTCATCGTGCCGATCAACGAGAGCGGTATTATTGTTGAGTTCCTTATCGTTGTCCATTTCGGTGGCGGCGCAAAGGATTATGTTTTGACGCTCCTCGTCTGCTTTTAACAGATGGAAGATAGGAGCGGGTCGGGAGGTGTTGACGAATCTTGAATTCCACATGATCTTGTACGTGGCGATGGCACGTCGTCCCCAGGGTAGCCTTTTCTGCTCCTCTGTGAGACAGAACTTCTCCCACAGAATCATGACGACAGCACCCATATTGTGAACGAGGATGAGCCTGACCATGGTGTCCTTGACTACGTATACAAAATCCGTCTCGGTGATAGATTGGATGATAGCAACCCCAATGGCAATGGAGGTGGTGACCCAAGCTGCTCGGTAGCACTCCCTGACGTTAAGAGCAATGGCTATACAAGCTACGCTGAGGGTGTAGAGAAAGACTGGGTAGATCAGTTTCTTAGATACCAAAATTTTGATCGATATCCAGGTCTCCCAAACGAAGAAGGTATACAGAGCTTCGAGGGAACCCATGTTGCCGTAATTGTTGTACGAATAGTAGTCGGTGTAGTTGTTGAAGTCGTACTGTGTCGAGTTCCATGTATCATCCCATTGGAATTCCATGGGATTCAACGCCCCCACCGCTTCCATGCCCTGCACAGATTCCATGATGCGGTGCTGTGATGTAAAATGATGTCGACTTCGAGCTGCTGTATATTCTCAGGACATTTGCCTGCATGACGGACGACGATACGAAAGAAAAGAGCATTGCACTGATAACTCTTTGGCAGAAATAGACCATATGTAGCAATATGTAGCGCCCAACTCTTCACAGATTGCGGACAGAAGATGTCCAATACGAAGGCTAAAGTTTGATCCCACGCCACGGATGCGACAAGCTCAACAGCCCATCGCTGAACCCTGTTAAACAAACAAACTATTCATGAACCTAGACATACGTGGAGTCATATTAAGGCTTACAAGAAGGGATGTTACGTTAATCTCGGTGTCATGAATGTTATGCCTGCACTCTCACTTCCCGATACGGCATAGTCGGCCATTCTCATGAGGAAGCCCGTCCGCCGTGTGAATTGTCCAAAATTCACTGCCGACCGCAGTAGCCGCATAGAAAACATCCTCCGGATCCCACTTGCGCTTCAACTCCAACAAACGTGGGTATTTGCTATCTCCGTAAAACGACTGCTGGAAGTTTGGCTCCATTCTGTCCGACTCAGCAAGGTATGAGCCGGCACCTGGAGAGACGTCCCGCCATCGTTGCATATCTCCGAAAGTGAAACCCTTGCGCACCTCCAAAATTTGCTCTGCAGTCGCGTTGATTGACCACCTGACAGACTGGAGCGCAAAGAGGATGTTTTCGCGCCAGGCGGGGTTGACTGCGTTATCCGGGTCATCTGGACTGGTTGCTTTGATGTTGAATCCCACAAATATGTGGTTCGTCTCGAGTGATTCTCGGATGGCGTCAAAAGTGGCTTGCTTAAGTTCCTCATCTTCAAAGTTTTTACGCGGAAAGAGACGGGAACCGCTCTGCACGTTGACCTTTTCGATCACTTCAAGTGGGAAGAAGTCTTGCCACGCAGGGTAAAAGCTATTATACTGTGTAATGTTGGGAACAAAGTTTATCCCAAGGTTCCGAAGCTCGTTGAACCACGGACTCAACAGGGTAGTGACTTCCTCCGCCGTTTTGTTTGGCGCGAAGAAAGGTGTCATCTGGAAGAGAAAGTTTCCAGGGCTCGGGTTGTTGTGCAGCAACAAAAAATATGCGTACGTGCCGTTATCGGCATTGTAGATGAAGGAGTCGAAGTAGCTTCGCACACCGGCCCAAAAGGTCTCGTTGGAGCTACCATCTGCCGTTGAGAACTTGAAAGCCGAGGCGGTGGTAGTAACATCCGGGAAGGTTTTGACTGTGACCGAGGTCGTAACACCAAAGGTTGAACCACCACCGCCACGAAGAGCCCAAAAGAGATCCGAGTTTTGAGTGTGGTCTGCCGTGACGAACTCGCCATCGGCCGTGACGACTTCGAATGCAAGGGCTTGGTCTGCTCCCGTGCCATAAATAGAGCTAAGGGGGCTGTGGCCGCCGCCTTGAATGTAGCCTCCCATAACTCCTACTGTCTAGGAAGATTCTCAGTCTCTGGATCATCTGGTTCAAGTGTTTCTCTACGAACATACCTGTCCTTCGCCACCAACAACGACCTTGCCATACTCCGAAGCCACCTTGTAGATCTCGAAAGCTTGTACGCCGGTACCACACTTGAATGCGGGACCGGAGTACCCCTCAACTTCATCAACAATCTCCTCAACATACTCGATACCTTTTAAATAATGTGTCCATATACTCAGTGACTCCCCACCACCCGACTTACCTGAGAAATCATGTCCGGTGTTCTTGACCACAAGTCTAACGCCTGTTTCCTTGGCAAACTTGACACCATCCTGCACATGCTGCGGCGTAGTCGCATTGATGACATACCATGGGAAGCCGCCCATCGTGCAATTCCCCGAGTCATAGATATTCGGTGGCAGACAAGTTAGACCTTGATAGACGGGCGAAAACATCTCGATGGGGTCATCAAGGTGGATGTATGAGTTGGTCCAATTGGATGACATTTTGGCACAGGCAGCCGCATCGTATTCGGGGCCATTGTAGCATACCGCTGCTTGTGGGCGCGGCTTGAGGAGACGGTTGTCAACGCGTTCATTGAGCGACGCCCAAGCTTCATCAGAGGGCCAGGTGGCGTCGGAGGGATAGACCTTACAACGCAGTGCCGACGCATTATCGGTTAAGGCCGCCACGGCGTAAAGAAGCGTTGAGAGTCGGTGCACCATGGCTGATCTTGTATGTTAGGAGAGTGCGCGCCTTATGCAGTACCTGTCCATCTCATGTTCAGAGGGAACCGAAGTAGGTCTTCTGCTCGCATTTATGAGAAACGATGCCGTGTCAAAAATCTTCATTGAGCAGGTCCAAGTGCGGGGGATCGCCGGCGTTGCACAGAAGATCGCGCTCACTAGCCTCGCTCTCCAGAGTCTCTGAGCCAAGACGGCGATCTTCGCTATAATCAGATGGAATCAACGTAGCATGTCAGCGTAGCAGAACCAAACTATATTGTTATCTAGACCGCCTATTTGCTTATCCGTACATGGTTGACTGGGTCTTGAGAGGAGTCTGCAGTAGAGGTTGCATTAGACAAGTGGTTCTTTGCTAAAAGCTGCAATGGGCCATGTCACGAAGGCCCAATAACAGAAATGCATGTCGGCCTTTCCATTTTCTTGACTTTGCTATTTTCCTCAAGCCGACCCCCCGACCTTCTGTCGATTAATTATTTGCGCTAGCTCGAGGTATTACCATTTAGAATGACCAAGAGAAGCTCCAAAACTTTTGGGCTCTGATGCAAATGACGATGAATTGCCTAGAAACGCCCGAAATATCTCGGAAAGAATCGTTTTCCCTGTAAAACAACAGAATAATTACCGCAGAATTGAGCCAATCAACCGCTGTACCCATCTTCCAAAAAACACCGAGCCTTTACGTCATTCCGAGCTGCTGTAGTCCTTGTGTGGGCTTGAAATCGTCTGATCTTAAGCAGCATCGGCAGCTCCGTTAAGTGCAGAGTTGATATGTCCTTGAGTAGCTCCCGAGTTGGAACGATGGGTGTTTCTATTGGCGCCACCATTGGGCCTTGAATGGGGAGCTACAATCCATGAATGGAAGTTTTCGTTGGGCGGCCTCGATGGAAACCAGACAAATGCCTTCTTCGTATGGTCGTGTCCGGAACAGCAGATGATTTGAACCATGACTTCGTGTCGGTTGCATCCCTCGGCGGCGAGGAACCCGTCCATCGTTGCAATTTCCGCCCCCGTTAGCCCAGTGACATAGACCCCGTCCATGCTCGCACCTCGGCGACCGGAAGTGGAAGGCTGACGGGGATCATCGCAGAGAGTGGCTTGTCGATAATGGTATCTCTTCGTAATGGCTCGAGGGGGGTTGGGGCTGCCGTGGAGGAGAACGTAGAGCATGCTTGGTCGCCTCCAGTTTCCGTAAAGGAAGATGGAATTCGTGGCCGGCATAGTAGATTCTTCGATGTATATAGACAAAATAGTCGTCGGGAATGGCTTAAGGCTTGGGAAGCAGAAGGTAGTTGAAAGGGGGAAGTTATACTGATAGCGAAAACGTTCATATTTTTCTGCGCAAAGTTTTTGGGAGCGGATTAAGATTCTGTTGACCTTTGGTAGGGCTGGCTGGAGACGAGTTGGCGGACCATTTCACATCTTGTCCGCATATTAAAGTTAAGGCGAGAGTTGGATCACGGGGTATCAGGCTACTACAATCTCACTCAGATGACCTGGTCAATTCAATGCTACTAAGGGACGATTTATTTAATATTACATGGCCGAACACAACCCAGAGAATGGTCATCTTTTAGACCCTTTGGCCATTGGCAGCATACAAACAAGTAGAGTGTGGGATATCATTCGATGTTGGCCATATTCCTGACCATAGCACTTCGAAATTCAAGGTGCAACATCGCAGACGCCCGATTTCAAGGTCCATTTACTAGCTGATTCAATCAGAATATTATATCAGGATGGCCCAGGCAGGTAATCAATGCTAAATATTCAGGTCTCTTTTTTGTAGCAGAATGGAACAAAGCAATAGTACTTCATGCTTTTGATATGCATGAAGTTCGAGCTTTCCTGTGGTGTCGTTCAAAGTCCCCAGCGTCATCTTAATGCAAGTGGCACTTGAAGCCCAAGTTCGGATTCGGGTGCAACCTCCTTACGGTACTGCAACGAGTTAAAGGAGAAATTGAGAGCTCGAAATGCCAAAGATGGGTGTAACGAGCAACCGAGTGATGCTCATAATCGCAAACAGCAAAATACGTACAGAGCTTGGTCCGTCAGCTGTTACACCGCCATTGTTGGTTAGCAAATCAGTTTAGCCGTCGTGTGACGAACGACGAGGTGAACCCTCGTCTGCACTCAATCTGAGTGAGAAGGACGTTCGAGGCTTTTTGAATCCGCAACTCTCTAGCCAGTTTCGGATTTCACGAGACCAATGACGTTCCAAACGGTCACCCCGGATCTTTGAGAGACGACATTCTGTTGGGCAATGCACAATTGCGGGGTTAGGATCCACATGTTGATTGGACGTCAGACTGAAGCTGTACGACGGAGGGCTAGCCCGAGTGGTTGTGGTGTCTTTGGGCCATTATGAGGCGAATATAGCGATGCCGAGGATCTCGATTGAGGGATATGAAACCAAGTCAAAGTGGAAGCTCGAAGATTTTATTTAAATTTCACAGAACCAGTTTCTCAACATCTTCCATACTTCCTTTGCCAGCCATCCGTTATCAATCCCCCAACGCTCACAATGGCACACAAGTACACTAACAAGCTCGAGGGCAAGTCAGTTCTTATCGTTGGCGGAACTTCAGGCATTGGCTTCGCAGTTGCTGAGGCTAGCGTCGAATTTGGCGCCAACGTCGTTGTCGCGAGCCGAAGTCAGGAGAGAGTCGACAAAACCATCAAGCGCCTCATGGAATCGTACCCCGACGCCAAGGGTCGCATTCGCGGCCATGTCGTCAACCTTCACGGCGATGAGTCCGAGACCAGCATCAAGAGGCTCTTTGATTTTGCCACCAATGAAAACCAAGACAAGATTGACCACGTTGTCGAGACGGCTGGTGAAGCCCCTGATGCCTCGCTCACGCTGCAAGACGCGACTCCCCAGCGCATAACGGAGGCCAGCAGCTCTCGCTTCCCTGGCGTTGTAGTCCTTGCCAAGGTAGCCTCCAAGTATCTCAAGAAAGAATACACGTCCTCGTTTACCATCACCGGCGGCGCAGCCACGTACAAGCCCTCGCAGGGCTGGGCCGTGCTGGCGGCTATTGGCGGGGCCAAAGATGCGCTGGCGAGAGGGCTTGCGGTCGACATGGCGCCCGTGAGAGTCAATCTCGTCTCGCCCGGGGCAACGCAGACGGAGCTCATGGCGTTTGCCTTTGATAACTTGAATTTTGGGGATCTCAAGGCCGATCCCGAGGTCGTGCGGGACATGTTCAGAAGCACGTCGTTGCTGAACAGGATCGGGGACCCGGAGGACTTGGCTGAGACCTACCTGTCACTGATGAGGAACTACTTCGTAACTGGAACAACGCTCCATGTTGATGGTGGCAAGTTGTTGAAGTAAGGACTGAGGTCTCCTCGAGGCGAATTGATTGATGGGGACTTTGTGGATTGGCATTCTTGATGCTGGAAGGGTGCACCCTGGGTGGAGCTGAGTCACTTGCCTTTTCGGCTACGGGCCGAGTCGAAGTGGAACTCAAACAGTCAGATCTCCCTCAGCATAATCCTTGTGTGTCAACGATGGCTTCACAGCTAGTCAATTGGCAGACATTAACTTATCGTCCAGGGGTTCAATGGATTAAAAAGGAATGAAACTGTATTCGATAACAAAAGATAGTCTGAAGCTTCAGACTAATGAACCTTCCGTCGATAGCGAAGGCATTAATCATTAATCTGCAATCCCCATTTTCTTTCCTTCTCCCGCAGCGCTGTCCCGCGAAGAGCCTTTCACCTTGATTCATTCTGCTAACGATGTCCACGCCAATATTGAAACACACCCGACTTGTAATGCTCGATTCCACGCCGAGCACCAGGCTATTGCCATACTCTTTGCTGGCGTCTCTAGTCCGGTCCTATTTACGCCTGTTTGAGCGCTGGTTATTCCGCGACGCCGTCCCCGTCTCCCTCACACGTGGTACTGACAGTTGAGATGCGGACCAGTGCCTTCCGAACGCCGACTCTTCGTAAGTGGTGAGTTAGCAACAAAGCCATTGGCGCTGTGTTACCAGGACACCGGGCCACACCAGCACAACGCTCATCGCCGATACCCGATGCAGCCCTCCCATCCGCGACTTGACTCATCGAGGCACGACCTCATTCCCAAAAGGTGTTTTCCTGCCGAAAGCAAGCCAACTCTCTCGTAACGATACGCCCACTTCTTTCGGCCTGGCCTACTAAGCCGCTGCTAATTAGCCCCCAACGCTATGGGAACGAACCAGACCGCATCCTTGCCGGAGATCAATAGCGCTTTGGCCAGCGACCACCGGCCCTCCATAACTCCAAATCCTTAAACATGGCAACGAGAAACACTATATTGTGTAATAGTTGGTGAGGCTGATGTTTTGGTGGAGTCAAAATGACATGATGCAGTGCAGTCGCGTGGCATCGGCAGCCCACTATGCAGAGCACTAGCCGTGTGGCTTGCTGCAGACGACGACGCTGCTTTGTGGGTAGCATCTTGAGACGTGGCAAATGGTCATGGTATTCAAGGTTTCCTTTCATCAGAATCGTAATCTTCAGCGAAACGCTATGTGTTAACCTCAATATTCGTTTTGCTCGGCTCAAATTAGCCCAGAAGCCTTCAAGGGCCTATCCTCGAAAAGCATACTATCGAAACATTACCCTAACGGAGGGAGTGGCACTCGTGATACCGAAGGTTCTCTGATATTACCTAGACGCCGCAGAAGACTTGCCCAGGGTCTGTTAACGTTTTCTAGGATTAGGCATTGCAGATGTAGTCAGCATGCACCACGTGCGAAATGCAATACTCATGAAGTAAACAGCATGCCAACTAGCCTGGCAACCCGCGTCGCCCCCTAAGACCGTTCTCTGGAAAGGTCTTTGGGTCCTACACTCATGCACCTTCCGATTCCTATGGACTTACAACCATTGGTGATGCAACACAGTATTCTGTATGTGCCGGATCGCTGCACCAGCCCTCTCAAGTCTCAAAGGAACAATGACGATAGGTTCATGCTTTGATTATTTCAGAACTCGAGACGGTACTGAGCTGTTTTGACTTGATATGATGCCACTTTGTGGGATTCGGCCCGTTTCATCTGGATGGACTTGAACGGTGCTGTAGTGGCTGGCACAACATTATACTAAGTTGGAGTCTGTGGCTGAGCTTTCGCTGCAGCGCAACAAAGCCACTGAATGTGCTTACAGTGATGCTAAACGACATTGGAGCCAGACCGGCTCGTCTGAAAATCATTTGCACATCAGCTGGAAATCATCACACATCGTCTTCGACTGACGACTTTTCAGCCACCCGTTACTGGTCACCTTCCGGGCCGAGTCGGTGCTAGCTAGATAATATGATATGCTTCTTCCGGCGGCCAAAGCCCTGGCCAGATCTTCTGAGTGGGCGTCGATCAGCAGCGGCCCCTCACCATGTCTCATCCGTGGAAGCTTGTCTTGTTGCGTGATAGAAGCTGGGACCACATTTCCGGCGATGAAAGAAAAGAAAGTCGAAGGCGAGAATGGGAATAAAGGTGCGAGATCCGGATGCGATGAAGACTTTCGGTCTTAGTACAGAAGACGAACTGTCATCGGGCTGTCTCCACCTCGAGCAATAGCCGTAGATCTTTGACGGATGGGCTCTAAGGAGAAACCTGGCTCGTTCTTGGCCCCCGGACGGTCCGACGCCGCAGTTCGCTGGGCTGGTTGTCTGAGCGAACCCTCCTCAGATACCAGGATGCTGATTCGCCAATACCCCTTATTTGAACAGGTAGGCTACAGGGGAGCCGGCGCACGACCGCAGCGGGTGTCTTATTCGTCCCATCAATGTTTCCCGTGGTGCCTCTCCCCAGACGTTCCTTTAATTCACAGCTCCCAGGAGGAGAATATTATCCTTGAAGCCGGTGTGTTGCGGAATCACGTTGCATTGGGGTCCAAAAGAGGCCAAGGGGATCGGCGTGCACGGACGGCCGTTTTTGATTTCTGATGTGTGCATTTGAGAATCCGAGGAATGCGATTCCGCGAGGAACTGCGAAAGGAAACAGGTGAGGGGGGAATGCACGTCGTGCCAGATTCGTCCTCGCGTATCAGCATTATGCACGCTCAGTCTCCAGAACGCTGCAGAGAATGAAGAGAAGAAAAGACGTGCAGCAAAGAAGAAAACAGAGAATTCCATAGCGGCCATGAAGTGTTCTTGACTGGTTCGTGAATTACGTATCCGTATGTTTAGCATTAGTTTCGATTGTTCAAGGGGTTTTTTTTTCGCAGCTTCGCACTCTGACCGGCTGATCGGACTGTGGAGTCCTTCATCCGTTCAAAAAAGAACTTTTGGAGGATAGACTGACGCAAGGTTTAGTCCCAGCAGCAGCCCAGCGTGCCAGGGGAGGTTTGCGAGAGACAATACTCTAGAGTTCTTTTTTGACGTGGCAAGTGTTACAAACAGCATACTTTGCCTGTCTGACCTGTCGCGAGTCAATACCCTTTGAACCTTGATTCCGTCTATTCGCCCTTTTCAATGCCCACTGGCACTCAGCGATCTCGACCTTCTTAGTCCGTGCCAAACCGGCCAAACCAGTGCCTTTTTCTGGCAAGTGAAACAAGTTCGCCCTATCAGGAAATGAATGCTAAACTAGCATAGCCCAACCGCTTCCGGAGTGGCAGTCCCACGTGTACAGGGGGGCCTGGTGCTGACGGCTTCCTCTCTAAGAGCCGGACATCGACCCTGCAGAGCGTGGCGCGCACTACTTTCTGGCTTCCTCTGAAGCTACTACGTGCTCAAACACCCCCTCGTCAGGTTCATCTCAGATCTGGCGGCTTTGTTTGCCAGTCTTGAATTCATTTATCTCGCCCCCGGCCGCCCCTCCCTCTCTATTCCCTCATTCAGGCACTCGCTCTTACAACGTCGTTCCAACCGTTGTTCCCCCAACTCCTGCTGGGTCGACGACGCTTGAGACGTTGGAAGCGAGATAACACCCTCGCTGCCGGGACGTGGACTTGCGGCAAATCAAGGCCCCGGGCGATGCGAACGGCAACTGCTTCGATTACGAACATACTGGGTGCCAATGGTCAATATAGTTGACTTACTCGGCACGGCCGACAACCTCAGTGACCCTGAGCCCGCTCTCAACAAGCGATCGACGGTCTTGGGTATGGTTATATCTTTTCTGGTGAATGACACCCACTGCATCGAAAATCTCAACGGGTCCTTCTAATACTCTTCACAGATTCTTGCATATATATGTGGTATCTACCGACTTTATGTTCGCTACTTCATTCTTCGGTGTCCAGGATGGGATGATTATTTCGTTGTCTTGTCTTTGGTAGGTCACATTGGGTGAAGCGGTTCTAAATGCCCATGTCTAACGTTCTGAATATAGCTGACAAGTTTGCTTTTGTCTGCTGCGACTTGCGCCGGTATGTCCTCTGCCTTTTGCTCGTCTATCATTGACACTGACCCATCTAATATAGCTACGGAGTATGGGCTGGGAAAACACTTTATTCTGCTCGGAATCAACGGCATGCAAAACTTCATCAAGGCCTTCTACGTGTGCAACGGCGCGTATCCCATGGCCACTGCTCTTATCAAGTTGGCTCTGCTTTTCCAGTACTTACGAATGTTCGAGCGCGGCACCAAGTCACGATTCATAACCATCTTCTTCATCGTGTTCACGGCCATCTGGGGTATTGTTTACTCCTTCCTTGCATGGGTTCCGTGCATTCCCGTATCGGCCTTTTGGGACTTTTTCTCGTTGACGGAAACACGATGGGCTTTTGGCTCTCGCGACCCTGTCGTTTTCGCCCGTAGCTTCGAAAGCCATGTAGGGATTAATGTGGCGTTGGATCTTATTGTATTTGCGATACCCATTCCTCTTTTTCTACGGGCTGGACTTCGGAAGAAGTCTCGGATGAGCCTGTTTGGTCTGTTCGCCATGGGTGTGCTGTAAGTTTTCCAGGCCCAGACTTCCTCCTTCAACACCATCTGACTCGCTGACTCGCTAGTGTTAACGTTCTTGGAATATTCCGTCTCGTCGGCATTTCTAAAAGTAGAGCTGGAACGTACCCGACTCTCGATCCCAGTTGGTATGGCTGCACCCCCATAGTACTCGCCGCCGTCGAAACCAATCTAGCCACCATTTGCGCCTCGCTCCCAGTATTCTGGCCTACTCTTCAGAAAAACATTGGCCAGATCTTCATCACGAAAGAAGTTGAAATCACTTCAGAAATTCGCCGGTTCAGCACCCTCCAGGACGAAGAGGCCACCGCCGAGCTCCGTGACTTTTCACCAAGAAAACCGTCCAGAGCCCTTGGCAACGATTCAAATGCGAGATGGTACACTGAAACCCTGAGTTTATCAAAGTCGACAAAAACAGCGGTTGAATCGAAGAGACTTGCATCAAAGCCGAGCGAGAAGTCACTGATAAAGATATCAAACGACCAGGAGTCGCAGGACCGTCTTGTATCTTCACCTTTCCATGGCCGTTTGGCTATGTAAATATCTTAGAATTTGGATTAAAGGACCCGTTGTCCTTTTTTATCAAAATACACATTGTTGATGTTGATACTATCATATTATCTTAACTGCTCTGTGTGAGCGAGTCATCATAAAATTGCTTCCAGCCGCACTACTGAGTGTGTCTCTCAGTGTTTCCACCCGCCAAATCTCTCCCGTTCCCGGACACCTCTCCTTGCATCTATGTACAAACTTCATTGGGAAACTCAACATCAAAATAGCCGGTTGCGGTGGGCTCGACCCGTAAGCTAAGAGAAGCGGAAATGCGCTTGTCCTTAGTTCGGTCACAAAACTTTATCCGGAGACATCAATAAAGTGACTAGGCAGAGTCTTTGTCGACGAACTCAAATACCAACGCCCCCTCATACTACGCACAGTACTTTCCCGCAATTACGGTTTAACTCAGTTTTGACACACGTTCGCCCCTGAAGCATAATCGTTGGCAATGGACGTCGTCTATGCCGGTTTACTACGGCTTTGCATTAATCGTATGCCACTTTTAAGACTCACAGACGCCCTCGCGACTTGATATGCGGGTTAACGAAAGATTATTTGCACTCATAACAGAAAGGGCCTCCCTGGATCCTCATGACATCGCTGATGGGCAGTTGACACGTACTCCTCCAAGCTGAAATAGAAGGAAAAGGTATCAGTTACAGTGTAGTATTTCCGTAGAGAACGTCGCAATAGAAGTTGAGTGGCAGGTAGGCATAGCGTCTGGGCCGCGTCTTACGCCCAGTCTATGGCCATTGCCAATCTTCATGCTCGGCATGGTAGTTGCTTGACGTTTAGGACCGATCCTTTCGGAAAAATGTAAACGAGCTAGAAACGAAGTTGAGTTTGTTGTGAGGAAAGCTTGTCTCTACAATGCCAGCCGCTTCAAAGCTTGTTCAGCGCGTCATGTGCGAAACAGTAGAGCGAATCCCCGGAGAAATAGCACATGCCAACGTTCTGATTTAAGATACAAATTTACTTGACTGAACAACAGGACAAGACCAAATTGTTAGGTCAAAAGAGTCGGATCATACCTCACTGACTGCACCGCCAGTTCCCTGGCGTTTTCTTGCAAGGATAGTCAGGCTGTTGACTTCAAAGTTAACTCAACCACCCTGCTTCCCACGCAACCCCGCATACCACGCAGCCCCAAACCCCCATCAATATCACCATACCCATCAACAATATCCATTATTCCTTATCCCTACCACCTACCTAGATGCAACTTTCTGCTTTACTAGATAATTCAGATCCACTGGATTCACTTGTGCTACTCTCTGCTTTGCCAGTAGCAATTTGTGCCCGTCGGATATCCTTAATATTAGCGAACATTATGTTAAGGTCTATTTAGACCTTTTTTCTTTTACTTTATTATTGATTATCTATCTAGGCCTAGAATACCTAGGCTTGATGCTCTAGGACTATTAGTCTATAGGCCTATTAGTCCTAGCCTTTTTAGACCTTTCTAAATAGGTAATATTAGGTATAGATTTCTTAGGTATTTTATATAAACTAGTTAAATAAGTATAGCTAATACTAAAAATTAGTAGACTTATATAAGGTTAACTATAAGATTATAAATATAGCTTTATTTTATTATTAACTTTTTAATTACTTAGTTATCTAGTTATTTAGCTATTTAGTTAACTAGTTAACTAATACTTTAAATATAAAAAGGCTAAATAGAGGTTATATTATATTAATTAGCTATAACTTAATATATTTTTAATTATTTTTAATAACTTAAATAATTAAAGTATTTAAATATATTCTTTTATAATAGTTTATAAAGTTCTTTTTATTTATTATAATTAAATTACTTTATATATTTAAGTACTTTAAATACTTCTTATAAGTTACTTTAAGAAATTAAAATATTAATTAATCTAAAGGCTAAAGAATATATAATATATATAGTAATAAAAATAAAAGGTATATATAGTTTTAGAAATATTACTATAAAAAGTCTATTATTATATAACTATAATAAGTATCTAGAACTAGTAGTCTAGTATCTAAAAGGTCCTTTAAAATAATCTAAAAAATAAAGACTTTTTTTAGTTATTTTAAGGTATTTTAATTAGTTATTTAGCTATTCTCTATTATTATAAATTTTTAGTTAATATAAAATTAAAGATTTAAAAAAAACTATTATTACTAAATTAACTTATTCTTATATATAATAAAAAATAAAAGTATATATTTTTTAGTAGAAATATACTTAATTAAAAATACTTATACTTATAATTTAAGTTATTTTTTTTAAATATATTTAGTCTTTAAGGATTCTAATATTAACTTATTATTTCTTTTATTTTTAAAAATACTAGTCTTATTTATATTCTATTTATTAGTTAGCTTAATAAATAAAATTATTAATAAATTAAAGTAATAAAACTATTTCTAAATAATATTAATAGTTATTTTATTAATTTATTTAATATTAATTACTTTATATTACTAAGTTCTAATAAATAAGTTTTTATAAAAAAATTATTATATTTATTTTTTTCTAAATAGTTATTACTTATTACTTAGTATATACTTAGTTAGCCTTTTAACTTACTAATAATAAAACATAAAGCTTAAGGTAACTTATTTAAATATCTATTTAGTAAATAGACCTTTTTAGTTCTAAGATAACTACTATAGTCTACTAAAAGTAGTATTTTTAGACTAAGTACTATAAAAACGTTATTATATAGTTGCCTCTAAGATATTCTATTTATAACTTACTTTATAAATACTAAGCCTATTAGTAATATCCTAAAGTGTTTACTATAGCTTATATTTACTATACTACTTTATCTTATAGTAAAAATGATATCCTTAAAAAATAGCGTTATTTAGGGTAAAATAGAAGATGTTATGATAGTTAGAAAAAAGGAGTAGGTTTTATGGTGACGCGTTGTTGGGCTGCGTGGTATGCGGGGTTGCGTGGGAAGCAGGGTGGTTGAGTTACAACCCGGAAGACTTGCCAACTCGGAGTCGTTAGCGTACAAAAACATCGTGATCGGCGATGCTGTCCCTCAAGGCACTGTTAAGAAGAGGCGAGTTGAAGTCGCGACAAAGGCAACTGGGGTTCGACTTAAGCGATGACCCATAATTTCGGTCACCCTCCAATAACCTTTTACTTCAAGCCGAGGAGTGACGCAAAGACCTATGAGGACGGTGAGCTTCTTCAAATGGCCTTTGTGAAAGCATCTGCCACCGTCCTGCTTGTTTTCTTGGTTGTTATCCTGCCCGGAAAATCATTCTCGATAATCGTGTCCTCAGCGAACGGCTCGTTGTCTTCAAATCAGTATGGTTTGTCGAAGATGTTACGAATTGACAAAACCTTCGCAAAAGTATCGAGGATGATATTACAGTGGACGGGTTTCCCCTTGTAAAGACATTCGTCCCGCAGCTCTGACTCGGATATATTATTCAGTGATGTTCACTGTATGTTAGTAATGTTTGTGTTCAACATACCAAGAAATGGCTGTTCGATGAAATCGGCCCTGCACCGCGTTTCAATTCATCATGCCTCAACTTGGATCGCATCAAAGTTGATTGACTCACGTTGACTGGCACTTGCTCCAACACGTAGATGTACATGCTCTGGAAATCGTTGTATTGGGACATGGAGCCTGACCACGAGTCATTGCCGTTCGGGGGCAGTGATATTAAGCACTTGATGGCAATGGTGCAATCTAATCTCTGGCCTAGAAGAGTCGCTGCCACTTGTTTGTATTGAATGAGCGGGTTCTTGTATAATATTTTTGGTTTTGTTGGCTAGAAAAGTTATTGCAACATGAAAGCTCGTCAAGAAACGACGGCCAGACCCGTAGGGTTGAATAGATGCCAAAGTGAAGGAACACAATGAGCTTGAACAGAGATAGCTCTCTGATTCTTGCACCAGGATTTGATTCGATCTGCCCCTTGAAACAAGACGAGAGCGAGCTCATATTTTCGACCTTGCAAGGCAGGGCATATATCGCTGTAGCTTCTTTCGGGTACCTAAGACGGAGTCCCTGAGTACAGAACCTTGGGCTTTGGCTGCAGAAAAAGGAATTGAAGACTTGCGTCTGCTCTACTCCGACGCATTTTGGTGGCGCATTCCGACATCCTCGACAGCGTTTGACTTGATCAATTGAGACTGCAGAAGCCTTTGAATGCAAGCAGGTTATATTACATCTCCGCAAACAATAGTTGTTGCGCGCGGTGACACTGTTGTCATGCTATTCATGTTTATCACGGCTAGGCGGAGCTTCATGCAGATGATGTTTGGTATTTCCACAGAAACCTGCCCCTAATTTCTGTCGCCTGACGCTTGTGCATCAGCCTTGCTTAAGGACTTTTCATGAACACTGCTCACCGAACATGTCATACACCTCAGCACGGTGAGCAGAGAACTAAGCATCAACTTTGAGAAGCCGCTGTGAGGGCCCAAACTTGCTGAATCCAGCTGGAAAATTTCCTTACAACCTTTTAATACATGTTTGATGGGGAATGCACCCGCTCATCTCGAAAAAGATGCAGCCAGTTTGGCATCGGATTGGGGTGTATGAACCTGAAATAGAGAGAAAATCAGGAGCCGAGTGTGGGTTTTCGAAAATACGTTACCGAACACGCGAAGGCGGCCTAGTTTGGAAGTCATCACCACGAACGCGTGGCTTTCTACGCTCAGACGATGACTTAACAACTGTTTGAGGAGAAAGTAGAAAAGTTATTTTATTTACTTCTTTGAGGTTGATGGTGGCGCAATGGTTCTTCGGATATGAATGACCTGGAAAGAGTACATTTTCGCTCTATAAGGCGTCTCGAGGCGGCAAAAAGTGTAAAATGAGCACTTTTTTATCCGTTGGTTGGGTCTATGCTGTCTCAAAGTTTGTAGTGTCTGACATTCGAATTCTCGCTGGCAATTGCCAGACCCAATAGACTGAAATCAAAAGGATCTTGCCCATTACATGAACTAAAAAGAACTTTTGTAAAGAACTTTCTTCCATCCACGCCGCATGACCCTTGTCATCTATCCTCTGTTAATTCAGGGGGAAAGACAGATAAAACACAGCAGGGGAAGGTGGAGTCCTTGCCAAGGGTGATCGCTGACGTTGCAGTACCCAGAAAGGGATGCACAACAACAGAAGGCAGGGTCGGATTAGCAGAGCGAGTTGGAGTTACTGGATTCCCTACAATCACAGTTAGGATCGGGAAAGTCATCTAAATGCAGACTGAAGCTCCCCCAGCGAAATATTCCTTGACTGCAAAGTGGTGTTCAACGAATGACTGGCAGTCAGCAACATGTTGCCAAGATTCACAATCACCAAACCTTCCTAGATCAAATACTAAGATACATCAAATAATCTAGAGAAATGCTAAGCCATGAAAGTTGCCACGATGAACCATTAAGCCCAATAAATTTAAACACGGACAAACAAGACCTAGGTTTTTCCGATCCAGATTAATCCCACTTGCGATTCGCTGTAGACCGATTGAAAGTCAACTGTCCTCTAATCTGTTGACTCTAGCATTGATGGGTTTAACATGCTTTTTAAACTTTTCACCCTTAAACATTTACGACCAAGCAAGCATAGCAGGACCAGAGTCGCCTTACAAGCGCCCAGTGGCTATAGGATAAGTTCTATGTAGAACACATCAAACATCACAATAAAACAGCAAGCAAACGAAAAAGGCAAGTAATACACAATAAGACAAATAAAGATAACTAGATCAAGCTGTTGATAAGGATTTTTTAGTTATCGTTTCTCTAGTTGAAGATCAAGCTAAATAATAGCTGAATACTTTGTAGACGCATGAGAATACACGTGTCAGCAGCTATAGAACATAGAGCCTACAACAGCTCATGAAAGTTAGATATCTAACCGTAACACTGATCATGGCTAGACGATCGCCTCCGAGTATAAACAAGAAGCATAAAAAATAAAACAAACACCACATAAATCACCTATAAGCTACACATGAGCCATTGTACAAAAAGAAACGTTTTCTACTTGTGGCAACAAGAGAGTGTAGTAATGTTGTCTGCAAACTTCTAGTTGCCAGTAATAAATGTATGTTACAACGCAGCAAACCCGTATATTTCTGTCGCTCATGTTGGCTATATCGGCCAAACTTTGCCCAAACATATCCGCAAATAACTCAATTAACAAGTTGCCAGCGAGAAATGCTGCGAAAGTGCCCTGAAGCAAAAAGAAGAGTTGCACTCTAACGTCACTTTAGTAGTACTTTTCTTTTCCAGTGACATCGAGCCTTTCTGTCAATGTTTCTTCGTTCAGCACGAGCTGCACATTATGGTATTCGTCCGCTCTTGCCCTCACTGACTTCTTCCATAGCTCTGGAGATGTTACTCCGGCACCAGCGTCCGCGAGATTGGCATCAGATGGAGGCGTTGTCTTGAGTGCAAGGACAATCAGATCCTGTAGATCGGACCAAGGGACCACGCTCAGCACACGAAACCGTCTGCCCCGACCTGTCAACTCTACAGCATGAGCGAACCCAACTGTGGAGGCGTTCGCGAGATAGATGTACATCATGGCACGCGCAAAAGTAACAGTTTTGCGTGATCGGCCAGTTCCATACCCATATCTTTGAACGTCAAAGTCGAATTGCACCATACCATGGAACATTTCGCTGTATACTTGTGGAAGTGACATATTGTATAATATTTCCTCGCCGTCATACTCCACCAAGCTGTGGGTAGTATTTACGTCGCTTATTGACAAGGATCCATTCGAACGGCTATACTGCGCTTCTAATTCGATTAAATCCAGACGGTCTGCGGTTTCGCTGATTTTGAGATACGTTGTACTTTGCGAGCCTGTTCGAGAGATGCCGTCGGTGAGATAGACGCCGAATACCTTGGACAAGAACAACTCTGCTTGGGTAGTGTTGCGGTCGTTAATGGAACTTTCTGGGGTGAAGCTTCTGTCTGGATATATACTGAAGAGTTCAACGAGTTTCAAGAGGGCGGAGGTGAAATTGTTTGTGCGCGTGCCGTCGTCCTCGAAAGTAATGTTAAATTCCGGGACAAGGTATTGGAACCAATCTTTATTGAATCGGATAATATAACCATCGTTCAAAATCGGACTTTCAAACACTTCGTTCATGCGTTCCTTCTTGTTGAGGCTGGACATCAGAACGTCACTGACTTTTGGGTCGATGGAGAAATTCGAAGCTACCCAGCTGGCAGTCAAGCTGCAGGTGTAAATGAGGTCCTTTTCTCTGAGACCATACGGATGAGGAACTTGCCCTGACGTAAAGACAACAGAGCTGGGATCTTCAGCTGTAAAGTAAGTGTGGGCTATTTGTATGTTTGTCTTCTCTTCTCCTCTCCACCATGCGTTGTTGACTATTGGTGGGCTGTGCTTTAGTCGTTCGCACTCAGTGTCGCCGAAGCAATTAAGGTATTCGGTAGGATGTAACATGTCCTCGCTAGTGTTTAGGATCTTGTTTTTGTTGTAGACTCTGCATTTGGACTGAACAAATGGCTGGTAGATGGAACGATCCGCTGAGGTATTATCATTGGAACCGTCGATCTTTGCTTTAAGTTCATAACGGGCGCCGCTAGATACGTCGCCTACGGGGTTCCCATCAATGTATTTCTGGAAGAGGCCCATAACCGTCATAAAGAAGTGTGATGGAGTGGTGAGCAGTGTTGGTTTGTCATTCGCCTCTGATGTGTGAGTTTCAGGCTGGGTGAAAACTAAATGGCGCCGGAGGTCTGTGGATGGGTAGTTGAAAGTCAGATTGTTGTTCAAATTGGTTGATCCAAAAGTCTGAACCCAGTTCCAAATTTCAGAATAGCCTCCGGATGGACAACCAGCGTAATAAAATCCGTCTATTCTCTTGCATGAACCTGTCACGTTCCAGGGCTCCGTGTCGGCGAAGATTTCGGGCCTGACCGCGTCGAAACTCGCATCGTACAAAACGGGCATTTCAAGATTACTGAAAGCCTGGTCGTGCTTAAGTGGAAACCAACCCAAGGTTGGCACGAGGAGAACTGCCGATGCAGGCCCGACCACGGTGGACATGACCGTAGCAAAGACAAGGTAGGTAACGAGAAAAATCTCCCATGGCACTGTGCCATCGAGTCCTTGGTGACGGAACGGTGAGGATAGAAGGTAGTTGATATCACCGACTCGATATCCACCTGTCAAAAACCCCAGTCGCACACCTCTTCCAACCAGCCGCCGGCGGAACATAGAGATGGCAATAGCAGAGAGAGAAGCGACAACGAGAAGCTCATGTATCTTGGCCGCGAATTGTAGGACATTTCCGATAACATCGGCGCTAATGCCATCCCATGGGCCGTCTTCCGGAAACCAGAACCACTTTTCCATGCTGATCCAAAGGATGACTGCAGTTGACACCAAAGCGGGGATGTGCACAAGCCATCCGTTCAAATAGCGCTTCGCATTCGTGCGGGTGATGGGCTTTGGCATTTTCGGGTTGTCGACAAAGTTGGGTTTTTGGTCTGCATTATCGTTAGGGCTATTGATTGACCGAGTTGTCATCATGTAATTGTATTTTACTTTGCGATCAGGTTGGTCTTCTAAGCCACCGGGGTTGTCGTCGATGCTTCCAACTCGATGAAAGGGATCTTGTTGACCAAGAAGTGGCTGCTCAACGGTAACCCCAGACGGAAGCGGCCTCCAGCGACTCAGCGCTGGCTCAAGAGGGTGATAGGAGACTTGTATTGGGTTGGAATCATCTTCGGACTGGCTGGCTTCCTGACATGGAATACGCGAATGATCAAGCCTGATTGACTCGTGGTTTGAACTCATATTGATTGTTGGAGAAGGGTATTCAAGAAAGATAAACTAAGATGGCGACGGGAAAGCAGAGCGGCGTTCTTTAGTCCGAGGAGAACATAAATGTGAATCATAAGGCTGGATTGGGGGTGTCAAATACTATCAGACAGACCCAGTCAACGAGCCCATGCCCACTACTGTAATCTTACCTCCCCTGGCGATTATTTAGGTTTCCAATGTGACGGTCAGGGCCGGCGACGCTGTTGCCTGCATATCTGTCAGAGCCTGATATTCTTGAGCGCTAACAGGAGGATAAGTCAAAAAGTTTCCTTCCTCCATCACGAACTTACTCGTACGGTCTCTACAGAAATTCATCGCGGGACACCCTCCCAGTTTCGGTGATTGGAGCGCTCCACAGTCACAGTGACCCCTCATGCCAAAGACGATACGTTTGCAAAAGGTCTGGCAGCGCAGCTATGTGATTCAATCCAGAGAAAATCACGGTTTTACCTCACCGAACGCCCCCGCCTCCCCTTGCTCGTTGCAGGCTGTGATTGAGACAAGTTACCGGGCTTCGTACCCGGACCAATATGCAAGCTAAGCGCCCGCTGCGGCTGGAAGAGGCTACTTCATGCATAAGTGCTGACCAGTGGAGAGCACATGCGCTCTGTCAATTGAAGTAGGTTGGCAGCATCCATGCATGAGAAGGAACGCTAAGAAGGCAGGTTCAAAGGCTTAAAGGACTACTGCGTACGTGGCTATGTTTTCTTGCCGAGGCTTGCGACGAATATACATAGGGAGAGCTGGAGAGGCTACAAACAGGATCGAGCCTTACTTGTGTCCTGCAAACTCGGACGCCGGATGGAGCGTTAATTGTCCAAGTCGCCATATGTTTGTCCGCAACACCCTAGCAGACTTTGCCGTAACAGTGAAATCTTTCTTTTTATTCGTAACGAAAAGGTTGCCGATAGTAAGTCTTGGCGTCTGCTAATCTTTAGCCCCCAAATGCGAAGCCTTCCTTCGCCGTCAGCGACTTGTGTGTTCTTTGGAAGTTCGCTGGAGCCTGATCGTGCTGCCAAGGCCACCAAGAATTTGTGATAGGGGCATACCATGCGTCACAGGCTCACGTAAGCATGTAGTTTCATCCCTTGCTAGGTACAATGGTTGGCCGATGCCCGTTTGAGTAAGTTTTAATGCCGAACACGCAGCTTGATTATCCTCTACCCCCAAGCCATGGATTGCCACAAGCTATATCCAAACGCGCAACTAAACATAAGAAAAGAAAAACAAACCTAGAAGAGAGTTGGGTTGGTTTGCTTTCCTTTGCCCTCTACTGTAATCATCATGCCGTGCATACTCCAAGACCCTCGGTAAAGCTCTACGAGACACTCTTAAGAAGGCAGATTAGATAGCGTTCATGTACGATACATGCTCGCAAGGAGTCATTAACTATTTTAATATGGCAAACTGATCTATCACAATGTCGTAGAGTCACCACTTAGGGTGGAAAAGACATAAGGAAAACGGCTTAGATTTCTACGTGCAGGATTGCCTTGTCCGAAACGAATAAATACGTATCCTGCGTGGTGGATCCGCACGAAGGGACCGGACTAATAGTTAATCCGGGCCTGGCGCAAATCTCACAAGGCTGCGCGATGCGCGTAAGGGCATCGCAACACACCCCCCCAGGCAGATCAACGGATTCCAACCGTTATATATCTAATAATAGCTATATATAAAAGAATTGCCTTAAAAGAATGAATAGGGACATAAATACTTGCTTTTAAAGCAATAGATATACTTAGAATATATTAATAATATTCTTGGATAGTTACAGGGAAGTAAAGAGACTTAGTGAAGGTAAAGGTAGAAAGATAAGGTTATTATATTTTTCTATATTATTATATCTTCTTTTCTTTCTAAAAGGTAAGAATATCTTAGGCTTATATCCTTTTCTTAATATCTTATTAGTAATATGATTATCTAATAAAATAATCTTATCTGGAATCTAGGAGTTGGTTTTCTGGAATCTAGGGTTAACTAGATCTAAGGCTGGAATTCTAGGGTTAACTAGATCCAAGACTAGAATTCTAGGGTTAACCTGATTCTTATAAGCCTATCTTATATATAGACAAGTTATATATGGTTATAAAGCTCTTATTTTACTTAATCTAAATATAGATATAGTAAGTTTATATAGTTATTAGATATAAAGATATAATTAGATAAGATAAGAGTTCTTATAATAAATCTTATTCTTAGTTTCCCTTTTAAGTTTATTCTAGGTTAAAATAAACTTATAGTATATTATATCTTATAGTAAAAACCTTTATATATAAAGGAAAAACTATAGTTATATTTATATATATTATTATAGTTATATATATTGTTATAGTAAAAAACCTTATATTATAAGGAAAAGTATATAAAGAATTTATTAAAGGGGAAACCTTAGTATTTTAGCTGTTTAACCTTCTTTATATTAAGGTTATTATTATTGTCTTTAGTTTCTGTAGGTAAAAACCCTTTTATATTAAGGTTTATAGTCTCTATAAAGTAATTAAACGTATTTTTATTTATTGCTTTAGTAAATATATCAGTAATATTATTACTTGTATATATATAAAATAGGGACACCTTATTATTATTAACAGCTTATCTAGAAAAGTAGTATTTTATATTAATATACTTTGCTTTCTTATATAGCTCTGGATTTTCTGTTATTTGTTGTGTAGCTTTATTATCTATAAGGATAATAAGTATATTAAGATTTAGTTTTAAATCTAAATTTAGTATTATATAATTATATAAATTATATAAGTATATTATTTCCTTAATAGCTTTATATAAAGCTATATATTTAGCTTTATAAGTAGATAAAGCAACAGTTTTCTATTTTATACTATTTTAGCTTATTATATTATAGTACCTTAAAGTAGTACTAAGAATTAAGAAGTAAAATTCTTATAATTCTTATATATAAATCTCTTTATAACTCTATAACTAAAAGTCCTATAAATATATAGCTATTTTTTCTAGATTCTTCTTGAAAAATAACCTATAAAAGTATACATTACTATATATAACTATACTAATACAAACTACTACAAACTAATACAGTCTACTACATATAAACGTATATACTTCTAAGTATTATATATACTAGTACTTATACTTATCTATAGGTATATATAGGCATATATATATATATATAAAAAACTATAAGTACCTCTTAGTACTTAGATATATACTTAGATATACACTTAAATACTATATATATCTAAGAGACTTCCTATATAACTAAGAGATATCCCTTCTACTTAGACAATTTTTAAGAACAATAATATATAATAATACCTTAACAGTTAATATATATATATACCTTTTCTATCTACCTTTAGTCTTCTCTACTTTTCCTTATAACTATTTATAAATAACCCCCTATTATTCTAACTAGTTATGAGCCTAGCTTAGTAGAGAAGACAACTCTTATACCTTTACCTTATACTTATACCTCTATTTTATACAACAAAAATTTAACCTTACCAAGAGACATACCACATTAGCTAAGGGAATTTTAAGGAATATAGCTCTAAGGTAACTACACCTCACACCCAGCAGTCCATATTCAGCAGAATAAAGGGACCAGCTTACTAAGCAAGCACTACACCTATCGCTATACTTTACGCCACTATAGCTCCAAGCAAATCACAATCCTATTTTACCAGTTAAAGGTTATTTCTAGTCTATATCCAACAAAGACTATATACCTTAAGCTAAAATTAAACCTAAGAGCTCTAATTAAGTTACTAATTTAATTAGTTAATCTAAAAAATAGCTTAACTACTAGACTAACTACTCTACTATCTAGTAAAAGCTTCTTTAATTAAAGGCCTATATATATCTTTAACCTAAGGTAACTAAATAACACTATACTATTAATAACAACATTATAATAACCTAACTACTTCTAAGACCTATTTTTCAAGACAAATTCAATAGTACTATTAGAATACCAATATCTCTCTCTAATCAACCAAAATCAACTAAAATCCTTATATTCCAATTAAATTCAAACCAAATTAATACTATAAAAAAAATCTATATACTATACCTTTCTAATAGCCTTAACTATAATATTTAAATAACTAGATTTAAGGCTTTATTTATTAATAAAGATATTAACTTTAGTCTTATAACCCCTTTAACTATACCTTCTTAACAAAAAAGTAATATAAAAGTATTAGCTTTTATAAAGCTATTTTATAAGGATTCCCTTTTAAAGGTTATAAAAGACTCTATAATAGAATATAAAGCCTAAAAGAAACTAAAAGATCTATATAAACCTACTAGTTTTATTAATAAATATCTTACTTATAAAGAGTTCTTTAATATCTCCTTAGAATCCTTTAGATCTATAAAAGAATACCTTAATAAAATAAAAAAGCTTATAAATAACTTATCTTCTAAAGATATAGCTTTACTAAAATAAGTTATTATAGCTTAAATATTAAATAGTCTAGATAATAGTTATAAAGGTTTTATAACTAATATAACCTAAGCCCTTAAAAAGAATACAAATTCTTATACTATAAAATCTCTTTTTATAAATCTTATAAATAAAATAAAAAGAAAAGGTTCTTTTATAGTATTATATACTACTTCTACTTTTAAAAAAAAAATTAAAAAGC